TGGAACGTTATTTTACGAAGTTTGGTTTCGTGTCGTTTTTGTGACCCCCCCCCAGGTGGCTCCTGCTCGCGAGGCTGCTGCGTCCGTGGCGGTCCCTCGAGTCCCGGGCGGGTTCCACAAAAATCTACTTGGGGCTGTCCGAACCAATCCGGCGTATCGTAGCATAATCGATTATTCGGGGGGCGGGGGGGGGGTTTCAAAAGCGCAAGGTCCTCCGGTCCCCCCCCCCTCCACATTTAGAAACATGCATTGAGATTAGATGATTTTGGTGCTATGAATGTCCAAATGCTGGTGCCACTTTGTTGAGTTATCATTTGTGGCCAGGTCACTTCTGAAAAATAAGTGAATACTTCTGCGGGCTCTGTGTGGTGGGAGGCGATGGTTTCGTGTTGTATTTGTTTGTGTTTGTGTGATTTGGTTACCTTTCTTGTGCTTTGCACGACTATGATATGTTTGCACTGGTTGTTGTTGTAACGTTCTGACCCGCCCCTACTGGCCATGTGTGACAAAGAGTTTCATAGCTCATCAGATTCCTTCAGGATAAATAAATATTCAGATTCTGATTATTAAAATAGCTTAGTTTTTGCACATTCTTGTATGATCGTGTTTTTGGGTGTTGAATGTTTTTTGAGCGTTTTAAATATGGTCACTACATGAAATTGGCACAAATAAACACACATTGACAAAATACCCTAACTTTAAAAAGTGACTGCTTACTGTACCGTACTTACGACTACACTCTCGAAGACTCTGCGTGGGATGATGCATATAGTGCAGTATTTTCATTAAGTTGTTTGTAGGTCGTGTATAGTGGACTGTATATCATATGTAACACTCTAATCAAGCAGAGCTACTTTATTTTCTCACCACGTGAATGGTGCCGATCGCCGGACTGGTCACATCCTTTGGAGTGGGTTTTGCCGGTTCACAAATTAACATCAAAACTAACTCAAAACATTTGCCAACAACATCGGGTGACCTTAAAATGATGAAAAAATGTAATAGACGACGTTTCGGGCAATGTGTCATTATTCATGCCATATTAAGGCCACAGTGTTGTTATTGATGAATGTGTTCATTGGACTTACGCACCACTGCCAACGCAGCAGCATTTGTGTTAAATGAACTCACTCGGCTGCCACCGCTCAGGTCCTGGGCTCGAGCCCAGGTGTCGGAGCCTCTGAATCCGACCCGGTTCTCAAATGTGGCGAGCAGGTGATCGACTCGGTCACCAATAATTACAGCACAAAACAAACAAAAAATAAAGTTTGGGATTAAATTATTAAAATGTACGTCAAATTAATAATGTCTAGAATTAGTAATTGACTTACAATTAATAATAATTCTAAATGGAACATGAAATCGAATTGTTGCTGTTATGAATCCCATTATAAATGCCACATGAATTACTCTCACGAGCTTCATGGACGATGTTATTTTGCATTTCTTACTATTGTCCATTGTCCATAGTTCTGATGGTTCATTAGATATGTTTATAAAATTCCCCTGCTACTATTCTACTTGGTGCCTGTAAACCCTCCCTTCCCATGTAGCGTGCTGGCTACCACCACACCAGCTGTGCCACACAGCGCCTGTAAACCCTCCCTTCCCATGTAACTTCTTTGCCGCTTTGAGAAGGTCTCCATTGAAAGAGAGCTTATAAGCTCACAGGGCCTTACCCTAATAAACTGATTTACAAACCAATTAAATTGTAAAACAAACATTTTGCCTGAATTCCAGCTCTGAGACTTCAACATGGATATTTGACTGCCGAGTTGATTAGCATTTCGCTGCAGCAGGGCACATGGGAAAGAGCATCTCCGAAAGTGTTTACTTAGAAAACGAGCACACCTCAACACAAGGCACTATCTGCCGATCCGTTTCGTGTATAAAGGTAACTTGGAGGGTAACGTACTTGATACACAGACAATACGCCTCTTCAAATACAAAATACCATACAGGCCCTTTATAACGCAACCCATCAGCCGCACGGCCTTCTGGGAGTGCAGCATTGATTCAAAACAAGCATTGAACCGGTTTCGAAATAAGAGTGGCTTATCAACAGTCAGGCTTGCTTGAATGCCGGTGAACCACCAGAATGTATAGGCAGGAACCCTCCCTTAAGATATAAAATAATCTGAACACATTTGTCAAGAACACCACCTTATATAACACTGTCAATAGCAGTCAATAATACTGGGCCGCCATGGTGATGAGATGTTAACTACCTCACCTGGTATACAGGTCATGGGTTTGATCGCGACCCTGATGCCTGCTGTATATTTGTAGTTTGCGTGTCTGTTCGGGTCCTCAGGTTTTCCCTTCACACACGTTTAGAATATTTGGCTGCTATAAATTTCCACATGATCACCCACTTCATTGGACTATAATTTGTGATAACCAGGTAGCTTCTGAAAAAGAATATTATAGCTCAGTGGGCCTTACCTGCTAAAACTAAAATAGTTGAGTAGTAATATGAAAGAAAATGCATAACACTTTGGTTCTTTCGGTAAAGTCACGTAGGTATAAAATAAAATAAACCACGATGTTTTGGGCGCAACACAAGCGTCCGTCATCGGGTGGGAAATCATGATCTGCTGCTGAAGGCAGACTGTTTTTAAAAGGTTTGAAATGGGTGTGCAAATGACCAGGCAACATTTTTGGACAATGGCCCCTTTTTCAGAGGACAGACAAGCGAGAGAGGCGCCTCTACGCTCCGAGCAGAAGATGCTGACGCCTAAATGGTACCTTGGCTTCTCCAAGAGCTGTGAAAAGGGGCCATTGCTGGAAAGGTCGCCCATGGCCCGCTTTTACCTTAAGGCCACGGTCTTTTTAACGAATGCGCTCGGAGTGTAGTTGTGTCTCTGCACCACCGCCCAACTCAGCCGTAGCAGCAGCGGCGGCGTCACCAAATTATCTTAAGACAGGGAGAGAAGATACGATCCGAGTTCAGATACCATCGGGGGTAAGCGGTGTGTGGGTAGGTGGTGGTTACGTTGGTAAAACGTACAACATCCAAGGGGTCGGAGTTCCAGTACAGCTGTCCAAAGTTGAACGGATTAGAGTCGCACCATCAGCTACGTCGTATCTCTCCCCTCGCCGTGGGCTGTTCTCGAATAAGCGGGGGGGAGGGGGCTGATGCAACGGCCCCGAAAGATATCCTAATGGGATTTGTCGTCCCGTGACAAAGACGCCGATAGCGCGATGGGTTAAAAAAAACATTGCTGGAGGCGTAGTGAAATAGGTGAATAAGCATGTCCACGTTGATGTGAACATCAGTGGCGCGCCCTGATGAACATTTCCAAGGGAGAACTTTTTTTAAAAAAGCGAACCAAGTCATACGGGGTACGCCGCGGTGGCTGTGAGATGTTAACTACTCGCCTGGTATGCAGGAGGTCGTTGGTTTGATCCCGACCCTGACGCCTGCTGCTGTATATTTGGAGTCTGCATGTCTCTCTCTCATCATCATCATCACGGTGGCTAGGAGATGTTAACTACCTCGCCTGGTATACAGGAGGTCGTGGGTTCCACCCTCACCCTGACGCCTGCTGCTGTATATTTGGAGTTTGCGTGTCTCTCTCTCCCCGTGGTCACGTGGATTTTTCTCCGGGTCCTCCGGTTTTTCCCTCCACATTTAGAATCAACGTCACACATTTAGAGTATTTTTCTGCTATACATTTCCACGTGATTATAAGCCACTTTGAGTTATCATTCGTGGCCAGGTCGCTTCTGAAAAGGAGCTCCGTGGGCCTTACCTGGTAAAAGAAAGATACGCGTAGCTAAATCTGTTATAAAAGACCGGCGTTACGTGTGTCCGCTTGTCTATATGTCCGTCATCTAAATTATGAGAGCCTTTCAGAAGGCCTGAATCATACAAGTTATAGAAAGTGGACAACCCCCCCCCCCCTCCCCAAAGTGTGAGGGTAAAAATTTGATCCAACAGGTTTACAATAATTCACTCCCCCACCCCCCCTCCCCAAAATAAAATTATTTTGTAGGCATGTATGCCTACACACCTTACATACAATTGTCAGTAGTATCCCGGGACCTCCCCTGCCAGTATCAAAATATAGGAAGAGGTTTCCCTTTCTGGCAATAAAACAGTTGTGTTAAGATGTTAAAACAGAAACCTTTGGCAAGGAATCGTGTCTGCATTAACCACATATACCTGTGGTGAACATGCAAACAAAATAAATGCTCTGGTAGTATACGATGATGCATCGTTTCTGGAACTGATTGATCCACACAATAGACAGCTTTCTTTATAGCCTCGTCTCAAACAGTGTTAGACCAGAGGACGCCAAAAGGCGAACAGCACAAAAACAACGCACAATCAGGGCATTTACAGCTCGGGGTGACCAGATACAATATCGTGGTGCGTGGTCGTTGTGCAACATTGTAGCTGCTCACCCGAGCTATAGAGTATGATAGTTGATACACTGAACCGCCACCACCATAGCAGGATCCAGGGCAGCTGCTGGATTCGAAACCTTGAACCTCGGCAGCAAGCGGCGGACGCGTGGCCACCACAAAAGCCACAATTGATAGCCCAACAAAGTGGCTTATCGCCAAATACTCGAAACTCACGTTGATTCTAAATGTGGAGGGAAACACCTGAGGACCCGGAGAAAAATCCACGCAACCACGAGCAGAGAGACACAAACTCCAAATATCAGGCATTTTCAGGGGTTCAGGATCGAACCGACGACCTCCTGTATACCAGGCGATGTAGTTAACATCTCATAGCCATCGCGGCGCCCCAAGGGTCTAAGTGAGGAGGTTTTATCGGCCGATCGTTTCGAGGTCAAGGGGGGGGGGGGTCTCCGTTCCCCCTTTCCGGCGAGCGTGCCCCTACACCCCCGCCTCGTGCACGCTCAAGACATTCACAAGCGAGGACTTTGCCACTTTTGCAACGATTGCTAAATCGTTTCGTTTAACTTTGACCGACGAGGGGGGGGGGGAAACAAAAAAACCCACCCACACAATATCATGACACCGCATCAACCCTCGCTTCTGATGCGGCGTTATTCTCGCACTCTGGCCAGTAGCCGGAGCGGACCCTGATGGCCGGTCTCCTGATTGTCGTGGCGGCCCTGTGGGGGGTCTTGAGCCTCGCCCGGGTGCCCCTGACGGTCAGCGGTGATGTGTACCTCGACAGAGCGGTCGCACTGATGGCGAAGGTGCCGCTCATAGACGGGTGAGTCGGGGGGGGGTGAGTCGGGGGGGGGGTGAGTCGGGGGGGGGGTGAGTCGGGGGGGGGGTGAGTCGGGGGGGGGGTGAGTCGGGGGGGGGGGGTGAGTCGGGGGGGGGGGGTGAGTCGGGGGGGGGGGTGAGTCGGGGGGGGGGGTGAGTCGGGGGGGGGGGTGAGTCGGGGGGGGGGGGGTGAGTCGGGGGGGGGGGGTGAGTCGGGGGGGGGGGTGAGTCGGGGGGGGGGGTGAGTCGGGGGGGGGGGTGAGTCGGGGGGGGGGGGTGAGTCGGGGGGGGGGGGTGAGTCGGGGGGGGGGGTGAGTCGGGGGGGGGGGTGAGTCGGGGGGGGGGGTGAGTCGGGGGGGGGGGTGAGTCGGGGGGGGGGTGAGTCGGGGGGGGGGTGAGTCGGGGGGGGGGGTGAGTCGGGGGGGGGGGGGTGAGTCGGGGGGGGGGGTGAGTCGGGGGGGGGGTGAGTCGGGGGGGGGGGTGAGTCGGGGGGGGGGGTGAGTCGGGGGGGGGGGTGAGTCGGGGGGGGGGGTGAGTCGGGGGGGGGGTGAGTCGGGGGGGGGGGGGGGGGGGGTGAGTCGGGGGGGGGGGGTGAGTCGGGGGGGGGGGGTGAGTCGGGGGGGGGGGTGAGTCGGGGGGGTGCGTGGGACGGAGCGGCGAGCCACCGCCTCCGTCGTGGGCCGAGTGGAGGGAGCGAGGTCCTCACGATCCTTTGCTCAAAATCGGGAAATGTCTTCTCATATTGCTGTACTATCATATGGTACTCACTGGTATTTGTCCCGCCATCTCACTTGCGTGTACATCGTGGGACATCGTATCTCGCCAAACTTGATCATTATATCATTTATGGGGAAATGAAACCAACGATGCAAAACTTCCCATTGAAACGATGGGGGGAGAAGTTCGTAAAACCCTCCCACCTGCCTCTGTCGGCCCAGCGGTGTAAATGGGCTCACCGCAGTTCGCCAATCGACATCGCGCGAATGTGGGGTAAAGTGAGACATCTCGTGAGCGTCGAAGAGTAGACCAAATTCTCTACAGCTCCCAACAGCAGAGGCCATTCCATCAGCAGTGGCGTGAGCCAAGCAATTACAGCGCTGCACCTTTACCTTTGTATTTATGTCGTACTTCTTTCGCACCGTACGTAGCCAACAGTGCCCAGCAGAGCTGAAATCGGAGGGCTGTCGGTGCACTCAATGCTGTAAAACATTCTACTGGAATCCACCACTGGCTCCTGACCTCCAAAACCAGTGATCGATTAGGAACACGGGCAGTTGATCGGCAGTTCGCGTGTGGTGGAAAACGTGTCGGGACTACCACCAAGACACCTGGCCAGCATGGAAGAAGAGGCCAAGTATTTTTTAGAGGCCCCCCCCCCTCTCGAGTGAAGGACTCTTCTGCCGACAGTGGCGTCGCCAAGCAAATTGCAGAGCTGCGCCTTGTCCCCGTACCCTGAATCTTGGCTGCGTGGGGGGTTGCTGTTCCCTGCAGACACAACGACTTGCCGTGGCGCCTCAGGGACGTGCACAAGAATGAGATCTACGACAACGTGAACCTGAACAACATCACCACCACTCACACCAGCATGAGCCGCCTGCGTGCCGGGCGTGTCGGTGGGCAGGTGCTAACGCAACCCACCAACACCACCACCACCAACACCACCACCAACACCACCGCCATCACCAACACCACCGCCAACACCATCACCACCGCAAACACCACCACCACCGCCAACACCACCAACACCACCAACACCACCGCCACCACCGCCAACAACACCACCACCGCCAACACCACCATCACCGCCAACACCACCACAACCATCAACACCGCTAGCACCACCACCACAATCGCCAACACTAGCATCACCACCACCGCTACCACGACCACCAGCATCACCATGATCACCGCCATCAACCACAACCACCAACACCACCACCGCCACAACAGTCACCGCCAGCATCACCGCCACCGCCACCACGACCACCAGCACCAATACCACTACAAAGATGCCCCGTATAGCCTTACCAGACTTGGGGCAAGTGCTGTTAGCGAGCACCTATTAAGGCCAGCACGGCACACGAGGGGGTGGGTGGCCAGCACCACGTGATTAGCCACTTTATTGAGCGATCATTCGTGATATCCAGGTCGCTTCTGACAAAGAGCTACGAAGCTCAGTGGGCCTTACCTGGTAAAACAAAAATTGTTTCATAGCTTACAATTTTACTTAAAAAAAATTGTCACCATGAGAATTGGTGATGCTTTCCTGACAAAACAAGCCGCAATTCGTCGTTGTCTTTGTCCACCCGTCGGAGCAGTTCTGGGCCGTGTACACGCCGTGCGACACGGCCGGGCGGGACGCCGTCCGCTACTCCCTGGAGCAGATCGACGTCGTCCACAGGATGGTGAAGGAGTACGCGGACACGCTCACCCTCGTCACCTCGTCTACTGGTACCTACTCAGTCACGCTCACCCTCGTCACCTCGTCTACCGGTACCTACTCGGACACGATCACCTTCGTCACCTCGTCTACTGGTACCCTACTCAGTCACGCTCACCCTCGTCACCTCGTCTACCGGTACCTACTCAGACACGCTCACCCTCGTCACCTCGTCTACCGGTACCTACACAGTCACGCTCACCCTCGTCACCTCGTCTACTGGTACCTACTCAGTCACGCTCACCCTCGTCACCTCGTCTACCGGTACCTACTCGGACACGATCACCTTCGTCACCTCGTCTACTGGTACCCTACTCAGTCACGCTCACCCTCGTCACCTCGTTCTACCGGTACCTACTCAGACACGCTCACCCTCGTCACCTCGTCTACCGGTACCTACACAGTCACGCTCACCCTCGTCACCTCGTCTACTGGTACCTACTCAGTCACGCTCACCCTCGTCACCTCGTCTACCGGTACCTACTCGGACACGATCACCTTCGTCACCTCGTCTACTGGTACCCTACTCAGTCACGCTCACCCTCGTCACCTCGTCTACCGGTACCTACTCAGACACGCTCACCCTCGTCACCTCGTCTACCGGTACCTACACAGTCACGCTCACCCTCGTCACCTCGTCTACTGGTACCTACTCAGTCACGCTCACCCTCGTCACCTCGTCTACTGGTACCTACTCAGTCACGCTCACCCTCGTCACCTCGTCTACCGGTACCTACACAGTCACGATCACCCTCGTCACCTCGTCTACTGGTACCTACTCAGACACGCTCACCCTCGTCACCTCGTCTACCGGTACCTACTCGGACACGATCACCCTCGTCACCTCGTCTACCGGTACCTGCTCAGTCACGATCACCCTCGTCACCTCGTCTACTGGTACCTACTCAGTCACGATCACCCTCGTCACCTCGTCTACTGGTACCTACTCAGTCACGATCACCCTCGTCACCTCGTCTACTGGTACCCTACTCAGTCACGATCACCCTCGTCACCTCGTCTACTGGTACCTACACAGTCACGATCACCCTCGTCACCTCGTCTACTGGTACCTACTCAGTCACGATCACCCTCGTCACCTCGTCTACTGGTACCTACTCAGACACGATCACCTTCGTCACCTCGTCTACTGGTACTGGCCGAGCCGAATCGATACACATGCATCAGCTCGTCATCATCATCCCTCCCTCTGAAGTCGATAAATGAGTACCACTTTGTGGGGAAGTCGACAGTGGTTGTCCTATGTTTAGCAAGTGGTCGTCTTATCATCGCTGGTTGAATAGCTCGTCCCGGCCATAGGAATATGGAATTTCCACCACTGGCTCTGAAATTAGATTAGTATCGGTGCCCGTTTGAGCTGGAAACCACTTTGAATGTGTTTTTATACTCCACAGAGACTCACACAGAGACAAATAGACTCACACAGAGCCAAATAGACTCACACAGAGACAGACTCACACAGATCCACAGAGACTCACACAGACCGAGTTGTCTGTGATTAGAACCTTGCTGCAGTGGCCATCGAACAGACGGTCACTGCATCGCGCGCTTTCAGATGCGTCTCTGAGGCCATCTGGAATGCTCTTTTTTCCGATATCGGGATACCAATGGAGCTATGCACTTTAAACTCATCTACATTGATAACTCGTTATTTAGAAGTGTTTTCTGTGTTTATTTTGTTGTCCTTTCCCCGCACCTCCGATTAACAAGGTCGGCTTCGTACGGTGCTGTGGCCCTTTGGGTTCTAGCTCGCTTCAAGACTCACCTTTACTGCCGCCACTATTATATTTGTGGTCAGCCAAGTCACGCTCGTGTATCGTGTGGGTCGAGTCGAATGAGAGTAATGGATATCATCACATCCGAGGCGATTTCAGAGGGTTGGTCCGTCTTTCATTGTTCCACAAGCTCCTCCTGCCCGCTTCCACACCAACGCGTGCATCTGCGCCACGCGGGGTGCTGACAGGTTACAGCCTTGCACGACACACCCCAGGACGACTCCTCTGTCCCCACACCTGAGGCTACGCGTCCCCACACAAACACCCCCCCCCCCCCCCACTTAGGGCACGTTTAGCCCGAGCTGGCGTTCACCGCCCACTGCTGAGCGACACGTTCACAAGGCCGCCGACTTGCAGGCGACGCGAGACGTCGTCACTCGCTCTGGGCCAACCCCGGCCTGCCGCGTGCTCCGAGTAGAGTAGGAGGAGGTGGAGAGCCGGGCCCCTGCCGGCCCCTGCCGGCCCCTGGCCGCCCCAGCTCTCCACAGCAGGCGGCGTCAGAGGCAGCCTCCCCTGCCCGTGCCTGCTCCCCACCGGGTGTCCACTGACACTCACAGGGACTGCGACACCAAAGCCCTGGGGCATTGTGGCAATAGATCGACTTTAATGTCCCCACTAAACCTCTAAAGTCCTGTCGAGCTGCTACTTACAGCTGGACGCTTGGAGGAGGTTTGCGGGGACCGCTCCTGTTCCCTGCTGCCTGGAGCTCGCGAGCAGATAGAGCTGGGGTCAAACTCCAGCCACCCACCGCTGTGTGGGGGGGGGGGGTGTGGGGGGGGTGTGTGTGGGGGGGGGGTGTGTGGGGGGGTGTGTGGGGGGGGATGTGTGTCATCTCGGTCATCTCAGTCAGTCGACCCGTGGCACCTGCTGGGTCTGCCCCGTGATCTTCTGCCAACGGGCGTTCGACACTTCACGTGGCCTCAAGGTGCACATGGCCTGGCACAAGCGTCGTGGTGACGTCACCGCCACTTAGTGGCGAATGGCGGTTGTTGTTGTATGTGTGTGTGTGGGGGGGGTCCCTATTTATAAAACAGCGCTGCACTAATGGTGATTGACACTGTTTGTTGCAGGTGTCTCTAATTTCCATCAATAGCTTTCCCTATTACAGGTGGACCCCACCCTCCATTGTGTTCTACCTTGATACTTATTGGTGCAATGTGACGTCATCTCCGCCCTTGGGGAGTCAATGCTCCGCTGGCTCTCGCCACACGTGGTACACTGGGAGCTGCTTCCTCGAGTCCACACACTCCCCAGGGCTCACCTTGGCTCCAGAAATCTGCTCCTACATTGTCACAACCCTTCAATACCCTCACGTGATATTGATATGGCTGGAGGGCCACGACTCATCCCGTCACTATTATTCTCCAGTCTAGCCCGGTCTATTTGGAGCAAAGATTGGTGGTCAGTTTCCAAGAAACTTTTTCCCATCGAAATATATCTGGAATTTCGATTTAAAGCTTTCGTGACTGCAGGGATTCGTCTTCTTGGTTCTTTTGGTAAAGTCACGTAGAAGGGAAATAATAAAATAATACAAATAAAACATAATAAAATAATTCTCACGACGTTTCGGCCACAACGCAAGCAGCCGTCCTCCGGTGAAGAACAGGTCTGTCGGGAAGACAACGTCTGAATGGGCACCGACCAAGCTTGGCAAAGTATATTTAAGCTGGGTTGGAGGGGGGAAGGGGCGCCTTGACAAAGGAATTTTCATATCAAGAGAAATTTAGCATATTTATGGGAAATGCAGATATGGGATTAGTCACTACTTGTGGAATGCGTAGGAGGTGGGGGGGTTTTCAAAGTCATATTATGCCCGTGCATTATGCAGTATGCAGGATTAGCAGCATCAAAGGGAGGGAGTAAGGGTTAGCAGTAATAGAGGGGAAGGAATTTAAACTTGCAGCGGAGCAAAGAATCCATTCCCTGCGGAGAATAAAAGATATATAGTCAATGCCAGTGAGTGGACTGCGGTCTGAAAGTCACCGTAAACGTGAACACAATCAGTTAAGATCCGAAATGGTTTATTATTGAACGCTGCTGTCATGAACTCAGATCCGCGGTGTCGTAGTCCGGTGTGCCAACCGCTGCGCCACCACTTCCCCATACACTTGCATGAGTCCATGGGCAAGTGTTGACACAGACAGAATTACCACACAGACCGCACACACAGACAAAGATCCCCCGTACAGCCTTTAACACACTCTTGGGGTAAGTGCTGTTGGTTTGGGGCAAGTGCTGTTAGCGAGCACCTATCGAGGCCAAACTGGCATACGAAGGTGTGGGTGGCCCAAACCACGTCCTGCCACCTTTGTCTCCCCAGTGCTGATGCTTTGCAGACCACACCAGGTACTTATTTAAGGTTGAGTCATCCTAAGGAAGGCCCAGGACCGGTGCAAATTTTAAAAGTAATCTAAACTTGTTTTTATTTTACCAGGTAAAGCGCACTGAGCTGTAAAGCTCTTTTTCAGCTTCTCTGCAATATGGTGGCGAGATGTTAACTACCTCGCCTGGTATACAGGAGGTCATGGGTTCGATCCCGACTCTTAACACATGCTGTATATTTGGAGTTTGCGGTGTCACCCCGTGGTCGCGAGCAGCATTTTTCTCTGGGTCCTCTGCTTTTTCCCCTCCACATTTAGAATCAACGTCACCACGCGGTTAGAGTCTTTGGCCACTGTTATACATTTCCACGTGATGATGATGGTGATGATAAGTCGCTTCGTTGGGCTATCATTTGTGATGGCCAGCTCGCTTTCTGAAAAAGAGCTCCACAGCTCAGTGGGCCTTACCTGGTAAAACAAAACATTGTGAAAGCTTTAAATCGAAATCGTGATTATACTCAAGAAGCGGACGAACCTCGTGTCCCCCCCCCCTCTCGCCCCGCGGGATCAGAGCTGCGTGAGGCGTTCTCCAGCAAGAAGGTGGCGAGCCTCATCGGCCTGGAGGGCGCCCATGGGGTGGACAGCAGCCTGGCCGTGCTGCGGATGTTCTACTCGCTGGGCGTGCGCTACATGACGCTCACGCACAACTGCAACACGCCCTGGTAAGCCACAAAGACAAAGATCCCCGTGTAGCCTCAACAGACTGTTGTGGCAAGTGCTGTTAGCGAGTAGCACCTATGAACCCTGGGACGGCACACGAGGGGGTGGGTGGCCAGCACCACGCCCGGCCGCCTTTGTCTCCCGAGTGGCGATGTTTACACACCGCACCAGGTACTCATTTGAGGCTGAGTCACCACGTACGTACGCACGCAAATGAGAACGATTCTTATGTCCATGTCCAGGACGCTTGCTCTAAAGCCTCAGGAGCTCAGACGTCTTAGTACAACAACAATTTCTGACTTTAGGCTTTCATATATTTTTCTATTTAATGATGTCCATTTAGCCAAGATGATGGTATTCGTTGCGTTTAATGCGACATGAAAACACGTAACAGGTGCAGCCGTGGGTCCCTCCACCGACTCCCACCTCTAAAATAGCAAACGACACAAACTCTCTCCTGAAGCCTTCTCGTCGTGTCAAGCAGACCTCGACATTGGCCTCGAGCTCCTGAGCCACATTGCCGTACGCCAGAATGGAATGTACCATTTGGTGTGAGTAATCACGTTTAGTTCATGATAAAGGTTTTTGGGTTAGATCGCGTAAGTATAAATGTGTCGAAACTCTCCACCACCCGACACAGCCAATTAGTAAGGGATTTGTCACGTAAACAAAACCCCAAACAGTGACGACTTCAGCCCACCGGTGTGTTGGAGAGTACATCCACAACATTTACAATTTGAGCGTCAAAGGTTTGACCCTTTATGTTTTTCGTCGAGGCCACGTGCTAGTTTCGTGCCAAAATTCTTGCCAAGAAACGTTTTATATATATTTAAACAGTGCCAGCGTCCTTTGTGTAGCAAACTGCATCTCTCACGATCGTAGAGAAACCAGAGACGAGCGGCAATACAGCAGCAGCCGCCGGGCGGCGAGGACACGGCACTACCAACAATTGTCCAAGCTCTGCAGTCCTCTACACATCAAGATGTTTTCAGCCAATTAACGAGTGCTAATGCATCACATCTTGTCCCAACCATTCCTTCGCCTTGCTACAATCTAGCCAAGGGCACCCCCCCCCAATGGCAGCTGTCCCTCTGCAGCACAAGGTGTCTGCAGCGCCGGCCTGCAAAGAGGGGTTAGGTTCAATCATTGATTTTTGGGTTAGGCCACGTCAATTACCTGGTCAAATCTGTGTCCTCAAGACCCCTCCCCACCAAGCACACCCGAACAACGAGAGACGAGCCGAAAGTGCCCGGCATGGCGAGATATTATCTCTCCCGCCGCTTGGTGAGCAGGAGGTTGTGGGCTCGATCCCGACCCTGACTCGTTGTATATTTGCGTTTGCAGTGTACTCCCCGTGGTTGCGTGAATTATTCTCCGTGTCCTCTGGTTTTTTTTCCTACACATTTAGAAACATGCATTTAGATTATATGTCTGCTGCTATCAAATGTCACGTGATAAGCCACTTCGTTGGGCTATCATTTGTGGGCAGGTCGCTTCTGAAAAAAATCTACATAGCTCAGTGTGCCTTACCTAGCAAAATAAAAAATATTTAAAGTTGTTTCTAGTTTAGTTCCACTGTGCACGTGCGGTGTGTCCCAGGTCCGAGTCGTGGCGGGTGGATGGTGGGAAGGAAGAACCGACATCGTTCGACGGCCTCACCAATTTTGGAAGGTACGAGGGGTTAGCGGATTTATGTAACCTTGGCGACGATGATGACAATGCTACCACTTTGGCGATGATGACAATGCTGATTACGATAACGATGTTGACGATATAGAATTCAGCGGTGGCCAACTGGCGTCTCCCGAGCTCCGTGCCGCTCCTTAATCCACCACAAGTGGCTCTATCGAAGGGGACATAACGTAGAACGCGCTGTCACAGTAGCAAAGAATAATGGATGTCTCCCATGCTGTGCCGAAAACTGTCAACATCTATACACTACACATCTCTGCACTACACTATACACTACACTATACACTACACTATACACTACACATCTCTACACTACACATCTCTACACTACACTATACACTACACATCTCTACACTACACATCTCTACACTACACTATACACTACACATCTCTACACTACACATATATACACTACACATTTATACACTACACATCTATACACTACACATCTCTACACGTGACTCTGGCTCTGCTTCAGATTGGCCACCCATAGTATAGACGATGACCATGATGATGGCGATAATGATTATGACGCCGCTGCTACTGCCGACGACAACGATGACAATGACAATGTTGACAATGTGCGTGTAACTCCTTTCGCACTGTACGTAGCCAACCGTGCTAACCGGAGACGCGGACAACAACAACAATGATGGCGGTGATGATGACTGCGTAATGGTCTCTGTCTGGCCGTGGCCGCCCCCGCAGGAAGTGGTGCTGGAGATGAACCGGCTGGGCATGCTGGTGGACCTGTCACACACGTCTCGCGCCACGGCCATGCGGGCGCTCGCCGTCACCGCGGCGCCCGTCATCTTCAGCCACTCCAACGCCCACGCGGTGTGCGGGCACGGGCGCAACGTGGACGACGAAGTCCTCCAGAAGCTGGTGAGGGGGGGGGGGGAGCACCAACGCTCCCCGCGTGCACTCGATAGCGATGACGAGTTCTGACTCGTAACGCGTGGCCGCCGCGCGGTTCGTTCGCTCGCTCTCCAATTGGTGTTACGAGGAACCACAAGGCGAGCGGGAAAGGATAGCCAGGCGGTGAGCCGGCACCAAATCCAACCCCCCTCCCCCCTCCCCAAGATCTGCGGTCCTCTGTATATTAAGATGTTGTCGTACGTCTTCACTTACATGTACGTCATCGGAACGGGAAAGGGTTAAAGTCGCTCCTTGACCCCTGAAGCGTTGGTTCTCATCGCCAAAGTTAAAGGCAAACCCTGTGGCCAGTTTCCTCTTGGGCGAGTCCCTAATATCAACACAAGTTTACACTCAGAACGTTGCTTGTCATGTTGCAGGGTTGCCTCGACGAGAATTATTCCTGCACCCCCCCCCCCCCCACCCGTGTTACAGACAGAAGAACACGACGGGGTTAATGCAGGGGTCAGCGACCGAAATAACGAGAATATCCAATAATTGTTTTGGATTTGGTAAATAAACTCAATATTTCAAGAGCAACAAAATGCACGTGCATAACGTCACGAAGCGGCCCTTAAAGAGCCGCATGCGGCTCCAGGGCACACAGGTTGTCGACCCCCGAGGCTAATGCATGGACGCCCTCAACCGTCGCTGCTGGAAAGCTTGAAAGCGCTCCTGGCGCTCACGGCTGCGAGTTTGTGTTGAGAGCCTACGGTTCTCAATTGCTGACCGTGTTCGCAGAAAATCAACGGTGGGATCATCATGGTCAACTTTTACCCCAACTTCGTCTCGTGCAAGGACACCGCCACGCTCTCCGAAGTGGTTGGTGAGTAGCAGTGACCACGGATATTTTATTATCCTCATGCCCCATGGTGGAAAGTGCATTTTGCAATTCTTCATTATCCACTGCTACCTCTCTGGCTTATTTATAAACGCCAGGCGCTGAAATGTTTGCAACGTCATAATCGTCCCCGTGGCTAGGAGATGTTAACTACCTCACCTCGTATACAGGAGGTCGTGGGTTTGATCCCGACCGTGACACCTGTATTTATGGAGTTTGCATGTTTTCCCCGTGGTCACGTGGATTTTCAATCGCCATTCAGAATCAACATCACGCGTTTAGAGTATTTGACTCCTGCTTTAGAATTTCCATGCAATAAGCCACTTCGTTGAGCTATCAGTTGTGGCCAGGTCGCTTCTGAAAAAGAGCTATACAGCTTGATGGAGCTTACCTGGTTCCATAAAAAAAATGTTTAGTTTTTATTCTACTTTCAACGCAAAACAACCCAAATGTCAGTTCTTGTCTGTTTTTCATTTCCGACGCTCACAGAATAATTGTGCACATTCCTCTCCGCCCACAGGCCACATGGAGCACATCAAAAAGCACATCGGAGTGGATCACATCGGCATTGGGAGTGACTTTGACGGCTACGATGGGTAAAAAGACAAAGATCACCTTTATAGCCTTAAAAGACTGTTGGGGCAAGTGCTGTTAACGAGTAGCACTTATGAATGGGTGGGTGGTTTATCAGTTTATATATATTTGGTCGGAGCACGGAAGCCCACGTTGTATTGCATAACTAATTATAATAAACAGTGTACTATTTGTATTTTTCCACGTAAGACCCTCTGAGCTATATAGATATTTTTCAGAAGCGACCTGGCCACAACTGATAGATCAACGAAGTGGCTTATTGCATGGAAATTTAAAGCAGGAGCTAAACACTCTAAACGCGTGATGTTGATTCTAAATGTGAAGGGGAAAAAACCGAAGGACCCAGAGAAAAATCCACATGACCCCCACGGGGAGAGAGACACGCAAACTCCAACTATACAGCAGCAGGCGTCATAGTTTAGTTGAAATGTAAAAATTGTAGGCCTGACCCTGTTGGCTCAACGTCGTGGCGTGGTGCAGGGGCACGGAGGGGCTGGAGGACGTCTCCAAGTACCCGCAGCTCATCGCCGAGCTGCTCCGGAGAGGCTGGGCCGACAGCGACGTCTCCAAGCTGCTGGGGGAGAACATACTGCGCGTGCTGGCCCAGGCCGAGGAGGTGAGAAGGCGCCGTCGTCTGGAGGCCACGTGGTGGTGGTGGTGGTGGCGGTGGTGGTGGTGGTGGTGGCGGTGATGGCGGCGGTGGTGGTGGCGGTGATGGTGGCGGTGATGGCGGTGGTGGTGGTGGTGGAGGTAGCGGCGGTGGTGGTGGTGGCGGTGGTGGCGGTGGTGGCGGTGGCGGCGGTGGAGGTGGCGGTGGTGGCGGCGGTGGCGATGGCGGTGGTGGCAGTGGTGGTGGCGGTGGCGGTGATGGCGGTGGTGGTGGCGGTGATGGCGGTGGTGGTGGTGGTGGCGGTGGCGGCGGTGGTGGCGGTGGTGGTGGTGGCGGTGGTGGTGGTGGCGGTGGTGGCGGTGGCGGTGGTGGCAGTGGTAGTGATGGCGGTGGTGCAGTGGTGGTGGCGGTGGCGGCGGTGGTGGCGCCAGTTGGCGCAGGGGTTGATCCCGTTTCAACGGTCGCTGTATCACATATGTACCTACGTTGAACTCGTGGTCCACCTCAAACCCCCCCCCCCCAAAAAAAAAAACCTAAAAAACCCTAATAAACTAAAAAAACCTTGTCCACCGCACAAACGATGGCAGTAGATGCGGATCCCTGATGCACAAATGGAAAATGTTAAACTCTCCAGGAGTAGTGTGCGACTGTGGTCATCCAGAACAGGCCATACAACGTCTAGCGACGCAATGCCCCGATCCACAAATACGGAGGAGACATCACGGCGATTCACTCCGCTCCTCCTGACGCGCTGATCTGGCTCGAGACCACCTGAATGTCGCATTGTGGTTGTTGCTCTGCCTCGACATCAGCCGGACGGAAGAAAAATAAGATGTTGAACCTCTAATCGAAGGTGCAGGGGAAGGACATCGAATTAAACACAAAAAGCAGTCCTAAAGAAATACGTTTGTCAATCTGGATGATGATTTAAAAGTGCACAGCTCCAGTGGCTTGCTAATATCGGAAGGGAGAGCGTTCCAGACGGCCGCAGAACCGCATCTGAAAGTGCTGTGCGATGCGGTGGTGTGCAGCGGCTTCAGTTCAAGTTCAGTTTGCCACATCAGGGTTGTAACTGTAGTGCCACTACATAACCAGGCTCAACACAAGATTACGTGCTAACTTGGCTATCAAAACTTTGATGGTGCTGTTTGTTTCTGCTCGCTTGGCGTTTTTGGCCATCGGGATTGCGCTCAGTAGCTGGTTGGCAGGGGGGCGGCAGTGGCAACACTGCGTGGGTGCGCTGTGTGGTCGTGCTGCATGGCTACACTGCGTGGTCGTGCTGCATGGCTACACTGCGTGGGGTGCTTTGTGTGGTCGTGCTGCATGGCTACACTGCGTGGGTGCGCTGCGTGGCTACACTGCGTGGGTGTGCTGCATGGCTACACTGCGTGGGTGTGCTGCATGGCTACACTGCGTGGCTACACTGCGTGGGTGTGCTGCATGGCTACACTGCGTGGGTGCGCTGCATGGCTACACTGCGTGGCTACACTGCGTGGGTGCGCTGCATGGCTACACTGCGTGGCTACACTGCGTGGGTGCGCTGCATGGCTACACTGCGTGGCTACACTGCGTGGGTGCGCTGCATGGCTACACTGCGTGGCTACACTGCGTGGGTGCGCTGCGTGGCTACACTGCGTGGGTGCGCTGCGTGGCTACACTGCGTGGGTGCGCTGCGTGGCTACACTGCGTGGGTGCGCTGCATGGCTACACTGCGTGGCTACACTGCGTGGGTGCGCTGCATGGCTACACTGCGTGGCTACACTGCGTGGGTGCGCTGCATGGCTACACTGCATGGCTACACTGCGTGGTCGTGCTGCATGGCTACACTGCGTGGTCGTGCTGCATGGCTACACTGCGTGGGTGCGCTGCATGGCTGCACTGCGTGGCTACACTGCGTGGGTGCGCTGCGTGGTCACGTTGCTCTTGACCGTCCTGCAGGTGCGGGATCTCTTAAAAATGTCGAGGCCGGACGAAACCAACATTCCGCAGGGCGAGGTGCGAAACGACTGTCGCACAGACCACGGCGTCGCTGAGCAGCAGCAGCAGGAGGAGGAGGAGGCGTTAGACGGACGAGGAAACATCGCGAGTGGCCACGTCGTCTGCACCGTGGCCCCCGTTCTGCTGCTGCTGCTGCTGCTCCAGTGAAGAGGGTGGCGGAGTGGAGCAGCCCTTTTCCAAAATTAATATTAAGAGTGATATTTCCTATTTTGAATGTAATCGTTATTTTTGGTCTGGATTTAGCGCATTAAAGAACACGCAGTAACGGAGGCCTGTGAACTCCTTCCTTGAGACAACACATTCCATAGAAGCACCCCCTGCTGCCTCGCTCTCCCACAAAGATACCTGGAGGTTCATTATCCACAAGCCTTCGCTGGGAAAAGTTATAAAATTGGATTGACCACCACCTCATCGGAATATTTTCAGACATCATGGTAGTAAACGTTAACTTGATAGAATGTTACATGATGATGTAGCTCAGGTAAACAGGTTTAACATCACTCTTTTGTATATTTTCATTAACAATTACTATTACGCCATACGGTCTGGGATAAGCATGTAAACCTTAATGATAATGCAAGGAGTGACCCAGGGAATTTCTGAAAAGCAAGGGAGGACCCATGGCAAAACACCATCGACTCGCTGCGCACCCGAGGGGAAACACAGGGCAAAGCGACGAGAATGTCCCTTGCCGTATCACTCTCTGAATTAAACAAACCCTGGTGCCTGGAAAGTTGGCATGAAACATTCACAACACACTGTTTAAACTCCTGTTGTTGTCCATCATCCTACATCTGTGTCCAAGTAGTGCCACTTCCCTTCTCATCGCTACCTGCATCATCGGCTTCTCTTCTTCTATGCTGCAACCTTTTTTTCTTACTTCTACGTTGATCAACTCTTTGGGTCCATCTGAGATGCAAGTTGCCTTCTGTCGTGAGACATTTCGAGACATTTCGAGTGCCAACATGGGCCAGCTGTACGCGACGCAATGCCGCCATCTGCTGTCTAAATGTGGGAAGGAAAATAAACGTCCGAATTCGTCAATAATGTTGGATGGGTTTTAAAAGGAAAACACATAGGCGACATTTCGGGCAATGGCCCTTTGTCATACCTATTCATAACTATTAAGAAAGAGCATAGCTATGAAGAGCCATTGTCCAAAACGTCGCTTATATATTTTGTCCCTTATCGCTATTATCATATAGCCCTAACATACTTTTGAGGCAAGTGCTGTTAGCGAGCACCTATCAAGGCCGGCACGACACACATTGGGGTGGGTGGCCAGCACCACGCCCGGCCGCCTTTGTCTCCCTCGTGACCATGTTTACACACCACATCAATTACTCATTTGAAACTGAGTTGGCTTAGGGGAGGCCCAGGACCGGTTCAGATAATTACACTGTGTAACAAATGGTTTTTTTGGTTCCTGGGTAATAAGTGTTATTTCCTAATTGCTTATGCCGCAAAAGTACAGGGAATGGCTGTTATTCCCCGCAAACTTTGCTTTTGTGACCAGGACAGTGATATTTAGAAATTTACTTATTTTACAGAACATTCCAGATATATTCAGTGCTGAGTAAACTTGGAGTACCTTCTAGAACATTCTCGAACTTTCCAGTAATATAAGTAGTAGCCTTAAGCACACCAGTTCAGTTTAGTTCCAGCTGCCTCAGTGGATACATATCTGCATTTTTCTGAGATGACATCAATAGGCTACAAGCATCTGGCTGGCGCATTTTGCTATGTCTGTGGCCAATTTATCAAGACAAGAGCGAAAAAGTACTCTGTGGAAGCATCTGCTGAGATGTGTGAGGCCTACAAGGCATATTTCGGCATGCCTGTCGGGGATCAAGACAAACCCTGTGCACCTCATTTCACCTGCGAGCAATGCAACAAAAACTCCGGAAGGGAAAATGGACAATTGTTGCTCGAAATTGCATATAAACAAAATTTCTTACAATTTTTTTCATTGTACAAAAATGATTTTTAAATGTTTTTCTTACAATTTTTTTAATTGTACAAAAATGATTTTTAAATGTTTTACAATTTTCAATGTTATTGAAAAAATATACCGTATATGAAAAATGTTGCGAGATTCTCTTGCACATTAGTCATGGATGAAATAAAAACAATTTGTAGGAGGGTACAGAGAGGAAAAAAGCCATGAAATTCGCTATCCCAAGAATTTTGCGGGAACCCACTGACCACTCAAGCAACTGCTACTTCTGCATGGTGGACCCTTCCAAACGTCAGACTGGCAAGAATGCACCTGCTATCACGTACATCGCCCCGGTGCCACACTGCCATGAGCTCCCCGTACCCACTTCTCTGGACAGAGAGAGCAGCCGTCTTGAGAAGAAAGCAGAAAGTCAGAGAGTGAGGAAGACGTTGTAGATCCAGATGACAGTTTCAGAGGTGGAGCTGAGGAGAGAAACCCATACTACCCCAACCAAAAATACCTCAATGGCTTGATCAGATATCTTGGTCTCGCCAAATCCAATGCCGAGCTTTTGACGTCTAGGCTCAAGTAGTGGAACTTGTTGGATGAAAGTGTGCAAGTCGCAGATCAGAGGAAGCGTCACCAACCTTTTTGCAGCTTCTTCACCTGTCAAGATGGGCTCTGCTTCTGCCACAATGTGACCAGTCTGTTCGAGGCAATCGGAATCGCCTGTAACCAGAATGAGTGGCGCCTCTTCATTGACAGCTCATCTAGGAGACTGAAAGCCGTGTTGCTCCATAATGGTAACAAGTACCCGTCTCTTCCCCTGGCTCACTCGGTACACATCAAAGAGGATTACAACAGCATCACAAGACTTTGCTGGACGCCTTGAAGTATGATGAGTACGGCTGGGAGGTCTTCGGAGACTTCAAAATGGTGGCATTCCTGATGGGTCTCCAAGGCGGTTTTACCAAGTTTCCCTGCTATCTTTGCCTTTGGGACAGCAGGGACACCAAGGTGCACTACCACAAGCGGGACTGGCCACAGCGGACCGAGTTCTCTGTGGGGAGGAGCAACGTCAAGTGGGAGCCACTGGTTGACCCCCAGAAGGTGCGGATGCCACCACTGCACATCAAATTGGGCCCTGTGAAACAATTTGTCAGACCTGTAGATAAGGAGTCGGCAGCCTTCAAGTACCTTCAAGACTTCTTCCCTAAGCTGTCTGAGGCAAAGGTCAAAGCCGGTGTCTTCGTCGCACCACAGATAAAGAAGATCCTGGAGTGCAATGAATTCCCCAAGAAGCTCACTAGTAAGGAGAAAGCGTCTTGGGACAGCTTTGTCGCAGTGGTTCGTGGCTTCCTGGGCAATCACAAGGTCGAAAAATATGTGGAGCTGGTTGAGACTCTGGTGAAGAACTACAGCACAATGGGCTGAAGGATGTCCCTCAAAGTTCATATCCTTGATGCTCATCTTGATAAATTCAAGGAGAACATGGGAGCGTACTCGGAGGAGCAAGGCGAGCGCTTCCACCAGGATATACTGGACTTTGAACGCCGCTACCAAGGACAGTGTGACGAGAACATGATAGGAGACTACATTTGGGGACTGATTCGTGAAAGTGATTTACAGTATAATCGTAAATCTCGAAAAACCACTCACTTCTAAATCTTGTGTAGTCATTTTTGTATTACTTTAGTATAAATACATGTTAATTTTGATTCATATGTTTTTTTTCTGACTTTATGTGAACGAAAAGATACAAATTCGCCCGTTTTATAATTGAAAATAGGCACATTTCTAAATATTACTGTCCTGGTCACAAAAGCAAAGTTTGTGGGGAATAACAACCATTTATTTATACTTTTTAGATGTAAGCAATTAGGAAATAACACTTACTACCCAGCAACAAAAATTGTGTTGCATCGTGTAATCGTTACTGGTGTTGGTGGCCGTGAGCGGCGTTCGTCGCGTAGCGCGCTAACCGCTACACCACCGCTCCCCACAACAACCTCCATTCACCACTCACTCAGTGGCGATGACGTCACCGCGACGCTTGTGCCATGCTAGGTGCACTTTGGTAGGAGGTCACCGAACAGACCCAGGTTCGTCTTCACAGAAGACACAGACACGCTCATTGTCACTCAGACACATGGATTGTCATACACACACACACACTCGTTGCCACACACACTCACTGTCACATTCACACAGACACACTCACTCTCACACACACTCGTTGCCACACACACTCACTGTCACACACACACTGTCACACAGACACACTCACTCTCACACACACACACTCGTTGCCACACACACTCACTGTCACATTCACACAGACACACTCACTCTCACACACACTCGTTGCCACACACACTCACTGTCACACACACACTGTCACACAGACACACTCACTCTCACACACACACACTCGTTGCCACACACACTCACTGTCACACACACACAGTCACACAGACACACTCACTCTCACACACACACTCACTGTCACACACACACACTTACTGTCACACACACACACTCACTGTCACACACACACACTCACTGTCACATACACGCACGCATTGTCAAGCACACACACTCACTATCACACACACTCACTGTAACACACACACTCACTGTCACACACACACTCACTGTCACACTCACTCTCACACACACACACTCACTGTCACACACACGCACGCATTGTCAAACACACAAATTCAATGTCACACACACACTCATTGTCACACACACACGCACTCTCATACACACGCACACTGTCACACACACAGACACACGCATTGTCACACGCACGCACACACTCCAGCGCACGTCACCCAACATAGCCAATCGCTGTTCACCGTCGCCTGCTGCTGCTGCTGTTGTTGATGCCGCTGTTTGTGCCCCGCACACCGAGAGGAAGAAGCTCCCTGCGTGCTAGCGGCGTCCCTCCAACATCATCATCATCAGCAGCAGCCGCCATCCTTCAGCAACATCAACAACGACCACGACCACTGATGACGGAGGAATGAGATAGGCGGTGAGGCTGTTGAGTGTTTGTTGAGTGTTTGCATTTGGCGCAGTCGCAGCATTGAACGCGACGGGGGTGGGTAGATGGGGGGGGGGGCATTGGCCCAATGCATCCGATGCCCTGATGGAAATCTAACGCGTTGTTACCGTGCCCCGAGGGCATTTAATGGGATTTAAATACCCAGCTGGGCGTGGGAGCATTTAATTCGGAGTGCGGCAGCAGCGGCGGTCGTAGTCGCAACACGGCAGGGCACTGCTGAGCAATCCCGGCACCAGTTCGAGTCCAGACTGGGCTGCACCAACCCGCACTGCCCCAGCGCGTGGTGGTGGTGGTGGTGGTGAAGTATGGCCAGCAACAACGATGCCTTCGTGTGGCCAACACCGCGCCCGGCCGCCTTCGTCTCACCCAGTGGCGCCGTACAAGCACCGCGCACCAGGGACTCAACGGAGGCTGAGTCGACCTAGGGGAGGCCCAGGACCGATTCTGACAATCGTCGGTGGCTGTGAGCGGGAATGGCACTCGGGTGGCCGCGTGTGGGGGAGACCACCACCACCACCTGCTCCACCACCACCACCTGCTCCACCACTACCACCTGCTCCACCACCACCACCTGCTCCACCACCACCACCTGCTCCACCACCACCACCTGCTCCACCACCTGCTCCACCACCATCATCATCCAGCACCACCACCACCATCATCATCCACCAACACCACCACCATCATCATCCAGCACCACCACCACCACCACCATCATCATCATCCAGCATCACCATCATCATCATCATCCAGCACCACCACCACCATCATCATCATCCAGCACCACCATCATCATCCAGCACCACCACCACCACCATCATTATCCAGCACCACCACCATCATCATCCAGCATCACCATCATCATCCAGCACCACCACCACCACCATCATCATCCAGCACCACCACCATCATCATCCAGCATCACCATCATCATGCACCACCACCATCATCATCATCCAGCACCACCATCATCATCATCCAGCACCACCACCACCATCATCATCATCCAGCACCACCACCATCATCATCCACCACCACCACCACCATCATCATCCAGCACCACCACCACCACCATCATCATCATCCAGCATCACCATCATCATCATCCAGCACCACCACCACCATCATCATCATCCAGCACCACCATCATCATCCAGCACCACCACCACCACCATCATTATCCAGCACCACCACCATCATCATTCAGCATCACCATCATCATCCAGCACCACCACCACCACCATCATCATCCAGCACCACCACCATCATCATCCAGCATCACCATCATCATCCACCACCACCATCATCATCATCCAGCACCACCATCATCATCATCCAGCACCACCACCACCATCATCATCATCCAGCACCACCACCATCATCATCCACCACCACCACCACCATCATCATCCAGCACCACCACCACCACCATCATCATCATCCAGCATCACCATCATCATCATCATCCAGCACCACCACCACCATCATCATCATCCAGCACCACCATCATCATCCAGCACCACCACCATCATTATCCAGCACCACCACCATCATCATTCAGCATCACCATCATCATCCAGCACCACCACCACCACCATCATCATCCAGCACCACCACCATCATCATCCAGCATCACCATCATCATCCACCACCACCATCATCATCATCCAGCACCACCATCATCATCATCCAGCACCACCACCACCATCATCATCATCCAGCACCACCACCATCATCATCCACCACCACCACCACCATCATCATCCAGCACCACCACCACCACCATCATCATCACCCAGCAGTGGATTGGCGAAGGCACGGACGGTGGCTTGGCCACGGGTCCACGGTATCGCCGTGCCCTGAGGGCGTTTGATGGATAGAGCACTGCCCTGAGGGCGTTTGATGGGTAGATCACTGCCCTGAGGGCGTTTGATGGGTAGAGCACTGCCCTGAGGGCGTTTGATGGGTAGATCACTGCCCTGAGGGCGTTTGATGGGTAGATCACTGCCCTGAGGGCGTTTGATGGGTAGAGCACTGCCCTGAGGGCGTTTGATGGGTAGATCACTGCCCTGAGGGCGTTTGATGGGTAGAGCACTGCCCTGAGGGCGTTTGATGGGTAGATCACTGCCCTGAGGGCGTTTGATGGGTAGATCACTGCCCTGAGGGCGTTTGATGGGTAGATCACTGCCCTGAGGGCGTTTGATGGGTAGATCACTGCCCTGAGGGCGTTTGATGGGTAGATCACTGCCCTGAGGGCGTTTGATGGGTAGATCACTGCCCTGAGGGCGTTTGATGGGTAGATCACTGCCCTGAGGGCGTTTGATGGGTAGATCACTGCCCTGAGGGCGTTTGATGGGTAGATCACTGCCCTGAGGGCGTTTGATGGGAGGATCACTGCCCTGAGGCGTTTGATGGGTAGATCACTGCCCTGAGGGCGTTTGATGGGTAGATCACTGCCCTGAGGGCGTTTGATGGGTAGATCACTGCCCTGAGGGCGTTTGATGGGTAGATCACTGCCCTGAGGGCGTTTGATGGGAGGATCACTGCCCTGAGGCGTTTGATGGGTAGATCACTGCCCTGAGGGCGTTTGATGGGTAGATCACTGCCCTGAGGGCGTTTGATGGGTAGATCACTGCCCTGAGGGCGTTTGATGGGTAGATCACACTGCCCTGAGGGCGTTTGATGGGAGGATCACTGCCCTGAGGCGTTTGATGGGTAGATCACTGCCCTGAGGGCGTTTGATGGGTAGATCACTGCCCTGAGGGCGTTTGATGGGTAGATCACTGCCCTGAGGGCGTTTGATGGGTAGATCACACTGCCCTGAGGGCGTTTGATGGGAGGATCACTGCCCTGAGGCGTTTGATGGGTAGATCACTGCCCTGAGGGCGTTTGATGGGTAGATCACTGCCCTGAGGGCGTTTGATGGGTAGATCACTGCCCTGAGGGCGTTTGATGGGTAGATCACTGCCCTGAGGGCGTTTGATGGGTAGAGCACTGCCCTGAGGGCGTTTGATGGGTAGATCACTGCCCTGAGGGCGTTTGATGGGTAGATCACTGCCCTGAGGGCGTTTGATGGGTAGATCACTGCCCTGAGGGCGTTTGATGGGTAGATCACACTGCCCTGAGGGCGTTTGATGGGAGGATCACTGCCCTGAGGCGTTTGATGGGTAGATCACTGCCCTGAGGACGTTTGATGGGTAGATCACTGCCCTGAGGGCGTTTGATGGGTAGATCACTGCCCTGAGTGCGTTTGATGGGGAGATCACTGCCCTGAGTGCGTTTGATGGGTAGATCACTGCCCTGAGGGCGTTTGATGGGTAGATCGCTGCCCTGAGGGCGTTTGATGGGTAGATCGCTGCCCTGAGGGCGTTTGATGGGTAGATCACTGCCCTGAGGGCGTTTGATGGGTAGATCGCTGCCCTGAGGGCGTTTGAAGTTGACCCGTGCTTTGAGGGCGTGCGCTGTCTAATTTGCTCTGAGGGCATTCGACGCGTAATTCCCTGTGCCCCGAGGGCACGCATCTACACCGTCTTGCCTTCAGGGCATTTAGTGGGTAATTTATCGTCACCGTGCCATAAAGTTCCTCTATCTATGCATGCCCTGGGAACTGTCTTAGGGGCCGTCCATAAATGACGTCACGCACCTGGGTGGGGGGGCAGACATTTGTGACGATGTGTGACGGGGAGGGGGGGTTGAACGGGGTTTGAGAAATGTTACGTCACATCAAAATGCGCAACTTTAAATAAATATAGACAACACGTTCTACTTAATGAAATATACTTTTTAATAAATGTTTTCTCCTACAACATCAGAGTGCAGCGCCTAATTAAATACGCACTACAATGACAATAGTTTAAAGCGATTTGAAGCATGTTTTATTTTGGGGGGGGCAGAGCTTTGTGACGTCATATTTGAGGGGGGGTTTGACTTTTTGTGACGTCGTATGACGAAGGGGAGGGGGGTCAAAAATCGTGTAACGTTATTTATGGACGGCCCCTTAGCTAATGCCTCACCATTCCTTACCATGCCCTTATTATATCCCGACCATGCCCTCACGTACCCTCATATACCCTTACCACACCCCTCATGCGCTCTCACCGTTGCCCCCCCCCCCCCCCCCCGTGTTCTCACCAAGTGTGTGCCCAGGCGTGAGACGGGAGCTGGTGGGAGGCTGCTACGAGCCTGCCAGCGGAGGGCTCTGCCGTGGGTCCTGTCGGTGTGTCGCCTGGGCCGAGTCCACCCACACTGAGCCGTGTCCACCCACGCTGCTGAGACGGGCGAGGGTGAGTGGGGGTCGTGTGGTCGTGAGGGCGATTGGGAGCGGTGGCGCAACGGTTAGTGCACCGCGCTACGAACCCGGCGATCCAAATTCGATTCACGCTCACGGCCACCGACACCGATATCTGAATCTGTCCTGGGCCTCCCCTAGGTCGACTCAGCCTCAAATGAGTTCCTGGTGTGATGTGTAGCCATCGTCACTGGGGAGACAAAGGTGGCGGGGCGTGGTGCTGGCCTCCCACCCCCTCGTGTGCCTTGCCGGCCTTCATAGGTGCTCGCTAACAGCACTTGCCCCTACAGTCTCTTAAGGCTGTGCGGGGAATCTTAGTCTCAGCTCAGCTCTACAGAGCCCCTCTAAGAGGTGATTTTCGTCAACTCTTCCAGGGCTGGTCAGGCGGCCTGGCAGAGGGGAGAGTACCCACACTTTACCCCACTGTACTGCTGGAGGCAGGCTGGCGATTGATCAGGCAACCTCTGGATTGCAAGTCCAGTGTGCTTGCCAACTACACCCAGAGCCGTCCCTAGGGTACTGCGAATCAAGCGACTGCCCCGGGCCCTGTGCTTTGGGGGGGGGGGGCGCACTTGTACGTCACGGTATCAGTTGCAATACGGTTTTGTTTGAAGGCGTTGGGGGGCCAACATCGAGTGCTTTACCCCAGGCCCTGACTACAGCATTCAGCTATCTCAAGCACTTTGAGTGAAAGCACTCTATACATATAATTTATATTCGGTTATACAACCTTTCATCGATAAATCCACATATTAAGTTAATTTGCGGATATTTATGGGTTTTAAGACAAGCAATTTATTAGGAAGCAAGAAAACCCCACAGATTAATGAAAAATATTTTTCAAATCTGGAAGAAAATCATTTTTAAACAGCACAAGCATCCAGGAATATCTATAGTTACAGTATGTTGGAGAAAATCTCGTAGTTTGTATAACTTCTTATTAGTAATAGCAATTCTCATGGCCTGCGTCACCGTCCCTATGAGTATAACTTTTTTTAAAGTAGCATTACAATCAGTGGAAGGAAGTGTAATATTGCTTATATTACATTCTTTGGTGATGCATCACTAAGTGCATTATATTAATTAATACTATTGACATGATAATTCAGCCCAGGCCATCAGCACCAAGTGAATTATGCTAATTATAATCTTGTTGAAATGAGAATTGAACCAAGAAATGCATCACTAAGTGGATTATGTAAAAAGAAATGTCAATCGTGTAACATTGTTATGATTTAGTTTATCAGGCCCCATAGTTTGTGAGGTGTTGTCTCCCAGCTGTATCCACTCTCCTCTTGTGACTGTTATATACATTTTAACACAGTGTTATTGACAAACATGTTGGATAATTCTGTATTAGATTCACCAGCAGATGATCATTTCAGTGTTGTCACAGTTAAATGCTATAATATTGTCATTGCAATGGTTAATTGATATTCTGTCTGTTATTGTGATGATCTCTGTAGCAAATTGCAATTGGGTAGCTGCTTTGCATGATGTAAGGGACTTCCTTTATCAGGTTGGGAATGTTCAGAAATGCAAATGCACCATAGTGGTGAAGTATGGATGATAAACACCCTCATGGTAGTTTGCACCTAAGTGGGTAGTGTAGCGGTTAGCGCGCTGCGCTACGAACCCGGCGTCTCGAGTTCGATTCCCGCTCACGGCTAACACCGATGATGATTATCTGAACCGGTCATAAACGCGGGGACTGGCTGTATCGCCAATTTTAAATGCAGATATAAATTTAGCTCGATGGTTTTGTGCAGTCATTGGTGAGCGAGCTGAAACCATAAATTCGCTGCACGTGAAAACCCAGTTTCATTGCAGGATGCTGAAACCCGGATTCGAGGCCAGCATCTGAGTAGTGCCAGCTCAGCACCGACCTCTGACCCGCCCGGCCACCCCTATGTTAAATATTTCTCCGAAGGCAGTGTTAACCACGCAGCTTCTCCCCGCTCCGCCCCCTCCCTCCTTGCGTGCGCAGCGTACGTCTCCCTCTCTCGCGCGCGCTGCCGGCGTTTACCGGCGTTTGCCGTCGCGATGAGCCAGCTACGCTACCGCAAGCCGCACAGGGAGCAGGGTAACGGGCGGCGGCACAACGATGACGTTCGGCACGGAGCGCCGCCGACCGGGATGGACAAACGAGGTGAGGACCGCTTCGTCGAGAGCGAAACCCGGGAGAGGCTCGACGGAGAGACAAGAGGCGGTAGCGTGGCTCAAACCGTCGGAGCCGGCTGTGGCAAAGTGCCAACAGCCCCGTCCGCAGCCCGTAATGTTTTTTTTTATATCGGCGGACGTCGGGAGTACTTGTAACGTCCGCACAGGGTAAGTGTAGTCCTGACGTGGTTTCAAAACGGCGTCTGAGAAACGGTCGTTTTGAGACTGTCCTCACGTCTGCGGATGGCGAATTAAAAATTCCACCGCTCTGGGATTAGAGGCTCCTTTGTGAGGCTTTGTCACCATGGGGACTTTGAAGACAAAGTGAGTGTCAACCCTCGCGCTATGCGCCGCCAGCGCAGGACTTTTGTCCGGAGGGGGCCGTCTCGTTGCGTGATGCGCTGCGAGCGTGAGGCCCTGTGAAATCTCCGCCCCCACTCTGGGCATGCGTACGTGTGTATGTACGTGTGTGTGTGTACGTGTGTGTGTACGTGTGTGTGTACGTGTGTATGTACGTGTGTATGTACGTGTGTGTGTGTGTACGCGAGTGAGTGTGAGAGTGGTGTTGGCCACTCACCACCCCGTTTGCGGTGTCGGCCTTCATAGGTGCTCGCTTACAGCACTTGCCCCAGCAATCTGTTAAATCTATACGGGGTATCTTTGTCTTTGTGTGTGGGAGTGATTGTATCGTGTTTAGCACCAGTAACGATTATCTGAACCGGTCCTGGGCCTCCCCTCGTTCGACTCAGCCTCAGATCAATACCTGATGCGGTGTATTGCCATTGCGGATAGGCCAACAAATGCGGCTGGGCATGGTGCTGGCCACCCACTCCCTCGTGTGCCATACCGGCCTTCATAGGTGCTCGCTAACAGTTCTTGTACCTACAGTCTGTTAAGGTGAAACAGGGGATCCTTTATGGTGAATAATCCACTCTGATGCTAACCCGGTGAGCCAAGTGTGAATCACGCTCGCAGCTAATATCGGTGATTCACTTTTGAACCATTCCTGGGCCTCCCCTAGGTCGACTCAAATGAGTGCCTGATATGGTATATAAATATTACCGCTGGGCAGACAAAGGCCCGCTGGCTGTGGTGCTGGCCACCCACCCCACTTGTGCCACGCTGGACTTAATAGGTGCTCGCTAACAGTACTTGACCCAATGGTCTGTTAAGGCTATGCGGGGGATCTTTGTCGCATCTCCCCACCCAGATGGGGCGGTGGTGTCGAAAAAGCGGACGCTGGGGCTCGTCCTCGGCTGCCTGGTGGGAGTCGCTTCAGGGCTGTGCCATGCCAAGTACCTGGGCACGCTGCACGAGAATGAGCTCTGGTTCTCCAACATTCAGGTTGGTGCACTCACAGTTACTCACCCTGCTTGATTCCATGACTGCTGGGAACCCAGTCTAGGAATGGTGCAGTTCAGGCACAAGGTCAGCTCTAGGATCCGGGTTCGCGTCCCCACGTTCCATAAGCTACGAGGCTACGTTGGCTCACCTCCCCCCAAATCGCACCTCCAGTTAGCACGGTTAGCGACGTACGGCGGGAAAGTAGTTCGACATACGTACATACAAATGGTTGTGGTGTCACAGCGCGAGAGTCTCACTGCGGCATTGAAGCCACGAGCTCGCGACGCGTAGCCCCTTTTTAAAGTGAGCCATGTGGCGTGGTATAAGAGTGCCACCCGGCCTGGTGAGAGTTCGCTTGGCCTGGTGAGGCTGCCGTGTGATGTGAGGCCCTGAGCACTCTCCCGCTTTGTGAAGGTGACATGAGCGTGCGGCATCGGTGAGAGGTCGCACCCAGTTAGGGTTGCTCTCGGACTCAGCCCAGTGCCAGCAGCAGACCAGTACGAGTTCTCACTGACCATGCCATCTCAGATCATCTCCTGAGAACCCCTCTCTTCCACGTTGGCCATACGTTTTTGAAAGAGGTGGGTGGGGAGTCCCCACATTTTACCCCACTGGCCATGCAAATGGTACGGCACCCTTGCACAAGCTGCGCCGCACGATGTCCTGGGGCTCACGGAGGTTTCCCTGCAGGAGGTGGAGCGTGAAATCTCGTTCAGGACAGAATGCGGCCTCTACTACTCCTACTACAAGCAGCTGCTGCAGGCGCCCTCCTTCCTGCAAGGTGAGACGGTGGCCTGGCGAGCGATGTGGCCAAAACCACCCCCGGTGAGCTCGTCCACATTGCAGAAGCTAAGCGGGTGGAGCCGAGTTGGAAGCAGGATGAATGAACACTCCTGCAAGGTGGTCAGGAACTGGCAGTGCTGAGTATATGTACATTAGCTGTGTCTATTTCAAAACATCATCTGTCCCTCTATCTCTCTCTGTGGGTCAGTCTGGCTGTCTTGTCTGCATATTTATTGGCCCATCTATATGTATGTATAGCTCAACGAAGTGACTTGTCATGTGGAAATGTATAGCAGCCAAATACTCTAAACTCATGTTGTTGATTCTAAATGCGGAGAAGAATCCACGTGACCACAAGGAGTCCATGCAAACTCCAAATATACAGCAGGCGTCAGGGTTGGGGTCGAACCCACAACCTCCAGGCGAGCGAGTTAACATCCCATCACCGTGGCACCCCAGACGTGAAATGCGCGCGTGGTTTCACTTGTAAGCGGTGACATCCTCTGCTTCCCCTCCATCAGCTTTAGCGTCACTCTCCACGGCAGCTGCCTTATTCCATCCAATGATTGGGGAATGTTTTTTTTTAAGCGCTCGGCATGAGATTTCGAGAAACGTTGAACTTCAGGCTGAGCCTGCCTTATGAGTGAAACCAAGGGACTGTGAAACCATGATCGGGATCAAAGCCATGACATCCGGCATACCAGGCGAGGTAGTTAACATCTTCCACCATGGCACCCAATCGTGTGCGGTGGGATGATCGTGCGCCGTGGCCGTGGCTGCTGCTGCTGCTGTTGTTGCCAGGCATTCGTGAGCTGGTCTACGACAACCGCACTGAGTCGCTACGGACCATCAATCTCCTGCAGCGCATGAACATCTACCAGGAGGTCATCATGGGCCTCCTGTACTGCACCCTTCCCCTCCAGGTAAGGCCTCGGACCAAGTCAACAGAGTCAGCTCATCCGATCTCACAAGCTCAGCGGCGGTTTAGGCTGCTGTTGTGGGCAGCAGATGGCAGTTGAGCGAAAAATCCATTGTTGTAATGTACATCTATGCTCACCAACGCATACTGGCCAGCATGGTGAAGTACGGTTAAATAACCCCATGGTGTGGGGAGGCCCTCGTCCGGCGATGATGTTCGAATGTTGCACTAAGCTAATGGAGTGAACAAAATTGTACCAACTGGAGCAGTAAGAGAATGAGGACGGATACAAGCGAGACGATGAAACAGAACGAGATGAGTTTATTGGACTCTTCTTGTGTACAAAGACAAAAGAAAAGATGTAGCCTTAACAGACTATTGGGGCAAGTGCTATTAGCGAGCACCTATGAAAGCCGGCATGGCACACGAGGGAGGGTCAGCACCACGCCCAGCCACACTTGTTCCCCAAGTGGCGATGTTTACACACCGCACCAAGTACTCATTTGAGGCTGAGTCGACCTATGTATGTTGAACATCTTTCCCCCTGTACATAGCCAACCGTGCTAATCGGAGGTGCAGGGAAAGGACAACAAACTAAACACCAAAGCAGTTCTAAAGAAATGGATTTCCAATCTATATTTTAAAGTGCATCGGTCCAGTGGCTTCCTAATATCGTGCTTCAGAGGGCCACAGAAACGCATTTGAAAGCGCGCGATGCAGTGACCGTCTTTGTTTGATGGTGAGCCAAAAGCCGCTGCTGTGAGGATGACGGGACCAAGACAAAGCCACACACACCTAACGCGTGCGTCCATCTACACACGTGTTCGTACAGTCACCATTGCCACGACCTTACCGGTCCGTCCTTGAGCTCTACTCTGTTGTGCCGCTACCGCCCCCCCCCCCCCTGCAGGGTTGGCTTGAGCCCGTCTACTTCTACATCCACGCGGTGTTCCAGCTGCAAGGCCTCTACGTGGTGGCGCTGCACGTCACCGCCTGGTTGCTCAGCGGCACGTGGTTGGCGGGCCTTCTGGCCGCCACGTGGTTCACCGTCAACAGGTGAGGGAACGATTCCCCTCCGGCGTGCGTTCAGGCCTTGCCAGCCGAATGTTGTTTGTCTTCACCCAGAAGGAGCTTCTCAGGAGCGTGGAGTGAAACTTCGTGGTACAACCCCTGGAAACACCGTTAGGAGAGCGATTGCAGCGCGACCGTGAAAAACCCCCGCGGTCGATGAGAATTATCGTAAATGGGCCGGCTACGTGAGTGGCCGAGGTGGAGGCTCAGAGGGTGAAGCACTGAGCCAGTGACGCCGGGAGCCTGAGTGTGAATCCAGCCGTCCGCCTGTGAGTATCCGCTTGAATCACAGACAGCTGCGACACTCGAGCAGACTCACACCCAGGGTCGCAGTGGCTGCCGGCTCAGTGTTCTGACCCCTGTTTCCATCCACCTTTGACTGGCCTTTTACACTTAATGCCATATACTTTAACTGTTAACCATTTTTTTTATTTTCCCAGGTAAGGCCCACTAAGCAATGTCGCTCTTTTTCAGAAGCGAACTGGCTACAAATGATAGCTCAACGAAGTGGCTTATCACTTGGAAATGTATAGCTTCAGCCAAATACTCTAAAAGCATGTTTCTAAATGTGAAGTGAAAAACCGGGGGACCCGGATAAAAATCAACACGGCCACGGAGAGAGGCATACAAACTGCACACGTACAGGTGTCAGGGTCAGGATCGGACCCACGACCTCCTGTATACCAGGAGAGGTAGTTGACAACTCGCCACTGTGAGTTGCTAAGGTGGCTTTTATTGTATCAGATCACCGAGCCAGTAATACTGAGAGCCTGGTTTCGATCCCAGGTTTCAGCTACCGATGATTAAAACAGCTTCTCAAGTGTAGTGAGTTGATGGTCCCAGCAAAGTCACCAATGACCGCACACATTTAAGTTTTGTCCTGCACTTAATTTGGCTAAAACTCAACCTTTGGGAACAAAAAGTATTGTTGTTTTGGTTAGGACACTTGGTCGTTTTATGCCAAAATTATTGTCATTAACCCTCAACATGATTTTTACGTTTACGAAGATATTAGTGATACATGCCAATACTTTGATTACATTCTAATCAATAAAGCTCCTCACCGGTGATCAATGTGATCAATACATTAGCCACACGTGTGAACGATAGCTTTGACAGTGTGACAACCTTGTTGCGTGGCGGAGGGGTTAATGACGATAATTTTTGCATAAATCTAAGACCACGCGGCCTAACCAAAAAACAAACGTGGATCAACATTACACACCGGTGAGAAATTATGAAGCCGTGGCACTAAAGCTGCGTGGCGGGGCGGACGGTGGTGGTGGCTCGTCTCTCACAGGCTGGACACGACCAGGGCGGAGTTCACCATCTCCCTGCGCGAGAACTGGGCCCTGCCCTTCCTCGCCTGCCAGGTGGCCGCCGTCACCTGGTATCTGCGGCCCAACCTCAGGCCCCGGCAGGAGGTAAAGTGCGGCCACCGCACCACCCTGAGCGGACGGTGGGCCTGTGGCGACATGCACCCTCGTGGGGAATGTTGACGTCCTGCAACGAGATTGTTGGACACTATGATTGGAAGGGAACTTTCGGAATAGCATTTTAATAAGCGCGTGTGTAATGGTTTAAATTTAATTGGTCGTTCTTGTGAGATCATTATTGACTGTGCTATGCACCTGATGACCATAGTTTAATTCCCACTCACAGCCAATGAGTACGTTGTGCGGTAACATCAGCACTGGGGTGACAAATGTGGTCAGGCATGGTGCTGGCCTCCCACCACTTCGTGTGCTGCGCCGACTTTAAGAGTTGCTCGCTAAAAGCACTTTTCCCAACAGTCTGTTAAAGGTTACACGGCGGGTGTTTGTCTTTGTGCGCGTGTGTGGTTAGCGCGCTTTGCTATGAACCCGGCGACCGGAGTTTGATTCCCGCTCATGGGCACCAACACCGGTGATGATTATCTGAAACGGTCCTGGGCCTCCCCTAGGTCGACTCGGCCTTAAATGGGTACCTGGAGTAGTGCATGCATATGTGTGTATGTGTGTACGCGCTTGTGTGTGGGCGTGGTGCTGGCCACCCACCCCCTCGTGTACCGTGCTGTCCTTCATAGGTGCTCGCTTTTGGGTTACCATCGAACAAAGATCGCGGTCACTGCTTTTGCGGCCATCTGGAACGCTCTTCCTTCTGATATTAAGAAGCCACTGGAGCTATGCACTTTGAAATCTCAATTGAAAACTCGTTTTGTTAGAACTGCTTTTTGTGTTTAGTTTGTTGTCCTTCCCCCCGCAGCTCCGATTAATTAGCACGTTGGGCTACGTACGGTGCCAAAGAAGTTCAACATACATACAAAGACAAAGATCGCCTGTATTGCCTTAATAAACTGTTGGGACAAGTGCTGTTAGCGAGCACGTACAAAGGCCGGCAGGGCACACGCGGCGGTGGATAGCCAGCACCACGGCCACCTGCCTTTGTCACCCCGGTAGCGATGTCTACGCACTTGTTCTACATACATATATACATGCTAACAGCACTTGCCCCAACAGTCTATTGAGGCTATGAGGGGGATCTTTGTTTTTGTCTTTGTGTGCCCAGAGGCCGGTGCTCGCTGCAGTGTGGCTCAGCACCTTCGTGTTTAGCCTGGCGTGGCAGTTCAACCAGTTCGTGCTGCTCATACAGGCGCTGGCGCTCTACGGCCTACGCTGCCTGCAGCTCGCGCCCGCACGCAAGGCACGTGAAACCGCATCATCATCATCATCACCATCATCACCGTCACCGTTATCGTCAGCATCGTCACCATCGTCGTCATCATCATGGATAGCCATCGAACAATGGTGGCCAATGCATCGCGCACTTTCAGATGCGCTTTTGCGGCCGTCTGGAACACTCTTCCTTCCAATGTTATGAAGCCACTGGAGCTAAGCACTTTCAAATCATCTACTGTCCTCCCCTCACACCTAAGATTAGCACGATTGGCTATGTACGGTGCGAAAGAAGTTCAACGTACATAGTTTATCTTCACCATTATCGTCATCATCGTTAGCATCCTGCGTGCCATTGATCATCTACCCCGGAAGGCCTCGCTCCCCGAGTCTCAAGCCTCGTTATCAGGAGGGTGCTGCTGCATCGGGGGATGATCTTCGTCTTTGTCCGTGCGCCGGGGTACAGGTGGACTGGGTGCTTGCGGGCCAGACGGTGTCCATGCTGCTCGTGTGCCTGCTACAGTTCCTCAATCCCATGATCCTTGGTTCACTCACGCTCAGCTTCCTGCTGGCCACCTTCCTGGCGAGGCGACTGCAGGTAACGAACAGTCGGCTGACCATAACTTCCGTTGTATCCAAGTGCGGTTTCCCAGCTTTGGCTGTGTATGTACGTATGCAAAGTTATTTTGCACCGTTCGTAGGCAACTGTGGTTCTCAGCGGTGCGGGAGAAGGACAACAAAGAAAACGCAACAAGCAGTTCTAAATAAAAATAAAAATTAATCTCGGTGATTTTAAAGTGCATAACTCCAGTGGCTTCCTAATATCAGAAGGAAGAGCATTGTGTTTTTTTCAAAGCGCCACGTTCAAACTCATCGAGGTTAGAATACTTTTTATTATTTGAACTCACTGGGGTCAGAATACTCTTTATTATTTGAACCTTGGGGTACACATGTTTTGTATGTACGTTGAACTTCTTTCGTAGCCAACCGTGCTAATCCAACCGTGCTAATTGGAGGTGCTATATGATAGCAAAATGACTCCCCCCCCCCCACCCAGCCCCCCTGGGGTCAGAACACTATAATGGGTGAGTGCGTCTTGCGACCTTGTTCACACTGGCTTGTGTCTATATGTAGGTACAAGACTAAGTGGCTAACTCCCAACATGATAACAACTATCAGCTAAACTGGCTGGGGGGGGCTGTTAACTACCACAGCCAGCGGTGTTCAAATAATACTGCAGGGGTCAAAATACTCTCGAGGGTTCGAACGCGGCGGCCATCTTCAATGATACTGCAGGTCTATTATGCGTGGAATGTGGAATACGCGTCACCTGCTTCACATTGGATGTTAAAGACCCCGTGATCTCATTCACGAGAGTAGTCCATTGTGTGTTGGTACCGTGGTACAAATTTTGTCGAGTTTGAAAAATGATACCACAGCTTATCAAATTGTAATCTACGTAACAATCATCACCCCAACCTCGAAAACTTGGCAGGAACCCTCCTGCAAAAAGTCATGAGCCTCAAGTGAGACTTTCCCCGTGTACACGAGTGAAATAAATAAATAACTATTACTGCCAATTTGCAGCCGGACCTGGAAATGGGCGGGTTCTGGCGACGGATCTCCAGCCTCGCCCTTCACCTGCTCATCGTCACCTCTCTCACCTTGACCATCAACTTTGGTGCCAAGGTACGACGGGCAGGGCCCGGTTAGCGCAAAGCCTTTACTGGCTGCTGCACAGAGCATCTGATTCTGTGGTCCTCTAGAATCTGAATACAAATGCATGCCGAGGCGCCGTACAGAAACTGCGTGACTTGCCCGCCATCTTCTTCTGCTTATTCTTCCGTACGGCTGCTGACGTAGACGCAGAACAACAACGACAATTTCACATTCAAGTGATCCAGCCAGATATCTGCTTCGAGAGTAGGGGAGTCTTTCGCCACGATGTCTCCTTTGTTTTTGTGGATCGGGCATTGCGTCGCTAGACGTTGCACGGTCTGTCCTGGATGACCACAGTAGCCCACTACTCCAGGATAATTTATAATTTTCCATTTGTGCATCAGGTATCCGCATCTACTGCCATGGCTTGTGTGGTGGATGCGGTTTAAGGTGGACCATGAGCATACATGCGCATGGAGACAGTAATGTATACACTAGAGAAGATGCAGTTGGTTATAGGCAGAAAAGAAGAGGAAGTTCTTGAGTCTGGACTTTAACAGGGGCAGCGAGTAGCCAGCACGGATGGCTGGGGAAGGGCGTTCAACATTGGAGAAGTTTATTTTCTAAGTAAAGTCCAATGAATTGTACAACTCGTCTTCAAGAAGTAAACTTCCCATCGAGTGGAGATTCCACAAAAACGAATTGTTGTTCACACGTAGGAATGGATATTTGTGAATACTGTCCGAACCAATGTAGTGTCACCCAACCCTGATGGCAGGACTCTTGAGAGATGGCGACCGCTACGAGCGGTGATTAAGACGAACTACAAAGTGACAGCCAACGGACGGAATACGCCTGACAGCCAGAGCGATGACATCAAGTCATGTGCAGGAGCTCGATCAAGTTTAAAGATGTATTTCATTTAATTAGTCGATAACTCAATAGACCAGGATATTGTCTATTTTGCAAGAGCGACCTGGGTCACCGAGAGGGATTGTTGAATCACGAGATCATGAGAGATGGTGACGACTTTGTGTAGGCCTTCATCTAGCAGTGGATGTTTATATATATACTAGGTTAAGACCCACTGAGTTATACAGTATAGCTCTTCTTCAGAAGTGACCTGGCTATCAGCATGTGGACATGTATACAGCCACATACTCTAATCGCAAGTTGATTTTAAGTATGGAGGGAAAAACGGGAGGACCCAGAGAAAAATCCATGCAACCACGGGGAGAACATATAAATACCACATGTACAGGCGTCAAGGTCGGGATAGAACCCACGACCTCCTGTGCACCAGGCGAGGTAGTTCACATCTCACCACCACGTGTGCCCGGCCCACAGGTGCTGCTGCAGCTGCAGTCAGACGAGCACATCTTCAAGTTCCTCAAGGCCAAGTTCGGTCTGGGTAACACCAGGTAACGCAGAGTGCACTTTGCATATTCCCGAGATAGGCACACAGAGGTAGCCGTGGCATGCAACTTTGCCTGTGTGTACGTGCCGTAGTGCAGTGGTTCGTGCACTGCGCTACGAACCCGGCGACCCGAGTTGGATCTCGCTCGTGGCCAACACCAGTGACGATTATATGAACCGATTCTGGGCCTCCCCTAGGTCGACTCAGCTTCAAATGAGTAGCTGGTTCGGCGTGTAAACATCGCCACTACAGTTTGTTAAGGCTGTACGGGGGATCACCGTCTTTTTGTGATCTCGGTTACTAAAGCAACCTTCGTCGGTCGCCATAACCTCTTGCCAAAAAGCCTTCAACACTTTACGTAGCCTCAAAGCGCATCGATCTTGGCACAAGCACTGTGATGAGCACCTCCGATTAGCACGGTTGGCTACGTACAGTGCAAAAGAAGTTCACCATACATACGTACCGCCACTTATTGGCAAATGACGTTGATAGCGACACCACCACCTCACGTGCCGTGCCGCCCTTAATAGACGCTCACGAACAGCACTTGCTCCAACAGTCCGTCAAAGCTGAGCGCGGGGGATCTTTGTGCGTGCCCACAGGGACTTCGATGCGAAGCTTTACCTGTGCGAGGAGGCGTTTGGCTGGCTCCCGCTCGACACGTTCGTGCGCCTGTCCCGCACCGCCGTGTTCCCCGTCTACGCGCTGGCACTCGCCATCTGCGCGATTGGCGCCGGCGCCGCCGTCTTCAGAAGGCTCAGGTGCGCGTGTGCCTGGTCAGTGCGCTGCCCTACGAACATAGCGACCCACGTTCGATTCGCGTTCATGGCCACCAACACCGGTGACGATTATCTCAACCGGTCCTGGGCCTCCTCTAGGTCAACTCAGCATCAAATGAGTACCTGGTGCAGTGTGTAAACTTAGCCACTTGGGCGTGGTGCTGGCCACCCACCCCCTCTTGTACCGTGCTGGCCTTCATAGGTGCTCGCTTTTGGCTAATCGAACAGCCGTGTCCATGCTCGACGGCGTGGGTGCGCTAATTGTCCACCGCAGTTGCCGCTGCAGGATGGCAGTCGGCGCCGTGTCACTGCACATGCAGTCAACCCCCCTCTCTATCCGCAAGGGTTACGTTCTTGAAAACGCTCGCGAATGCAGGAACCTCATTCCATTGGGAAAAAGTAGGTTACATATCTGGTAGGAGTGAACATGGGGGGAAATTATGAATGTTTAATAACAATGATAACATTAAACAATTAAATAATTGTGAAGAACAATGTTCCTTTGAATTACCTTTGATGACGATGGAGGTGGTGGTGATGATGATGAATTCAGGAGGATGACTCCTCAGGAGAAGCGTGCGTTTGATAACAATACACAGTTATCATTTTAGCGCAACGCTTTCCCTGATTGCATTCGCCTTCTTCTTAATGGACTTGAAAGTCGACTCGTTTATATCGAAGCGTATAAGTGAGTGGACTGTCAGTGAAAATGCACATTTGTGCAGAATGAGATAATCACAAGACTTGAGGACGAAGCAGGCAGCCGAGGGGACGTGCCCAATTTTCGCGGGCAGTTTCCGATGCAGTAACATTCTGCACGCACCTCTGTAGGCACGCAGACGGGTCGCGGATGCCGGGGAATGAGTGTCCATTTTAGTAACTTATTATTACGCGAAACTCACGAATTCAGAAGTCGCGCATAGCGGGGGTTCATCGTCCGCACGGTTCGTCTGAATCCTGGCGTGGTGCTGCGTGCAGAGGGCCTGGCCTCGGCGAGGTGCGCACGGCGCCGGGCGCGAGGGACGTGTTCCTCCGCCCCGACCTCCTCTACAACCTGGCGCACACGCTGCTCTTCTTCCTGCTGGCGCTCTCCACCATGCGGTCCGACGGCGAAGGGAGACGACGGGACACGGGCGTGCGCGCACGTGCGAGCCGCGTTTATTCGAGCGAGAGTGACGCCGTTCCACCGTTGCTTCTTGATACGTTTAGACGGCCGTGGGAAAGCAGCCGTAGCCGTTTCGAGCACGGCTCCATCCCGCTGCCACCGACTATCTGGGTTTGCCTGTCAAAAGCATGAACTGGGCGGTGACAGTTGTGTGTACACACGTAGAACTTGTTCGTGCTGTACGTAGCCAACCGTGCTAATCGGAGGTGCGGAGAAAGGACAATAAATATACCAGATTCATTCTTTCACAATGATCACAATTAGCCATGACCAGGGGTTGGGAACCAACGAAACATGAACTCGATATTTCAAGGGCCGCAATGCACGTCGGTAACGTCACGAAGCATTCCCTTAATGAGCCGCATGTGGCTCTGGAGCCGCAGGTTGTCAGCCCCTGGCCATGACCAATCCACTGCTGGATGAAGGCACCCCCTCCCCCCCCCCCACCACTGAGCCATCGTCATCTCTCGCGGTCCTGCGACGGCGCCTGCCGTGTTCTAACGAGGCGGACGCTGTGCCCGCCGCAGGATGAAGTACCTGTGGACGTCGCACATGTGCGTCTTTGCGGCGTTCGCCGTGAGCGACGGTGGACTTTGGGCGGCGACTGCGCAGGCACTGGGCAAAGCGCCCGAGAAGGTGCCCAGTTCTAACAACAACAACAACACAACACACCCGACATTCGCCACAAAGTGCTGGTGACCTCACGGCGCCTGTGCCAGGCCACGTTTACTTCGAGGCCACGTTTACTTCGAGGCCTCGTGAAGTGTCGAAGGCTCACTGACAGGTCACGGGACAAACCCAGGTGACATGGGTTGACTGAGATGACTGGCAGATGCACCAGCTGTGCCCCCTACTGTGCCAACTTGCTGCGCCGCCCAGTTCTCACACACACACGTGTACAAAGACAAAGATCTCCCATGTAGCCTACACAAGTTTCTGAGGCAAGTGCTGTTAACGAGCACCTATGAAGGCTGGTATGGCATGCAAAGGGGGTTGGTGTGGATAACACCGTGCCTGGCTTCCTTTGTCTCCCCAGTGCTGATGTTTACACAACGCACAAGACGTATGTACGTTGAACTTCTTTCGCACCGTACGTAGCCAACCGCGCTAATCAGAGGTGAGGGTATGGTGTCTAACCGTCGACTCTTCTGTGTCCCGGAGCAGTTGAGCAAAGCTCGATACGTGGTGCCCGCCCTACTGCTGCTCTACACAGTTGTGCAGGTGGGTTCATCCGCGCAGCAGTGGCGACTTTTTGATAACCGTCGAACAAAGATGGCCACCGCATTGCGCGCTTTGAGACGCGCTTCCGTGGTCGTCTGGAATGCTCTCCCTTCCGATATTAGGAAGCCGCTGGAGCGATGTACTTTTAATAATACTACTTTCATTTTATATCGCATCGTTCATGCCAACAGCATCCCATAATGCTGTACATCTTTTATATCTGAATGGAAAACTCATTCCTTCAGAACTTATTTTTGTGTTTAGTTTGTTGTCCTTCCCCCGCACCTCCGATGAGCACGGTTGGTTACGTACGGTGCGGAAGAAGTCCAACATACGTATGTAGATGATCAATCCGCTGACATTCCAACAATGAGCTCTGTAGGACCGGTGTGTTTATTGTTGGAACGTAAATTGTTTCTGTATATAAAATAAGTCAATGAAAGCCACACGAACGAGCTGAGCCGGGCGAAGCCGACTTGTGCCTGTGATCTGGCGCTCTTGAAGGCGTAAGGGTTGGTAGATCGCATTTGGATTAAAAATAGTTTAGTTTTATTCGTATATTTTTAAGTTATTTGTTTACCTTTCCTACACTTAGCACTCCTATCGTGTTTTTGTGTTTGTTATAACATTCTGACCCCGTGCCCCTACTGTACATCTGTAAAAAAAATCAGCTTCATAGCTCATCGCATTCATCCTGTGCACATACATCTGAGTCAGAATACGTACAAGGATGGGGCTTCGTTTGTGGGCGACTCGAATCGTCGATTCTCATGGGCGAATCTTTCCCTCCCACCACCCCCCGCCGCCCGGCTGTGCGAGAGCAGGCGGTGCCCCGGGTAAGGACGGAGATGGGGGAGCTGCGGGAGTTTTACGACCCCGACACCGTGGACCTCATGAACTGGATCAAGTGAGTGGGAAGCTGGGAAGCTTTGTTATGTTGACACCCTTGACATCGTCACTGAGATATTTCATCGGCATGGTTTGTCGAAGTCAAAACGTTTAATAATTAATTAACTGATGAATGCCACACGATCATCGGAATGGTGACATTACTGGTTCAGAGCTGCGTGACCCCATCGATTTAGTCGTATCTTTTACTTAACCAGGATATGACATCAACCGATTAAAACACATCAAACAACATCACGTCTCTTGCCAGGGTGAACTGGCTTTCATCAAGAACAATAAACGAGCGAATGATTCATGATCTTTCTCTCCACGCGCATGCATGTGTGCGGGGAGCGGTGGCGCAGTGGTTAGCACGCTGCGCTATGAAGCCGGCGGCGACCTGAACTCCCATTCCCGGCCACGGCTAACGTCGGTGGCGAGTTCGGTTCCAGTTTACGACCAAAAAAACTGATGAATATCTGAACCGGTCTTGGGCTTTCCCTAGGTCAACTCAGCATTAAATGAGTAATCGGTGCGGTATGTGAACAGCAGCAGCACTGGGGAAATAACGGCAGTCGAGCGCAGTGTCAACCACCCACCGTGTCGGAATTCAGAGGCGCCTGCTGGCAGCACTTTACTTAACAACCGTGTTGAAGGCTATGCGGGGACTCTTTGTCTGTGGTGGTGTGTGTGGGCACCAGGCAGGCCACACCCCCGGACGCGGTGTTTGCGGGCACCATGCAGTTGATGGCCGGCGTGAAGCTGTGCACGGGGCGGGTGCTCACCAACCACCCGCACTACGAGGACAAGACGCTGCGGGAGAGGACACGGCAGGTGCGACAAGACCTCCTCTCGCCTCCTCTCACCGCGCGCCCCCCACGTCCTGCCACGTCCTGCCACGTGGACGACCACAACGTGGGATAGAGCGGATTACATCGGCTCTTGTGCGGCCGTGAGATGGGGTGTGGCGATTACATCCAGGAGTCGTAGGAGGATCGTCGGAGATGGGCGGAAGCATTGGGAGGCCTTTATCCAGCGGTGGAGAGACGGTGGCTCTCGTGCGCTATCGCCAGTGACCAGTGACCCCCCCACCATGCACCTGCCCCCACTGGTGGGCGGCAGTCAGAGTCATCGCCTTGCTTCGTGATTTGTGTCCGCTCGGCCATCGTTAGGAGTCATTTGGCTGCTCTAAATTCCCACGTGATGATAATCCGCTTTGTTGAGGTGTCATCTTTGACCAAGTAGACTGGAAAACAGAGAGATATAGCTCAGTGGGCCTTACCTGGTAGTATAAATAATTGTTTAGTCGTTTAGTTTAGACAAACTATTTGGAAAATAATATTTGCGCAACTACTTCTCTTAACGAAATGAACTCTGACATGCTCATTGAACTACAGGGAGGGGCGGTGGGAATGTGTAACGATTGACAAATCAGAAGCTGGTGGGGTGGAGCCAGTTTTTACCAGTGAGCAGAACGGGAGAATACAGATTTACTCACTCCCACCCACCGGCTCGCCGACTCGTCCTGCTTGAGCCCAACAGCAATCCGGTTAACCGTCAAGCGTGTGCCCAGGTGTGTGACGAAGTGTCGCTTAAACATTTTACTTAAAACTATGACGATTTATATTTCTTGATTTGTACCGGAAATGGCTTGCTGCTGGACATAAAACTTTACATTAAGACTAAGAGACAAACAACCGTACACAAACGAATACACAAGAGAAAATGTGTTCTCAGACGAGCCCTAAAAACCTTGACTGATGGAGCGTCCCTAATGCTCCGGGGCAAGGCCTTGCACAAACGAGGCGCCTGACTCCTGAGCGCTCCGTCACCGATTGAAGTCCACTCTCTGCTCTGCTATTTCGACGCCCGCGGGAAAGGAGTTTCGCGACATGTGCCATCACCGCCCCCAGCGTATCGACCGACGGCCGTTGTCGTCCTGCGTGTGCGACCGTGGTCCAGGTGTACCAGGTGTACGCGCGCAGGTCTCCCGCGGAGGTGCACGCGGTGCTGCTCTCGCTGGGCGCCCACTACGTCGTGCTGGAGGACAGCGTCTGCTACGAGCGGCGGCACGGCCGCGGCTGCCGCTTGCGCGACCTGCTGGACATCGCCAACGGCCAGGTGAGCAAGCGCCAGCCGCCCGCTCGCGCCGCTGCTGCCATGTCAGTGCCGCGTCGGTGCCGCCCCGGTGCGTGCCAGTGCCGCCCCGGTGCCACCCCGGTGCCACCCCGGTGCTGTGCCGGTGCCGCCCCGGTGCCATGCTGGTGCCGCGCCGGTGCGTGCCGGTGCCGCCCCGGTGCCGCCCCGGTGCCGCCCCGGTGCCGCCCCGGTGCCGCCCCGGTGCCGCCCCGGTGCCGCCCCGGTGCCGCCCCGGTGCCGCGCTGGTGCCGCGCCGGTGCCGCGCTGGTGCCGTGCCCGCGTCACACCTGTGCCACATCCATGCCACACTGGTTCTACGCCGGTGCCACACTGGTGCCACAACCGGTGCCACAACCGGTACCACCCTCCCGTCCTGCGTACCCACACACACAGAGGCAAACGTCCCCCCTATAATCTTAACAAATTTTGGGGCCAGTGCTGTTCGCGAGCACCTATGAAGGCCAACATGCCACACGAGTGGGTGGGTGACCAACACCATGCCTGCGCCGGCTTTGCCTTTTCAGTGGCGATGTTTTCACACTGCATCAGGTACTCATTTGAGGCAGAGTCGACCTAGGGGTGGCCCAGAACTGGTTTAGATAATTGTCGCTGGTGTTGACCGGGAGCTAACCACTCCACTACCGCTCACCCTCACGCACATGTACGAGCACACACACACTAACAGGTACGCACTAACATCCAGACGCATACACTAACACTGATCTGCATGCACTCACTCGCCTCGTGTCTCGGCTAAAGTACGGATTTGACCCCAAGGTCTCAGCTACTTCTACACGGCATCATTAAAAAATTGTGTCAAACTAAATGTCAAAAACAGTTATTTTTATTCCACTTGTTTCCCCGAGAGCCCCTCCCTGAACGTCATGACTGTTTTTTCAAGAGGGTCCTTCCTAATTTTCACAGTCGTGGGTGATGATTGCTGTGTATAATCCCAATTGAGTAATTCGTGAGTAATTGTTTTAAGTTCAACATATTTCTCTAAGTCTCATGCTGAGCAGTTACAAAAAACATTTCCTATCATTGGATCAAGTAAGATTAGCACGGTTGGCTACGTACGGTGCAAAAGAAGTTCAACATACATAGATTGGATTTTAATTAGGATGCTTTTATTATGTGTTTAATTACATTTTTAGTTCATTATACTGTGATGTTATTTTTTTATGTATCATTCTTATTGTTTACCGTGTGTCAGTCCCTACATTTAGTCCTGTAAAGCACTTTGCACGAATTGTGCTATGTACATACATTTTTATTTGCTCTGATATTTACAACTGTCACTGGCCAGTTAGCGCTTTGGCCCAGCCAGCCCAGATAGTCACCGGAAGTGTCATCTGTGGCGGGGGGCGGGGGGCTTGGGTGACCGTGCAGGTGATGGAGGGAGAAGGCCCCAATGACGCCGATCTCACCGTGCCGACGCACGGACGCTTCTGCCACGAGATCAAGGCACAGTCGCCGGCCTTTGCACGCCTATTCCGCGCCGTCTTCTCCAACAACACCTTCCACGTCTACCGCATTCTGCACCCCGCGGCGCCGGGGCCAGACCAAGCGAACTCCGTGGACTCGCGAGCCGAGCAACCGGACGGGACTGGAGCTCGTACAGATCGCGCCGGGAGCCCGACCAGGACTCCCGGCTAACCACACGTCTATGCCAGACCCCACTCGACCATTTAACTGTTAAAGCAGGCCTCAGTGCGACACACTTAAACCATTTCATCGTCCTGTGCCTGCTAAACCATGCCGCGCAGATTAAACGGTTTAACCGTGCTCGTTCAACGATCGATTGCACTGGGCCCATTAAACTGTTGAACTATTGAACCGTGCCGGACCCGTTGATCTGTTGAGCCGTGCCGGACCCGTTGATCTGTTGAGCCGTGCCGGACCGAGTCTTAGGAAGTGGCAGCCGCGGTCACGGTTGTTAAATACACCGGTGGCCGTGTCCCGCTGGGTATTTGTCCTGCTGGAGTTGTGTTTCTTGAGGGAGGGAGGGAGCGTCTGGCTCTTGCAACACCGTCACCCCGTGCGTCTGCAGGGGAAGTTGGGAACGTGACTGGTTTATGAGGCAGTGTACGTTTAAATAACTCACCTCACAGATGAATGCATTTCCACAATTCGAGGTCCTGTCTTTTGTACGGTCCATCATGGCTCGTCTCTTGTCGTCTCGTACATTCCATTTGAGGTAAGAGTTTATTGTTGTTTTGTTTGCGTGTGTAATGTTACAGCCCTTTGTCAATGCACTGCTGGATGAAGGCCTTTCCACACCATACAGGTCATGTAGATTATACCTATATATAGATTATAGCTATACATCTATATATTACCATACTTTACCATGATGGTCAGTGTGTCATCGTGAAGGTGTGAATTATAGTAAAAAGTACTGTGAATGTATGTATTATATGTTGAATTTCTTTCGCACTGTACGTAGCCAACCGTGCAAATCGGAGGTGCGGAAGGAATAACAACAAACTACACACAGAAAGCAGTTCTAAAGAAGTTTTGAATCTAGATTTAAAAGGACGTAGTTCCAGTGGCTCCCTAATAATGGAAGAGCGTTCCAGACGGCCGCAGAAGTGTATCTGAAAGCGCGCAATGCGGTGACCGTCTTTGTTCGATGGTGAGCCAACAGCCGCTGCTGCGAGGAGTACCGCAGTTTGCGTGATGATGATGGTGATGATGGTGGTGGTGATGATGATGGTGTTGATGATGATGGTGATGATGGTGATGATGATGATGGTGTTGATGATGGTGATGATGATGGTGATGATGATGGTGATGATGATGGAGATGATGGTGATGGTGATGATGGTGATGGTGATTCATATTCTTAGGTTTTTTCGGTAAAGTCACGTAGGTAAAACATCAAAATTAATAAAAATAAAATAAAATAAAGATCACGACGTTTCGTCGTGATCTTTATTTTATTTTTATTAATTTTGATGTTTTACCTACGTGACTTTACCGAAAAAAACCTAAGAATATGAATCATTGCAGTCACGAAAGCTTCAAATCTAGGATGGTGATGATGATGATGATGATGGTGATGATGATGGTGATGATGATGTTTATACTCCTTGACGGGATCAGAAAGGTATTGTGGTTCATTTGTGGCCAGCACGTTGTGTAATGAGTGCGACCTTTTCATGTAAAACAGTACCTATTGCTATACTCCCCTCTTCTGCCTACCGCATAGCCACCTTCTGCATGTAACTTGCATTCATTATGCAATTGAATTCCTAAATGCACAAATCGGTGCCGTATGAGCATAAGAATCAATTGTAAATCGGGCTCCTTTTCAGACCTCCGCCCTTAATCCCCCAAACCCTTCCGCTGTCTTAAAGTTGGGACTCACCGACGCCTCGCAGAATTAGAATCTGTATTTATCCTGGAGAAATCCGATGAGCTATGAAGCTCTTTTCACATTTGTTCAGCAGTCGCAGGTGTCCCACCATCTGCACGAATGTCACGCGCAATCGCTACTGTCCATTTTCCGTGATGCTCGAGTTGTTAGCGCTACACTGGAGTTTGCATGTCAACAGCCTGCTTACCATTCACGCGGTGATACATTTTATTGTTGAATTGGCTGAAATGAAGTCCTGGGGATTGTGCCGACGTCAGGCAGATGAGCTGGCCGCCCAGAAGTGGCCACAATCGGATGTCACCCGTCAATATTTGGGCGGCCAAAGTCAAGGCTTTAATAATGGCTCTTCGAATACACATGCACAATTGTGACTTTCAGTGATGCAATAAAGTCAGCGATTGTCTGCTCATATAAGCAATGAGCATTCAGGTGGCGCTCATCTTCCCGTTTATTGCTCTGCACCAGTGGCGGAAATTCCACATTTCAAAGGCAGGGGTGAGTTTTATCCATAGGACACCACGACTTACCACTACAAAGTGGTACTGATTTGATCGACCCCATAAGGATGATGGGTTGAGTCAACCCCCAACCAGGATTTGAACTGGCAACCTTCCGATTTCTAGCTGCTCGCTGGAGTGACTAAAGTAATCAAATTTTGTTCTATGAAGGAAAGAAAGCTGAAATTTGGCACAGATACACCTCCGAATATATTTCGCCATTCCAGGGGTTGATATCTCTCTTAGAGCAGCATTAGGCTAATGTCTATGTTATTCTAAGCCTCGTGTTAAACGGTCCCATGGCTTCACTCATAAGGCAGCCTCAGCCTAAATTTAAACTTTACTCCTAAGTCTCATGCTGAGTGCTTACAAAAAAACATTCCCCATCATTGGATGAAGCAAGGCAGCTGCCATGGATTGTGACGCTAAAGTTGATAGAGGGAAAGCAGAGACTGTCACCGGTTACAAGTGTAATAAAAGGACTCAGACACTTCTTGCTGACTCCGTGTCCTTTATTTGGGGTTCGCGTTCTCCTTCCCACACGGCACTCCTCCTGAGACTCTCTCCCTGGCAGCCCCACATCTGCCTTCGCTCCCGTAGCCTTCCACGCTCCTGCAGCTCCGCTGCAGGCTCTTGGTACAGCCCTCTGGCTGCTCCCCCAGCAGCTCCATTTATGCTCCCTGTTCCTCCGTGCGTGGCGATCTCGCCACCTCCCAATGTCAGCCCTTCGTGGCCTCTGGCTATCTCGCCATTTCCTACCTCAATCCTCCACTCTCTCTTCCACCCCGCTGGCTGGCGCCGTCATGAGCCCCTCAGCCACCAGGCTGAGGCACGGCGACCACCCAACGTGTTCACCACCCTTCACTCCCCCGACTGCCCCAGATAGCTTCCTGTCTCCCCGCTATAACTTCTCCCCCACGTCACCCTGACTCCTCCCTCTCGGATCGTCATATCCGCCCCGCCCATTTACGCCCGCATTACACAAGTGTAACCATGCACGCATTTCACATGTGGGGTGCCACAGTGACGAGATGTTAACTACCTCGGCTGGTATGCTGGAGGTTGTGGGTTCAACCCCGACCCTGACGCCTGTATAATTGCATGTTCTCCTTGTGGTCGTGGGGATTTTTGTCCGGGTCCACTGGATTTTCTCTCCACATTTAGAAACATGCATTTAGAGTATTTGGCTGCAATACATTTCCACGTGGTAAGCCACTTGGTTGAGCGTTCATTTATGGCCAGGTTGCTGTGCGCCTTACCTGATAAAATAATGTTTCATTTTAGTTCACATCTGTATATGATTACAAAACCTCATCATTACAGAAAACTTGCTGCAAGCCAGAAAACATTCTGTAGTTTCAACAACACGGAGAAATGTGCACTGAACGTGCAAAGGCTTGCGGTCGGTCTAATGGTGGATCGGTCACAATTGCTCCATTGTCAATTGGTTTGGTGACACTGCTGCATTGGCAGCGGTGCGCAGGCACAGAAAACAACACTCACAGTCATCAATAAGACTATGGCCCTTAAAAGGAAGAGTATATAATTGTGGCGTTTCAGGTAATGGTCTTTCAAAAGAAATGGTTATTTGAGACAAGTTGATGACAACGTGGTTCTACAGGAACTGGTGTTTTTTGCACAATGTACGATGCGGAGTTTGTGTACGTGCAGTGCACGTGTTGTGTGTTGAGACGATATGCACTTGATGTGAATCGTCAAACGAGTTCCATGATTATTTGGCAGTCGACTTAATCTCGAGGATCCAAGAGGAACTGAATGTGCACTTCGAATTATATCAAGTAATTGTTTTCATTGAACAAAGATCCCCCGTATAGCCTTAACAGCCTGTCAAGTGCTGTTAGCGAGCCAGAGGGTGGGTGGCCAGCACCACGCCAGACCGCCTTTCTCTCCCAAGTGGAAATGTTTACACACCACACCAGGAACTCATTTGAGGTTGAGTCAACCTAGGGGAGGCCCAGGACCACTTCAAATATTCGTCACTGGTTGGCCGTTAGAGGGAATCCAACTCGGGTCGCCGGGTTCGTAACGCAGCGCGCTGACCGCGCTGCGCACACACACACAGACGCACGCGCACAGGCACACGCACGCACGCGCACACACGCACGCGCACAGGCACACGCACGCGCACACACACACACAGACGTGTATTTACCCGAGAGAATGTGCCAAGTGTTGCTCGTTAATTGTTCGTCCACGAGGCGTTCTCGTGTACCATTCGTGACGACGTCCTTTACATTTGCGATTCACGTTTAAAAAGGGTTGAATTTATCGTTTTGTTTACGTCAACTGTCCTTCATAAAGCGTGACCGTGACAAAAGACCCTTGGTGGTGGTGGGGGGGCTGCTTTTTTTTTTATATCGTGCCGCACGCGTGCTGCTTTGCTGGTGTTCACAGTTCAGTTCAACGTTTTAGTTTAAACCCGTTCCCCTATAATGTGGCGAGTTGCGTTCTTGAAGAACACAGCATTATGGAAAAATCGCGTTATATGGGCTAAAGCAGCCCGCGATAACACGGGAGGTGCGTAACGCAGGCCAAACGAAGACTGAGGAGCGTCTAAAAGCATCCAGCAGCATCCCACCGCCTTGTGGTGCGATGCAAGAACGTAACCCCCGCGATGGGAAAGGGGTTGCTGTGCCCTCCAGAGTGGCGCTCCATTATCTTTATTTAGACTGCAAGAATCCGATGAGCTATGAAGATCATTTTCATAGATGTCCAGTTGGCACTGGTCAGAAAGTTACACTTCTTTTTCGCATGGCACATGGGAGAGTACTGTGCAGAGTGTGAATAGGTCACTTGCTGAACCCACAGCAGTGGTTCTGCTCGAGTTTGAGTGGATTATATTATCAGTTTCAAGACATGACACCGGTAGCACAACTGGAATGAAATAAACGACAATACGAATAAAATCCTCAGTAAATTAAAGCTCTGTACAACAGCGATAAACTGGTTGGTTCCACGGTATGAAGATAATGGGGTAATTCAAGAAAATCAAGACCAGCCTTGACGCATCTTACATTTATTTTTGAACGTTACACACTTTGCGGGAAACAATTGTACAAGTTGACATACCTGTTCAAAAAAAATTTAATCCTATTCCACGGAACACGTTTGTACATCGGCAAAACTCAGGAGCCAAACTCCGATATAAATTAGCACCATGCTTCATTTCAAGTTCCCAATCGCCGCAAGGCGTTTTGCCAGTTGGTTGTTCGCAACGGCACCACGAACTATAAAAAATATATATTGACACTCACAAAAAGCATTTCATTGAATTAAATATAAAACAGCCGACAATGCTCTGGAATCTCTCGCACAAAAACCTCATGTTAAAATGAACAACAACCACAAAACAAACCACACATTTCAGATTTAATAAGTTAGGTGATCCATTGGTATTTCGCGACACAGCCAAACAGCCTCCCTTCCAGTGGTAGTCTCCGTGATTCAAATAATCTCCGAGCAGTGCCACGCTTTTGGACATACATTTCAGAAACGTTAAATATATGGGTCATCATTAGTGTGTAATCATGAAGTGGCTTTCACTTAGGCAGAGTGCGTCAGCCATTTACGGCTGCAATTTGGATAGAAATCATGCCCGCCTTTTACTAAAGGAGAGATGCTAATAAAATAATACCCTCGGACGAACCTACTTTTTTATCCATACTGGAATGGTATTTTGGTGCACTCAGTTGCGTGCACAAAGTATCGCACCACTGACTTTCTCCATAAAGAAACCAAGTTTCCTAAAACTCCGCTGTACATCCTGGTGACGCTGCAAACATGCAGCGTCCTACCGCTTCCTTGAAATGGTTGGGGAAAAACACGTATAATTCAACTCTCACACTTTCAAAGCTGTTGCTTTTCCCTCCTGCCATACAATAAAAGCTTTAGTATTTCACCCACCGATGTATTGACGAAGATATTTAAATTGTGGCCACGAGGGGGAGTTCTTTTTGCGACACTTCTCATTAAAAACCCACTGGGCAGATTATGCAAACTCGACCCGTCGACGGTCGCTGGTTTAGTTTTAAACAGACGTGGACCGTGTTTTCCCTCCCTTTAAACCAGAAAGATGGGGAAGCAACCCGAACAACAAACTGAGCAATGTGAATTCTGGCTTCATCCAAATATTGTTATGACGATGCTGGGCATGTACTAGTGACCCCCCCCCCCGGCACCCTCCCACCGAGGCCAGCCCTGTAACGTCGCACACTCGCTCGCCCCATTTGTAGTGAAGCATACCCCACGAAGTAATTAATGCTGTCCTTCCACATCTGAAATACTTTACTTGTGCAAGAACGCAGATGGTTGCACATTAAGGCGCGGTCAGTTGCAACATTCTTTACGAATGTAAAAAAATACATACATATACACAATTGGCTTTTTACGTAACACCTCACGTCTTCACAGCAGGAGCTCAAGTGCACATTTGTGCGTCGACTACTTTGCAAATGCGGCTTGGCTGTGGAATTGCTGATGTTCTAAGGCACGTGGCTGATGATGGATACTAAACAGATGTGGTTACACCAGAGTTGTGGCAATGAAGTTTTGCTTTCGGTTAGTGTGGGTGGCAAGGTTCAGAAAGACAAGGCCACTTTGGTGCACGATCTGTTCACCTATTTTAATATCTTGCAGAGTTTATTACGGATATGGTTAAATCACTGCCGGATGAAGAACTCTACGCCGTGTAGGTCGTGGGGGTTGTGTGACCATACTTCACCATGCTAGTCAGTGTGGGTTGAAGTCAGTTGGCACGTCAGTAGCAGTTCAGATGTCACTTGCCACTGGCGTTAGCAGTGGCAAAAGGTCTCAGGTTCACCAGATTGCACCACCACTCCACACCCTTTTATAACATTACTCATGTTAGCCGTTTATAATATATCAGAAAAATATACACAATGTTAAGGCACATGTGTCCACCCTCGGAGTGGCATTAAGCAAACTGCAAACAATTCAACAAAGGAAAGGCAATAGCTGATTAAAGTCAATTAGGGTATCCCCTCGGTATTTACGAAATTGCTATCTGCGATTTTGGCTATCCACGAATCGCGTCTGGAACTCGACTGCATCGAGAGAAAAAGTGACGGGACGAGGTAAAGTGATAAGAGAGTATGGGAAGTGATGTGTGGCATCATCATAATTTAAGGTAAGTTCGTTTATAAAGTATTAATATTTACCTCCTTTATGTTTGTAATAACCAATTTTTATTGTTGTGTTATGATTAATTTCATGTTTTTAAAAGCTTATTTATGTATTTAAGGAAATTCATTAAAAATAGGTTTTCATCGGGCAATATCATCCGAGAAATTTGCTATTCGCGAGTGTCGACAGAACGTATCCTTCGTCGCAAATAACGAGGGAATCCTGTATCACCTCGGCAGACACAATGGGCCTGTTAGGTAGATCTATTTAAAAGCACACAAGCGCGCACGCACACACACACCGTCCCCTAGGTTCTCTCAATGTATGTAACATTGAGGCATTTCATTCAAGCGGGTGTCTCTACCCCAATACTGCAATGCATTTGGAAACTCCTGCAAAGGGTTCACATTTGTGCGGTTGAGTTCGAAGCCCCCGGGTTAGTGTTGGTCACTCCGTCCTCCACCACCCCTCCAATTTTATAAAACTTAAATATTAACTTTTTATTTGACCAAATAAGTCCCAGAGCTATGTAGCTCTTTTTCAGAAGTGACCTGGCCAAAAATGATAGCCCAACAAAGTGGCTTAGCACGTGAAAATGTATAGCAGTCAAATCCTAAAGCAGTGTTCTTCATTGCAAGGCCTGTGGGCCCCTGATGGCCTTTAGTGCGGCCCCTGACAATACACAAATGTGAAAACACCCGATTGTGCCGTCAAACCCCAATGGTTTAAAATGTGTGGCAGCCCTCGCACTGACGATGTCTTATGGACGAAAGTGGCCCCCTTCTGAAATCTAGTTAAGAACACTGCTCTCGACACGTGTTAATTCTAAAAGCGGAGGAAAAAACCAGAGGACCCGGAGACAAAGCCACGCGACCATGGGGAGAGAGAAACGTTCAAACTCCAAATATACAGTAGGCGTCAATGGTTGGGATCGAACCAACCTCCTGTATACCAGGCGAGGTAGTTAACATTAAGCCAACCGCAGGCCATGTCTCTTTGAGGAGATGGGATGATTACGAGCCGTCCTGTCGGGGCTGGTTGAGCGAGAGCAGCTGCTGCCACCTCTAATGTGGTGACCAGCCACTGCAGTTGAGCTCGTCGCACTAACACCACCACGCAAGTTGGGTTTGTTCTCCCTCCTCCTCCGTCCTCGAATTTACTTAAAACCACAAATGCCACCATTCCCGAAAGAAGTTCAACGTATATACGTACCCCAGTCCATTGTTAAAGCCATTGACCAAAAAAAAGCTGAATTCGCAGTAAAATCGCGGGGGGAGGTGGCGGCCAGTAACATCGGCATCAGTTCAGCGTTGAGCAAAGGCCACTTCCTCCGGCAACGCGATGAGCAACTCGGCACTTCTTCTCGAGCCGCTTGGACGTGCCCCACCACCCCCCACCCCCGCTGCCGACTCCCCCCACCTCCCACATCACACTTCTTGCACGCAAGCACGCAGGCTACCGTAGAAGCAGCTGAGTTGGTGAGCGCAGGCCGGCCATCTCTCGACTTCTCTTTGCTGGTCTCATCCGCGGCGTCTTGCCGGCAGCGGTTGTCATCCAGGACCGATTCCCGAAAAAATATCCACGAGGTAGAGAACCCAAGACATCCGTGACGACACCGGAGGGTCGCCGCCACTGCACGTGACTTGCCATTGTGGGCATTGTGTGGTGCTCTGGGTCCTACCGGCTGCTCTCCGCCCCCCCATCCCCCACCGCCCCCACCTTTACTTCTGCCCGCTGTGCGGTGGGGTCAGGGTGCCAGCAGGCACTGGTGACTCTTGACTCTGCCGCAAGAGCTCCGCCTGCAGGGTCTGGGCCCGGTCCTGGAGCACAGGACAGCGCCAGGGAGGGGGGGTTAAGGTTCGAACACGACACCGGGCAGAGGATGAGTGGTTGATGAGTGCGTGCATCTAAAGAGGGGTGCGGTAGTGTAGTGGTAGTGTCGTGGTTATTGCGCTACGAACCCGGCTACCCGAGTTCGATTCCTACTCACGGCCACCACCAGTTACCATTATCTGAACCGGTCCTGGGCCTCCACGAGGTGAAATCAGCCTTAAATGAGTACCTGGTGAGGTATGTTTAAATATCACCAATAGAGATACAAAGGGGGCCAGGTATGGTGCTGGCCACCTGACTCCTCATGTGCCGTGCCAGCCTTTATAGGTGCCCGCTCAGCACTTGTCCTAACAACCTGGTAGAAGCTATACAGGGAATATTTATCTGTGTACGGTCAGACTTTGCAAGTGGCAGAACAGCGATTAGTGTTCTGCACCAGGATCTGAGTTCGACTCCCAGCCACGGCTACTAACATCAGTCGCAAATGATATCAGAATTTTGGCTGGTGGGGAGATGATCTTGAAGCTGGTAAGGGGGATGGAGATGGTGCTGGTGAGGAGATGACCTGCTGCTAGCAAGTAGAGTTACGGATTTAAGGATAAATATTTGCATTTATAGGGCACTTCAATTTCTTAGCATCAGAAAGTATTTTCCATAATTGTATTTCTTTTTTTGTTGAGTTTGATGTCATTCCCCCACCCCTCCGATTAGCACTGTTGTCTACGTACGGTGTGCTAGAAGTTCAACATACATCACACATCATCTCAAACATTCCGTCGCTTTGCTGTACATCTGCTCCGGGAGAGAGCACAGTGGGGGGAGAAGGGGGGGGTAAGGGTGAGGGGTGGGGGGAACTCACCAGGTTTGCCAGTGCGCTGGTGTGCGTCTGGATGTTGTGCCAGTTATCGGAGGGGATGTGCGTGAAGCTGCGTGGCTGGGCCCGCCCGGCCTCGCGCACTGCCATGGCGAAGGGGACCATCCACCGCACGCACTCGCTCAGGTGCTCCCATCGTAGCCCTGCACAAACGATCAATCAACGTATTGGCGGCACAACGGTGAGCGGTAAAAAAGAAAAAGCACATTTTTCACAAATTGTATTTATTTACCCACGATTCCCAACTGCAGTCAGAAAATCTTGTGGAGTGGTACGGTAAGAAGACAAATGATGTTATAAGCGGTTCAACACGAAGCTCGAGTCTGTTGCTGTATAGCACCCAGCCTGATGACGATTGGCTCACTTGTGCCCAAGGCCGGACGGCTCTTCGATTTATTTCCTGGATAAGTTCTTGGCGGACTGTGGCATCAAAAGATTATGGTGTCACACGTTCAAATGCGAAAGCAGCTGCTGAATCTAAGGCAACTTTTGATGGAGAGTCTGCAGCTCACTCGAGGGCAACAGCGACATCCTCAGACTGTTTTATGAGGACCGGTGTGTGTTATGCTACACCGGTGTTCCACCAGCAAGTCCAAATACACAACGCAGTGCGGGGGTTGACGTAGCGTCTACACCACGGACTGCACGTCCTGATGCTCAATCAATCGATCTTGATTTTACATGCCAATATCACGCTTAATAAAGTGGGCATCAGTGCGCATTACAGCGGATTGGCAAAGGGGGTACAGGGCAACAGAAATGAGAAAAGAATCCGTCACAGCTAACAAAGTACAAATGTGTATGTATGTTGAAATTCTTTCGCACCTTATGTAGCCAACTGTGCTAATCGGAGGATTAAATTTGCAACCGCGCCCGAAATGAAGTGTAACCATGCTCACCAAATAGCAAAAAGCAGTAGATAGTAAGTAGAAATAAATAATAAGTGAAGGACAATAAATCGTAGCAGAAACAGCTGTTTTCATTTTGAAGCAAGAAAAGAGGCACTCAGTCCTGGGCAGAGGAAGACAGGAATGTTTTGAGCCTGGACTGGAAAGAGGGCCTGGGAATTTTAGGGTCTCTATGCGAGTCCATACAATACCACGGAGATTTACGTGGCATCTAAATGTGACAGCTTACAAATCTCCAGGTGCTTTACGTCAATGACAATGGGAGGGGGATGGATAATCAGTATTTATATTGCAGGAGGAATCCGATGAGCTATAAAGCTTTTTGTCACAGATGTCCTGTAAGGGTGGGCCAGAACGTTACAAAAACAAGCAATACAAAAACACAATAGGAGTGCAAAGCATAGGAAATGTAACTCCTTCTCGTGGAGGCAAACTGCCCAAATCACATAAAAAATATTTTACTAGGTAAAGCCCACTGAGCTATTAGCTTCTTCAGAAGCCACCTGGCCACAAATTATAGCTCAACACAGTGGCTTATCATGTGAAAATTTACAGCAGCTAAATAATCTAAACGCATGATTATAAATGGGGAGGAAAAACCAGAGGATCTGAAGAAAAAATCCACGCGACCACAGGGAAAATATGCAAACTCGGAATATATACAGGCATCAGGGTCAGGATCAAACCCCCGACCTGCATCCAAAGGCAAGGAAGAACACATCTCGCCACCGTGGCAAAGTTAAAATATGAAATGCCTTCTCAAAGAGTTTTTAGGCGAGACTTGAAGATTCCAACCAAACGGAACTCCGTGACAGCCCTCGGCATAGTTCAGGTGCCACTGAAGCCAAGGCCCGATCGTCCATGCACTTGGGCTTCGTTCTGGGGATGCAGAGAAGATCTAAGTCTGTCGATCTCAGTCTGCGGTTCTTGTTGGAACGTGGGGGGCACAGCAACTCCCGGATACACGAAGATGCGAGATCATTCAGGGCCTTTAATGTGAAGGAGGACCTTGAATTCAATACGGACTTTAACCGGCAGCTCGTGAAGTGGTGCAAGCAGAGGGGTGATATGTTCTGAAGGAGGAGTTCGGGTCAGGAACCTAGCAGCTGCATTTTTAACTGACTGAAGTCGACAAAGTACATTACCAGAAACTCAGATAGTAAGGCATACAGGTGACCCTCGACTTGCGACCCCCTGCTTTTACGACCTTTCTTATAGTAAATAAGGCCCCCACAGTAACAACCAGAACTCATATCTATGGCCAGCTAACGACTGCTACCGATGCAGAGTCGATCAGGCGCTGCTTTGCTCTTCTGCCGTATGGGTATGTACAGGATAGCCCGACCGTCTGCAGCTGCACCTACAGCGAACGCATTTCTTTTGCAATGCTCTTCACTTTTTTGTAATGTTTCTTCAAATTTTTTAATGTTTTCACCTTTTGCTACACACATGCAGAAAATTACTTAAGGATGTTCAAATATAATTGTTTGTTTTTACTTAATAAATGCTTTAAAAAGTTATGTTAAGTTACAATACATTTGTTAGGGTTATTTTCATTTATTTTCGTGTAAATTTTGGTATTTGTATGCACTGGGTTTCCAGGAACGGAACCCCAATTTAAAACATTGCGCCCATGGGAAATAAGGGTTCGACTTACAACGGCTCGACTTGTGACCGTTGTCCAGGAACCAATTAGGTCGTAGGTGCTGGGGTCGCCTGTATATAAGCAGTCAAATGCAGAAAAAAAAGGTCTTGAGGCAGGCATTGAACAGGGACAGGGAGTCGACAGCAAGGCTGGCTACGTGAAGGGAGTTCCTCACGACAAGGGGAAGCACCGTGACCCACACTTACCCGAGACTCTGTACACGAGCTCCAGGGAGGTGAAGTGGTAGAGGGCGGAGGCGGCGATGGTGCTGTACGTGAAATCCAGGCAACCCATGTCCAGCACGCACAGGTCCAGCAGCTGTAGTGGACGGACACACGCACGGAAGTGTAATAATGAGTACTTAAACTAACATTTTTTTATTTTACCAGGTGAGGCGCACTTAGCTACATAGCTCTTTATCAGAAGCAACCTGCTCACAAATGATAGCTTAACGAAGTGGCTTATGTGAACATTGTTTAGCAGTCAAATACTCTACACATGTTTATAAATGTGGAGGTAAAAATAAGAGGACCCGGTGAAAAGTCACACGTGACCATGGGGTGGGGAACACGCAAACGCCAAATATACAGGCGCAAGGTCAAGATCGAACCCACTGAACTCCTGTATACCAGGCGAGTTAGTTTCTTAGACCTTGCCAGCACCCCGGCGGTTACTGGTAGATATTGCACATCGGTAGAAGGGATGAAAGGCCACTGGTCGAGACGAACGATGGAGAAGAAAACATGCCCGATGATGTTGGAGAATGAGATGAAATCGGCTGGTGTGCAGGTACTAGCGGGATTGTTACACCGCAGGACCGTGAACTATGGCGACAGCTAGGAGAGGGGCCTTCATTGAGCAGAGGACAGACCATGCAGGACCACTGCAACTGGTCAGATGTATTTACAAATGGCGTCCGTGTACAGGGAAGAAACCCAAGAATTGTGCCCCAATGAACACTGCACCGTTGTTTTGTGGGGCAGCCCACAATTAAAATTTGCAAAGCCAAAACAACCTGAACATCAAGCTGGCAATAGCAATCTCTTAATTCTAGGAGCAGGAATTAATCCAAGTTAAGTAAAAACCCAAATTTGATGACTAGGCTGAGAGCCACCAGTTCACGACACCTAAGAACTTGATAATTGGTTCTTTACCCTTCTATCTGGCAACAAAACTGACACCTTTTACAAGGAGTCATGTTTGCATAGACCGCAATACCTGCAGTCTATGCAAACATGACTCCTTGTAAAAGGTGTCAGTTTTGTTGCCAGATAGAAGGGTAAAGAACCAATTATCATATTTTTACTGGCAAATGAGGTTCCCATAGTGTAGACCTAAGAACTTGCTTCAAGTCACAGGCGACCGCTGAACCCCAGATTCAAGCCCGGGCCTCTAAACAGCGCTCAGCGCTGTGACCTCAAGCACGCGTCACGGCGAGAGTGTTGCGCGCTCTCACCTGGGAGATCTGCAGGAAGGTGTCCTGGCTGTATTGCGGGAGCAACATTTGGGAAGTATTCTTGAGGCAGGCGATCTGCAGGTACAGGCCGAGCCAGGAGATGATGCTCACGGGGCACAGGGCCCACTTGAGCGACTGTGAGGGGGACACGCACGCGCCGCAGCCAGGTAATCACACGTCTGTCTACGTGCTCGATATATACACGCGGTGTTCATACTATAAAGCATTTGCGATATAGCGTGGTTCTTCCATTCAGGAATACTTCGCACGTGTCTGTTATAACACGAAAGGCATACCCCCTTTTATAAAACGGAACACGCTCCGTCATAACGCGGAACGCGCATCGTTATAATGCGGAACGTGCACCGTCATCACGAGGCTTCTGAGCGGTCGACGTCAAACTACTTTCTTGTGCTGCGTGGCTGAGCGGTACAGTGATAGAGTACACGGAATGATATAATAACACGGCAGCATACCCGCAGTTATTTTCCCTGCCATCTCACTGCGTGTGCGTAGTACATCATATCTCGCCAAACTTTATTATTACATTATTTTGGGGGAAATTGTTTTCGCTTTACGCCTCTTTCGCTTAACGTGGAATTCTTCAGGAATGCATCTACCACTTACTACCAAAATGTAATCCCGAGTGTGCTATTGATGTCATGTCACAAGTTGAATAATCTATGCGTAACTCTCGCAAAGCATTGCAACAACCCTCCGCAATTCCTTCAAGTGACCTCTAGTGTCTGCAAGTACTTTGAGACTCGCTCTGCTACCGAGAGTGAAATTCATCGCATGACAGATTAATATATATTTTAATAATCTCAGAAAATGAGAGCTACTTTGCTGTGAAGTCAACAGTGGTTGTCCTGGAGAGTTTAGTGTGGTGTCCTTCCTCGTACCTCCGATTAGCACGGTTGGCTACGTATGGTATGAACAAAATTCAACACACAGGGCTATAAATGGGAAATTACCCTTCCCCAATGCAAAATTTTAAAGGAAAATCACTTTGACTTTTAAAATTCTATTTTAGCACTTTAACCACCCTGGGCGCAATTGCGAGCACATAGCATCATCACAGACGCTCATGAGGGACTGAGGTCATGTAAGCCAGAATGTGGAGCATGGTCTCAGTACCTGCAGCATGTTGAGTTCCATGACGACGATGTCCTCCTCAGTACAAGCTCCGTCCGTCACGTAGGCGAATTCCGTCAGCTTGGGTGGGTAGATCTCCTGCAGTCACGTATGTATGTACATATGTATGTTGAACTTCGTGAGCACCGTACATAGCCGTCGCTAACAAAGACAGCGATCCGCCCCCACCCCCACGTAGCCTGTACAAGACCGCTGGAGCAAGTGCTGTTCGCCATCATCATGGTTATCAAATACTGGGTGGTCCAGATGTCTGACCCCCCAATTAATTTACCCAAATTAGTTTTTTTCCTTTTCATATCTGTTTTAAATAAACCCGCCTTAAAAAATATTAAGTTTTAGAGAATTAAATGCGGGTCCCAAGACATCTGGACCACCCTGTATATTATGTGGGCGATCTGAAGAATCATATCTCGTCAGAGCCGACACCAAAGCACAAATTCGGACGAGGTTGGAATACTCTTGCCATGCACCCAGCTCCTACTTCACTGTATTTTATAGAATTCAACGTAACGCAGTCTGGATGACTACCGACTGATTCACGCCAAGTCACTCGCTCACCAGCAGCCAGTCTCCCACCTTATCACTCTTCTATTGCTACTGCTACCATGGCTATTGTTCCTGTAAACTTCACTTGTTGACCCCCCCCCCCATACTGAGGACTAAGAGTTAACCGTGTACAGTGTTCACCCACCATAATGCAGGTCACCACAACTTACTTGTTCAGCCACCATAATGAAGGTCACAACAACACCACACTAAATGATTCCTCCACCCATGTTGAACACGGTCTACCAGCAACAGTTTAATCTCATCCATGCTGTGTTGAACCATCACACTGCAGCTCACAACCCACTCACTGACCACACTGCAGCTCACAACACCACGTTCCATTACTTCCACAGCACTACTAGACTTTGGAATTCCCTCTTAATTATTGCAACTTTGATTATCATATTTGTCGCTGGAAGTTCAGACATTTTGTTTTGGCCTTTAGGGCCTGTGCTCGGCAAATGGTGTTAAAAACAATCAAAACTATTTGGATAAAAAATACGCACCTCCGTCTTGGCTGCGATGAAGAGTGCGGTGATGCCGATGAGCTGCAACTGAGACTTGCAGACATCCGTCTGGGTCGCAAGGAACCTGTCGAAGTAATCCAGCGCCAGGTACAAGGTCTCCCGGTGCAGGCGGTACACCTCGCACACCTGGGGGGGAGGGGTGGAGGAACGCAGGGCAATGAGCGGTTCGCGCAGTGTTCTTGACTAAATTTCAGAGGGGGGCCGCTTTCGCTGATAGGACATCATCAGTGTGAGGGCCGCCACACGTTTGAAACCATTGGGGTTGACAGCAGCATGATGGGGGGCGTCTGGGGCCACACTAAAGGCCACCATGGGCTGCGCTCGGGGCCCTTGCAAAGAAGAACCCTGGTCTAGGGTCAACCCGAGTTCACTCCCAAGATCTCACGGGGATGGGGCACATCACGGATTATTCAGTCGCAGGTTCCATCCTATGTACGAGGTTCACCTTTTCCCCGTCAGCCCTACACGACCCGTGGCCACGTGGTGGCGACAATGGCGACTTCTGAAGCAGATCAGTGCTGGATACAGCAGTCACATTTGCAAATGTGATTTGTAACTTAACCTGTGTAATATCAATAGTTCAATATTAAAAAATGTGACATTTTATCGAGAAACTGTGTGTTGTCTTGGTGTGGCCTGGGACTGTTTTGTTGTTGTTTTTGCTGTCTTTCCCAATCTTTATAAATCGTGACATATATAATGAGTGGATTTATTATTTATTTCTATTCAGTGACTAGCTTACCGTGTTCTCTATCTTGTACTCCTATTGTGTTTTTGTATCGTTTGCCATTGTAACTTGCTGACCAGCCCAATCCTGGACATCTTTGAAAAAAGAGCTTCAGAGTTCATCGGATTCCGCCCCCCGGACCAAAATACAGATTTCGATTCCGATGATTCCGCTCACCTCCATGAGCCAGTCGAGCAGCACGGCGCGCATCCTGGCCGTCAGGGCCGGGTGGCGGTCGAGGAAGTGGCGGTCCCGCTCGTGCGACTGCTCCTTCTGCAGCAGGTTCGACCACACCTCCTCGGGGCAGGCCCAGCTGCAATGCAACGGCGCCACCGTAGCAGCCAACGGTTAGTGCAAGCGAGTACTGGGGTGTCGCGGTGGCGAGATGTTAACTACCTCGCCTCGTACACAGATGCTTCGTGGGTTTGATCCTGACGCTTGCATATTTGGAGTTTGCATGTTCTCCCTATCCGTGGTCGCGTGGATTTTTCTCCAGGTACTCCGGTTTTTCCCTCCAAATTTAGAAACAACATTCGTTTAGAATATATGGCTGCTGAACATTTCCACATAAGCCAATTCGTTGAGCTATCACTTATGGCTAGGTCACTTCGGAAAAGAACTTAATATTAAAACTAAAACTATTTGTATTTTACCAGGTATGGTATAGCTATTTTTCAGGAGAATGTATGTATGTTGGACTCATTTCATGACATACATAGCCAACCGTGCTCATGAGAAGCGACCTAGCCACAACTGATAGCTCAACGAAGTGGCTTATCATGTGGACATTTTTAGCAGGGAAATACTCTAAACACATGTTTTGTCAAGAATCATAAACCATCACGAGAACTGCGGTCATCTACACAGCTGCTTTTGGATAGCCATCGAACAAAGACGGTCACTGCATCGCGCGCTTTCAGATGCGCTTCTGCAGCCATCTGGAACGCTTTTCCTTCCGATGTTAGGAAGCCACTGAAGCTATGAACTATTAAATAATCTATATTGAAACACATTTCTTTCGAACTGCTTTTCGTGTTTTTTGTCCTTCTTCTGTGCCTCAGATTAGCACTGTTGGCTATGTACGGTGCAAAAGAAGTTAAACATACATGTTTCTAAATGCGGAAGGAAAAACCGGAGGACCCGGAGAAAATTTCACGTGACCACGGGGAGAACATGCAAACACCAAATATACAGCATGAATCAGGGTCAGGATCGAACCCACAAGCTCCTGTATACCAGTCGAGGTAGTCAACATCTCGCCCATTTCTGCTTTTTTTGGGATCAATAAAAATAAATCAGAGACATCCATTATATATATACATATATTCGCCAATGTTTTCAGTACCCGAGCACTGGTAGTGGCGAGGGTCGGTCCGGGAGCAGGCCAACGCTGGTGCAGCGGCTCTTGGAGAAATGCGGAAGGTCACGTGGCTCCTTGTCTGGCGTCACCAACGATTCGACGTCGCGTAGCTCCAACACCTGCTCGTCCAACCGGCCAAGCTACGCGGCAAAACATGCGGCACAACCAAACGACATCAGTGCCCGTGCTCTGCTGCCGATGCCACCCTTAAGCGAAAATGGGTTCTTGCGGATAACCTCACACGGTATTGTTCCCTCCTCGCGAGGATAAGTTAAAAATCAGAAGTAAATATTCGCACCGTTTTCCCAGTAACTCAACAACCGCTGCACTTGAGCCCGTGGGTGAGCGAGCGAACGAGGCCCGTTACATCTCCTCGTCACAAACTACAAGCCATGACAAGACGCCTCGTGATGTCAGGAGCAAAATAATCTAAATAACTTTAATGCATGTTTCTAAATGTGGAGGAAACAACCGAAGGATCTGGAGAAAAAAATCCACGCGACCACAGGGAGAACATGCAAACTCTAAATATACAGGCATCGGGGTCAGGATCGAACCCCCGTTCACCTGCATCCGAGGTGAGGAAGATAACATGACCACCGCGTCGGTTGCACACCTTAATCTCATGCAGATGCTTCCGATTGGTGCGTTGGTGGGGTGAGCGCACGTACACAGGAGACACATCTTCATATTCCTGAACAGGAGACAAGGAACACATGAAACAAAGACCCAGTGAGAAAGAGGACATTATGTACGTATGTTGAACTTCTTTCGTACCGTACGTAGCCAACCGCACTAATCGAAGGTTCGGAGGAAAGACAACAAATTAAACACAAAAAACCGTGAGAAAGAAATTAGTTTTCTAAGAAATGTTTTTTTACATATACTAGGCAAAGCTGCAGCCCTGCACTTGCATTCTAATGCCGCTGCTAGGTGGTTTGCCTCCACGAGAAGAGTTACCTTTCCTATACTTTGCACTCCTATCAGGTTTTTTGAATTGTTTGTTGTTGTAACGTTCTGACCCACCCTTACAGGACATCTGTGACAAAGAGCTTCATAGCTCATCAGATTTTTCCATTCCAAAATATTCTGATTGTATTCTGGAGTACAGCAAACTCTTGCTCATCGTGGCGGTTACGTTCACGAAAATAGCCGCAATTGGCAAATCCGCAAACTCAAGTTAGATGGGAAAACGAGGGTTTGGTTCATGGTTCGTAATACAACACATTCTTCTTTTGTTTTAAGTTACCCTACATCAACCAAACGTTAAAACAGGAAGTATTTTGAATGTAAAATATGGTTCATATTTTCTCGTGTTAAATATAACTTGTGCGGTAAATGTATAAAATGAAAAAAAATATATATCTATATACTGTACAATACTGTACACATATCCGTGTACAGTACTGTACATTGCAGGAACAAAAATGGTGTGGCTGCACCTCACTGGGGACTGGGAACACCGCGTGACCTGGGACCCACGATGGGTCGCATGGGAGACGAGATGGAGACAAAATGGCGCATGTGTTCTTCCGTAGTGGCAGCATCATCGCGAGCAGTATAGTTGCGATGCGTGCAGGAATCTCGCGGTAAATGGGCTAGCCACTCAGGGCACGTTTTGCGAACTGTACCTAAATAATTTGGTGCAAAACTGTGATGGCTAAACCCACAAGAGGGAATTTATGTATGTCGACCTTCTTTCGCACCGTACGTACCCAACCGTACTAATCGGAGGTGCAGGGGAAGGACAAACTAAATACAAAAAGCAGATCGAAATAAATTAGTTTTCAATCTAGATTTAAAAGTGCATACATAGCTGCAGTAGCTTCCTAATATCAGAAGGAAGAGCATTCCAGGAGGCCACATCACCACTATCAACGTCAACTTCCCCCACTTCCTCATCATGCAGGTACCTCAAAATCACCACCATGAACATCACCACCACCAAGTGTGAGGGAAGAACAACACACTACATAAAGAGCTTGCCAATCAATGGTCTTCTTATTCTGCCACAATTTTCCTAATTTCTGTATCCAAACCTTTATATTACTGAGGACAAGCGCCATGTCGCAAAGCGTTCCATGCATACGCGAGACAGTCGTGGTGCCTGTTGCCTGCACGCACGCTGCACCATAACCCAAGGTGGTACCGTAGTAACGCAGCACAGGGACTTTAAACGATGGAAGGAGAAGCTGCCTAGTCACTCGGGGGTGGGGGGAGGAGGAAAGGGTTTTCTGTATTTGGTCTACTCTTCCAGGTAGGGCCAGACATCTTTGGAGAGTGTTCGGAGGAGATACTTCAACCCACCACACTCCAATCTATCAATCGACTCTGGTATACCCATTTATACTGGCAGTTAAGACAGAATCGGGGAATTTAAGAATTGTTGTCCATCATTTCAACTGGCACGCTGAGAAATGTGTTTACCTTGCCTATAAATTGCACTCCTAAAGTTCTGACCTACTCCTGCTGGACATCTGTGAAAAAGAGCTTCAGAACTCTTCGGATTCCTCCAGTATAGATATTCTGATTCAGCCAGTGTGTTAACTATTACATTGGCACAGTATCCAGTTACCAGGGCACGATGAATATTCACACGGTGGGCACGAGTGACATGACCGTGAAAACGAGGTCTCTCTACCAGTATGTGGTGGGTATAACGGAGACTCAGTCGAGCTCTGGAGGCAACACGTTTATTAACATTAACACAGAAGGGGTGACGGCCCCTTCACCCGGGTTAGCTACGGTCCTGGCAGTACGTCACATGGCGAGCCTTGGCCAGATAAGCCCCGCACACGGCGACATGCGATGATGTCGCTACAAGTACACCAGCTTGGAAGAAACCTCTTGCAAGACATTCACTGGCTTCCACTTACCTGGCACTTTCTCTTCCTCGTCCGCAGTACAAATGAGCCATTCTCATCGTTTCTCTCCCTCTTGGTCACCAGCCGACTGCTGCTTGGACAAAATGAAACAAACGACAATCACAGCAAAGTGTGAAAAGTTACAAGAAATCAAGCGATAATATAAAACATTAAAAGTAAAAAAAAATTATTTAACCAAGTATAGCCCACTGAGGCTTATCGTGTGGAAATGTATAGCGGCCAAACACTCTAAAACATATATTGAAGCCAAACATATGTTGATTCTAAATGTGGAGGGGAAAACCAGAGGACCCGGAGAAAAGTCCACGCGACCACAGGGAAATACTATGAAAACTCGAAATATACAGCGAGCTAGTTAACATCTCGTCACATCGGCGCTCTAGAAATGGAATGCGTCAACAGAGCATCTCCCAAGGATATGGAGCAACGAAATCGGTTAATGTGCAGGTGGTTGGTGGATCGTTACATCGCCGGATTGGAGGGGTTGGTGGCCGTTTTGGGGAACCTTTATCTAACAGTGGATAGAACATGGGTGATGATGGTATTCTCAACATCGGATGGTGCAAGATGAAATGGGGAAGTCAATCGTGGTCCAGCCAACTTCATTGCGGTACCAAAATAACTTTACTCCCATCTCTGACCACCGCCATCATTTAGTCCAAACAAGCAGTGGGTCTAAAACATTAAAATGGTTTAAATAAAACAAACAAATATTTAACATTTGGAAAAACCGAGATTAAATAAAATTAGAGTTCAAATGTTGTACAGCCGAACTTTATAAACATTGTTAGTCCATCTCATCACCACGACCACCCCTCCATCCACCATATTAACTCTGAACAGCAGCCTGTTATAAACAGTGAGAAATAAAATACATTATTTAAGAGTTTTAATAAGCGAGGCTAAATGTACCTAAAATCAAATATGGTCCCGCCAATTTCAAATGAAACAATTACTCGACTTTCGTGACAGCAGGAATTCATATTCTGTGGGTCTTGCGGTAAAGTCACGTAGGTAGGTTCAAATAAAATAACCGAAAGACCCAAAGAATATGAAACAATTACTCAATCTCACACAATCCACGCCACCACGTCTTACTCCACAATTCACTACAAACGTTTAAACAGCAGAAATGTGTAAAAAAAAATTGCCAAATAAAAACGATTGCTTGCAAAAGTTGAAAGGCGCGAGTTTAAAATAAATCAGCAAAAAAACGTGGTCCCGCCAATGTTATGGAATTAGTCCATCCCACACAACCACTTCCCCTATCCTCACCACTCATCGGCCATTCCCTCAACAGGAGGCAACCAATAACGTAAAAAAATCGAAAGATTAACAAATTACTGTAAATATGAAGCAAAATACGCGATCCCGCCGAATTTCATGGGGTCCATCTCACCCATCACAACCAAAACAAAGATCCCCCCGTACAGCCTGCAAATGACTGTTGAGGAAAGTGTTGTTAGCGAGCAGCACCTATTAAGGCCGGCATGGCACACGAGTGGCTGGGTGACCAGCACCACGCCCGACCGCCTTTGTCTCCCCAGGTACTCATTTGAGGCCCAGGACCGGTTCAGTTAATCGTCACTGTTGTTGGCCGTGAGCGGGAATCGAACTCGGGAAGCCGGGTTGGTGGTAGCGCAGCGCGCTTAACCGATGCTCTAGCGCTCCCCACACCCATCACAACCACCACCACCATCATCATCACAACCACCACCACAACCACCATCATCATCACAACCACCACCACCATCATCACAACCACCACCATCATCATCACAACCACCACCACCATCATCACAACCACCACCATCATTATCATCACCACAACCACCACCATCACCACCGTCCATCTCACCTCCTCCTGAGCATCTTCTTCGCGGCAGAATCCAGCTCAAGCAGCTTTTGTCGCGGCGAAGTTGAATTGGGCTTTTGGAATTGTTTAAACCTGAGACACAACGCACATCAACAACAAAAGAAGAGCAAACTAAGGGGCTGAATTTAACTTCGCCAAATTCCAGAGAAACCTTTCGGCCAGCGCCGAGTTGGCGACTCCCGCTCAAACTGCGGGCGCGGAAAATAAAACCGCGCGCAATCCGCTCTCGAACCCCCCTCGCCCCTTAGCGACACTCACACACACACACGCGGAAAGGAACTTCACAGATCTACGATCCCCATCCCCTCTCGGTGAGTGCTCGTGTAAATTAACAGAGGCAAGAGATTCATCGTGATGAGGATACTCCTCCTCGCAAGTCATTGAAACGAATGGCGGGACGGGGCTCACACGCACGGCGCATTTCCCTCACACGGCTATAACAACCACGTCGCATACATCACACATTAATCAGCTCTTAACTAATTACGACGATCCATGCTCACCAATTAAGCACAGGAATGGCTGATTTAACCGCGAATTAGTCACGAGCCGAGATGTCTATTGTGCTTACCGCAGCTACTGCGCTCTACTCTAAATGACCAAGCGCACACATCGGCGATGTACGACCCTCACGTTTCTTGAAGAAAATCAACCTCACCCCAAATCGTTAATAAAGTAGCTCCCACTGATTAACCCAATCAAGTCACCACAAAGACAAACATCCCGCACGCAACACACGAGCGAGCGACTCGCCAGCGATGACTACCTCTCTGAGGCGGGCTCCTTGCCCGGGAAACTAACAAAAAGCCGAGCTCGGGGGGAAGGCGACGAAGCCGTTCACGTTCAGCCTGGCGGGTTAATCGTCGGCTTCGATCGCTGCTGCTGCTTGCGAGGCGTTGTCGAGGCGTTGTAGTGAAGGAACAGGAGGAGGAGGAGGTGGAGGTGGTGGTGCCGCTGCGCTCGACTCCCTCCTTCTGTTTCCCGCCAGCAGCGCGCGCGCGTTCGAACGCCGCGCAGCGGTGACGTCACGTCCGCGCGGGGCCTCATTAACATACATTAACAAACATTAACATACATTAACACACATTAACAAACATTAACAAACATTAACATACATTAACAAACATTAACATACATTAACACACATTAACAAACATTAACACACATTAACAAACATTAACAAACATTAACAAACATTAACATACATTAACACACATTAACAAACATTAACAAACATTAACATACATTAACAAACATTAACAAACATTAACACACATTAACACACATTAACAAACATTAACAAACATTAACATACATTAACAAACATTAACACACATTAACACACATTAACAAACATTAACACACATTAACACACGTTAACATAAACCACATTTGCGCGCGACTCGTTTGCTTGACAATATAGGAATATTTAAATAATAAAGGTGTTTTTTTTGTAAACCTCCCCCCCCTTAATTGTGGATAATATAAACAAACCTTTATTACGGATAATATTGGTGGCGAAAGCCGACGTGATAAGAATTTGCATTAATACTGGAGGAATCCGATGACCTAAAAAGCTCTTTTTCACAGCTGCCCAGTAGGGGCGGGTCAGAACATCGCAACAACAAACAGAACAAACACACGAAAGGAGTGCAAAGTATAGGAAAGGAAAGGTTTAACACGTGGGCTTTCGCGACCAAGATGTACTACCGAAGCTACCAACAGAAAGTGTGTACAGGATTAACTGCACGCGTGGTGAATGTTACGTTGGGCAAACAGGACGAATGATCAGCACGAAACTAAAAGAACATCAGAGAAATATTAAATTCTCCCAAATGCAACTGCCAGCAGTAGCAGAACACGCGTGCCAACAAGGACACTCAATTGGTTTTGATAATGTTGAAGTTCTGTGCAAAACCAGCTACTACTGGCCAATACTAATTAGAGAATCTATCGAAATTTAAAGAAATAAAAAATTAACCCGTAAAAACAAAGTTGTTCACTATAAATCCTTTATATGCGTGGCGGCTAGAGTCCTCTCGTCCTCTGGCTTGAGATGGCTGCCACCTATGGGTCAGATGATTGCATTGCACCATTAAGCAATTCGTAATTAAATATAATATTTTTGTCCTAAAAAGTGTAAAATTTTGGAAAAAAAATTTCACGAACATTAATTGTCACGCACAACGAGTCTGTGTGCAAAATGTCAGCTCGATTGGATCACGGGAAGTGGGTTAAAAAACGACCGAAAGATTTGCACGGTCCTAAGCAAGCAAGCAAGCACGCAAGAAAGCAAGCGAACTTAATATAAAGGATTTAATAAAGGATTTAAAAATAACCGCTCGGATAGCTACCGCCTTAGTGCTGCGTTGCAGCGAATCATCTAATAATACATTATTTAAATGCATGCCTACAAAGGGCAGCGTACTTCAATAGGCATTACTGTTGGTAGGGATATTTTAATAAACACAATAGACAGGGAGGACAAGTTTAAAGGGCTCGCATAATGCGCATGCATTGTGCAAGAGCGCAGAAGCGTGGTCACCACATCTACGCCTCTATATTAGGAACGAGACAGGAAGACTTCTCCACAAATCTGGCTGTCGCCTGGTGAAGCTAGTTGTAATATCTGGCGAAACGTCGTACTCAGATTGTAAATGTTGTGGCTTGGCTCTCCAACACACCGGTGCACTGTACGAGAATACTACACTATACACTACACTATACACTACACTATACACTACACTACACACTACACTACACACTACACTATACACTACACTATACACTACACTACACACTACACTACACTATACACTACACTATACACTACACTATACACCAGTGCTGCACTAGTGACAAATTGGCACGTTCTGTTTACGTGACAACCCGTACTAGTTGGCTGTGTCGGGTGGTGGCGGATTTTAACGAAACATTTATATATTTAATCAGGTAAGGCCCATTGATCTGTGTAGCTATTTTTTTAGAAGCGACCTGGCGATCACAAATGACAGCTCAGCGAAGTGGACAACACCGGAGGACCCGGAGAAAACCCCACGCGTCCAGGGGGAGAGAGAAACATTCAAACTCCAAACATACAGCGGACATCGTCAGGGTCGGGATCGAACCCAGGACCCACATACAGCGGGCGAGGTAGTTAACGTCTCGCCACCAACATGGGCGGGTTAGAAAGTTGCAACAGCAAACAAGACAAAGACTGGGTTCCACTTGCCTCAAGAAAATGGTAAGCAAGCTACTAAATATCAACAATGAATACATGTATTATATAAGTACGACTTATCAAGGTTGGGCAAGGCAGCAAGAACAACAAAACAGTCCCAGACCACACCAATATAACACGGAGGAGTGGATTCTTACTCCGGGGTCCTCTGATATTTCCCTCCGCATTTAGAATCAACATTATTTTAAGAGTATTTGGCTGCTATACAACATTTTCACATGATGATAAGCCACTTCGTTTAAATTTCCATTTAAAGCTTTTGTGACTACAGGGATTCATATTCTTGGTTATTTCGGTAAAGTCACGTAGAAGGGAAATAATAAAATAATAAAAATTCAACATTATAAAATTCTCACGACGTTTCGGCCCCAACGCAAGCAGCCGTCCTCAGGTGAAGAACAGAACTGTCGGAAAGACAGCGTCCTTAGGACCCTAGCAACGGCATCTCTCTGTTCTTCACCTGAGGACGGCTGCTTGCGTTGGGGCCGAAACGTCGTGAGAATTTTATAATGTAAATTTTATTTTATTATTTCCCTTCTCCGTGACTTTACCGAAAGAACTAAGAATACGACTTCGTTGAGCTATCATTTGTGGCCAGGTGGCTTCTGAATAAGTGATATAGCTCAGTGAGCCTCACCTGGTAATATAAAAAAAAGGTTTAGTTTTATTTTATAGATGATTTGTGATTTGCTTATATATTCTATTCTTTGCACTCCCGTCGTGTTGTTGTATTATTTGTTGTTGTGACGTTCTGACCACTACTGGACATCTGAGAAAAATAACTTCATAGCTCATCGGGTTCCTGCAGTATAAATAAGTATTCTGATTCTGAAGGAGAAACATCAAACCAATAACGCTTAGGCTGCACTATTTATTCACCCAAATACAACAACATCAATGACACAATCAACCCCATTACACTCCAAGAGCAGAAGTCAGCACCTAACGCAAGATAGGTTCGTGCTGTTGCTCGGAACGCTGTTACTAGGGATGCCGTTGCTAGGGTCGCCGTTGCTAGGGATGCCGTTGCTAGGGTCGCCGTTGCTAGGGATGCCGTTGCTAGGGTCGCCGTTGCTAAGGACGCCTGTTATGGAAGCATGTTGCTAGGGTCGCCGTTGCTGGGGACGCCATTGCTAGACACACCGTTGCGAGCGACGCCGTTGAAGGGATGCCGTTGCTATGGACGCCGTTGCTACACACCTCTGTTGCTAGGGATGCCTTTGCTTGGGAGGCCATTGACATGGCCAGTCACTGCATGTGTGCGTGGTACGGACGCCGTTGTTAAGGACGCCTGATGCTACGGACGCCTGTTGTTAGGGACGCCGCTGCGAGGACCGCCGTTGCTAGGGACGTGGTTGCTAGCGATGCTGTTGCTAGGGATGCCCTTGTTGCTAGGGCCAGTCATTGATACGCCTCCTTTCTTCCGGACGCCGTTTCTAGGGACGCCTGTCTGATAGGAGGCCGCCGAGAGGGACCGCCGTTGCTATGGACGCGTTGAATTTATATTCCCTCTGTCATTTTCCGATTCCGACAGCTGGCAGGATGGTGGTCGATGGCAATGCTCACCTCCTCGTCTTCACAGGGGAATCACTCGGCTGGCCGGGTAGTTGGAGGGCAGGCGAGGAGCAACTGGGCCCGAGTGGCGGACCACGAGCAGGGGCACACCGTGGAGGTGGCCCGGGCGGCCACCGTGCCGCAGCTGCGTGCTCATGACGTCACGACGAAGCCGACACTTCCTCTCGACTCCTTATTTGGACATAGGGCATGACGTCATTACCTAGCTCCCCCAACTTGAACTCTGCTCCTTATATGGACATTGTGTATGACGTCACTAAGCAGCCACCCTTTCACTCCGTGCGTCACATGGGGCGTGACGTCACTACGCAGCCCACCCTTCCATTCTGCTCCAGATGACATTGGGCATGACGTCACTATGTAGCTGCCCTCACCCCCACCCTCCTTTCGGCAAACTTCGCTGTGTCGATCAATGAGGAAGGGCCAGAGTTATGATCGATATCGCCTCTTCTACTTAATGCTGAAATCGTTTCTCCAAGTTGATACGGCTCAGTGTTATCAGAATCAGAATATGTATTATACTGGAGGAATCTGATGGGCTATAAAGCTATTTTTCACACATGTCCAATAGGAGCGGGTCAGAACGTTACAACAACAAACAAAGAAACCCACAGTAGGAGTACAAAGTATAGGAAAGGTAAACAAATCATGGGACCTAAACAAATCACTTAAAATAAACCGATGAAAACTCAACAAAGTTGTATCTTTCCAGGTAAAACCCACTGAGCTATTCATTCATTTTTCAGGAGCGACCTGGCCACAAATGATAGCTCAGCGAAGTGCATTATCATGTGGAAATTTATAGTAGCAAAATTATATCTAAATTACCTCAATGCATGTTTCTAAATGTGGAGGGAAAAACTAGAGGACCCGGAAACAAATTCGACGCCACCACAGCGAGAGAGACGCCGCAAACTGCAGAGGGGCACCAAGCTCGTAAATACCCCACGTGCGAATTTGTACCATCCTACAAAAACTGCCCATAGCAGCTGCACTTGCAGGACCCCGAATAAAGAGGTCAATAGACATGTTTTTACATTTCTAAGTTGCATTACATCCGTAGATGAGCCTACGAAGTCCACACGACGCGAGAACCGAGGAAACTTTGTAAAACAATTAAAAAACGATTTGCCAAATAAATATATCTAGGGGCCGGCCGTCCATAAATGACGTCACGCACCTGGTGGGGGGGGTCAGACATTTGTGACGATGTGTGACGAAGGGGGGGGGGGTGAGAAATATGACGTCACATCAAAATGCGCAACTTTAAATAAATATAGACAACACGTTCTACTTAATTAAATAGACTTTTTAATAAATGTTTTATTCTACAACATCAGAGTGCAGCGTCATATTTAAGGGGGGGGGGGGGGTCTGACTTTTTGTGACGTCGTGTGACGAAGGGGAGGAGGTCAAAAATTGTCCCAAATAGCGTGACGTCATTTATGGACGGCCCCCTATATAATTATTGAAAAACACTGCAACAATAAAGGCCATTCGCCGCAAAATTACGGTGACGTCACCACAACGCTTGTGCCAGGCCAGGTGCACCTTGCGGTCACGTGAAGTGTCGAAGGCTCGCTGGCAGGAGGTCACGGGACGGTCCCTGGCACCACGGGTCGACTGGTAGATTGACCAGCCATCTGTGCCCCCTACTGCGCCAACTTGCTGGGTTTAGCCGCCCGGCGCTCCGCTCGTTGTTGTGAGCGTCGCTCCTCCGCCCTCCGTTGTTGCTGGAGGGCGACTGCCTCCAACTGCCCAGTAGTAGCGTCCTTCACGAGCCTCCTCCTCCACTGAGGCCGGTCTTGACACCGCTGGCACCAGTCTTCGGCAAGTCCACTCAGCTCCACGTCCTCCTGTACCACATCACTCCATCTCTTCTCGAGTCCGTGTCGTGCCCGTTTAGCCCCCTCTACCCGGCCAAACAGAAGCTTCTTGTGCATGCAGTGGTTGGTCATGCTGGCTACGTGTATACACACACACACACAAGGAAAACGTATACACACATGTGGAACACGTGCACACACACTCATGCCCACCGAGATCTCCATCTTAATGTGAATTGGCTCTTGACGTGCTTCACAATCATCGGGTGATTGCGGAAAGTCGGAGCGTGGTGGGTGGGGGCCGCGAGGCTTGGAGTCCCCGATGCTCTGTGCAGACGAAAGCTCCAAGGTGCTTCCATCACGAATGACAGCTTCATCTGGGCTGGCGGGGAATTCGTGCCTGGATATTTCTGTATTTATGTAAACAATTTTTTATGTTTTACCTACGTGACTTTACCGAAAAAACCTAAGAATACTTGTGTGTGTACACGTCTGTGTGTGTACACGTGTCCACGTGTGTATGTACACGTGTGTGCGTGTGGTGTGGGGAGCGGCTGAGTCGAGCTAGGGGAGACCCAGGGCCAGATATTACTCGTCACTGATGATGTGAGCCGTGAGCGGGAATCTCACTCACCTCGCCGCGTTCGTAGCACAATGCGCTAAACCACTGCACCACTGCTCCCCATACCCACACAGTGGGCGGGGGGGGGGGGGGCAAGAGGTCATCCCCCCTGGCTGGTGTTTGTGCTTATTGAAGTCTATGGGACGATTTAACATTGACGTCTATGGGATACTTTAACATTGAAGTCTATGGGAGCCTTTTCACATTAACCTCTCAATTCAACCCGTATCTATTAGCTGTAATAATGATCTATTATTACAGCTTCGAACGAGCTGTTTGTTGCTGGCCGCTTGACGTTTTCAGCCTGTGATCAGAAATTGTGTAAACAACATTGCACCCTCCCAGCATGAAGGATGAACAGTGGACAAACAACCGAAGAGTGATTGGCATATGCATTTATTTTCAGGCAAAATAGCCATGTGACTATTTACCAAATATCATTTACAAATAACGTAGAAGCCCACTTTGAGAGCAAACAATTGATAACACTGCACTGACAATGGCAAACCAAGCACAAATACAACTCAACACCTTCATCAACGAGTGGCTTTATGAGGAAACAGATATAATCGGCTGAACAATGACCTATGTGCTATGAAGGGCTATTGCCTGAAACGTCGCCGAATATGTACGTACATTTTTGATGACGAGACGAGCATGTTATTGATGAATGTGAGTTTTGTGATGGGTCATATCAGTGACGTCACTGAAGGTAATGTTACAGACCCAGCAGCTGACACAGACACGTGTGTTGACATTAAACCGATTCCTGGACTCATGATAAACACACTTTTCATTTACGATTCTTATATTGTGAATGTTTCCTGAAAACCCTAAAGACTCGTGTGTAAACAGGGTGCTTCAAAAAAATGTTAACACTTCCGAGAAATTGCAACAACACCACAAGAAATGTGCCTCCGGGGCTCTGGAGACCACCTGGAGAAGATTCCAGGCGTCCGTTGACAATGATGGCGAACAAGTGGAGGTGACTGACTTTTTGAAGCTATGAACATACATATGTGATCATGTTACAGCATATTATCCATTCTTTTCCCATGAAAAACGATAGTCCCTTGTCAAAAGGCACAATACATTGTGTAACACAAAACTACGGGGTTTCGTGTCGAACAAGAACTCATATCTCACAGAGAAGGTCCTCTTACCTATAAACGTCTGGCAACTCGCCAGCATTAATTCACGTGGGGCTGACGGATGATAAGACGCTGAAAGTTGAAACGGGTCCAGAGTTTTGTTTGTGTTGAAATAAAGGAGCTGCTGAAATTATACACTCACAGAAAGCAAGACTGTGTGGCTGATGGAATGTGTAAAAAAAACACTTTATTTATTTTCTTGTTGAGGGACAGCTGTGTGAGGTAGAACTGTCTACGTCATGATTGTTAGACATTGCATAAGCAGCCTCCTCCTGATTTGACTCAAGTGTTAGATTTTGCCGCATAGATGTAGTCGCCACTTAAGCCTCTTGTGATGATCAATGCAAGGGGTACAACGCTCCGTCCCGAGTTATATCCACGTCCAATCCAGAGCATGGGCCCAACTATTCCTACCGCTCTGTTCACGAATCCAGGTCTTGGTTTTCCATGAAGCTGCCGAGCGTCGAAGCGTCGATGGGAATGCTCAGGTACTCCACTCCATCAGCGCCCTGCAAACACGGAAAAACTCTTAGGATGGCAAGTCACCATTCTTGAATGTTTTAATCGATAAGAGACCAGATGGCTCATTGGGACACTCTGTCTACAGGAAAGCCACCCACACGGATGCCCATCTAAAACCTGGATGTCTTTGTATTGACAGGCTGGGTGTCCACTGCCCCAGCCTCTGTGGTTGGACCATCTCTAGCTCCACCCACCTACCTTGATGCACCCATCTCAGACCTTGTCTCAGCAGCTTTCTCTCTCTCTCACCTGTTGCGATCAAAACGTTGTGATCTATTTTCTATTTAAGTGACTTGACCGAAATACCCAAAGAGTATCATCATTCGTGTCGTTTAGGAGAATATCAGTAAACAAAATGTGCTTCTGCAGCCATCTGGAACGCTATTAGTAAGCCACTGGACCTATGCACTTCAATTGAAAACTAATTTTCTTTAGAACTGCTTTTGTGTTTAGTTTGTTGTCCTTCCCCCGCACCTCTGATTAGCACGATTGGCTAAGTAGTGTGAAAGACGTTCCCAATTGAGCCATTTACAGAATTGAACGTGTGGCAATGTTGTTGTTTAGAACCACCAACTTAAAGAATTCCAACGGGCAGCAATGAAACAAAGACACCTGTAGATCGGTTTCATCTTCATTAGGACTCATCAGCACAGCACAGTCATCAATGATCACTGCTGCCAAATGTCTCTTAGACTGGCAGGCTGGATAAGACTGAGAAAGTTCATACATGTAATACACGCCTTTAGTTCGTTTTTAAATCTACACATGGCAGTGTTAACCAGGGCAGCCTACCGGAATCGAACCGCGAACCTCCCTCTGGGTCATGTCACCACCTATTTAAAATGAAATAAAAGTCACTCCCCATATTTACCCATCTGGTCTGTGCCAGCTACGGGAGCAGTGCACACACAACGACTCGGCATGGGCAGGGAGGGGGGTCCAGTAAGTGACTCGGGCAGGGGTTGGCAACCAAGACAACAAAAATAGCCAATTTTTTTCGAATTCGGTAAAAAACACTCAATATCTCAGGAGCCGTAACGCATGTGAATAACGTCACCAAGTGGTCCCTATAGAGCCGCATGAGCCTCCGGAGCCGCAGGTTGCCAACCCCTGGATTAGGGGAATGACCACAGCATTGAATCTCAGCGTGGAGGTGAACGCGACGGCAAGCGACAGCGACACGCATCCCTAGCGGGGCACAGCAGGGCACCTTCTTGGTGCGGATGAGTTTATGGTCGCGGAACTCGGTGAGTTGCGCTCTCAGGGTGAGGTCGCTGTTCACCAGGAACGCCACTCGGCAGCGCTCGTAGAAGTCCTGGAACGACAAACCTGAACAACGCAGCTCGCATGAGCCTCAAGCAAGGCAGCCCTGGCGTGGCGTGGCCGCCACGAGACCACAACAGACGAAGATCCCTCGTATAGCCTCAAGAGACTGTTAGGGAAAGTGCTGTTTAGCGAGCACCTATGAAGGTCGGTTACGGGCACACAAGAGGGTGGGTGACCAGCACCACGCCAGGCACCTTTATCTCCAGAGTGGCGATGTTTACGCATTGCACCAGGTACTCATTTGAGGCTGAGTCGATTTAGGGGAGGGCCAGGACCAGTTTCTGACAATCGTCACTGGTGTTGGCCGTGAGCAGGAAGTGAACTCGGGTCGCTGGGTTTGCAGCGCGGTATGCTAACCCTTGCGCCACCACTCCCCCCAAAGACCACACACACTCAATCAGCAGCAACTCGTGCAATACATGGGAAGCATTTGTTGGACGAGGAAAAAGTTATGTCAAAATCCACAATACAGCCCTTTGCAGTAAGCGGTGGAAATTCCACATTCATATGTCAGGGACGAGGCTCTCCATAGCACAATCACTGTTGACTACCTACAAAGGTTCATCTTCTTGGTTCTTTCGGTAAAGTCACGTAGAAGGGAAGTAATAAAATAATAAAAATAAAACATAATAAAATAAAATAATTCTTCACCTGAAGACGGCTGCTTGCGTTGTAGCCGAAACGTCGTGAGAATTATTTTATTTTATTATGTTTTATTTTTATTATTTTATTACTTCCCTTCTTCGTGACTTTACCGAAAGAACCATAGAAGATGAATCCCTGCAGTCACGAAAGCTTTAAATCGAAATTTACCTACAAAGGGTTACTCATTTTATTAAACTCCAAAAGACGATCACTGAGTCAACACTCAACCAGGATTTGAGCTCATGAACTGGTACAACTCAGACAATACCAAACTAAAACTATGTTTTATTTTACCAAATAAGGCCCATTGAGCTAAATAGCACTTTTTCAGAAGCAACCTGGTTATTATTGATAGCTCAACGAAGTGGCTTATCACGTGGAAATGATTAGCAGCTAAATGCTCTAAATGCATGTTGATATTAAAGAGGGAAAAACTGGACCCGGAGGAAATTCCACACGACCACGGGGAGAGTGACACGCAAACTTCAAATATACAGCAGGCGTCAGGGTCAGTGTCGAACCAACGACCTCCTGCACAGGTAACATGTCGTCACCGCGGTGAGATGTTAACGGTACACTCAAGCAGCAGCCGTGATGTCACAAGTGGCAGTCTAGGCGACGCATGGCAAGTTGGGTAGGTGTGGAGAGAGCCTCTCACCTGGGTTGGAGGGGTTGTTTTTATTGTCGATCTCATGCTCCACAAGCAGCTGGAATATTCCCCTGTAAGGAGAGAGTGATTGTAAATGGTCACGTTCCATGCACAGACAGCCAGTCAATGATAATACCCACACACAATGCCGGCCATTCCACAGTTGCTCCCGTTATATTGAACAATGATGTTCTCATCGAAAGTCAAACCATTAATATGCTTGGTACAGAAATCTTATCTTAGCTGTCATGGAACGGCTGCGTTGCTCATCTGGCTAAGGAGGCATCTAAGAAGCGTGGTTGTCTTCTCCCTGCCAAAGCCTCTTCAACTCTGCACAATCATTACTGCTGCTACACACACCAGAGTCAGCTTCAGCTGGAATCCTGCTGCCGTCATAATTGGGGTGAAGCACCCAGTCCCTCCCTCCCTGGTGCTGACAGAGTTCCGAGTCAAGCGGTCAGGGTGACTGGAGATCCAGCACTGCCGATTCACTCCCACCTATTAAGCAGTGCAACTCAGCTTTGCAACCTCATCACCTCTGCAAATCTCCTCGTTTCAGTGCCAAAAACGTACGAACCCTGACAGCTGTGAATCTTCGCTCGGTCTGTGCCCTAGACCTTCGATCCCTATGAGCTCGTGACCCCTGCACCTTGGTCAGCGAGTCCCGAGACCTTTAACAGAATCAAAATCTTTATTGAGACTGGAGGAGTCTGTGCAGCACTGATCGGCCTGTGTTTGATACTCGTGAGTTGAGGCTCACACCCCTTCCTTGACTGGTCACTGGAGTCTAGACTTTCGTCACTAACTATTAGGACTGTGTTGTTTTTGTTATTACCTGACCATGTACTTTATACTGCCGTTAATGTTGATATTGTTCATGTGACTTGCATTATTCCATTGCCCTGTAACCGTTGAAAATCTTTTCATATTTGCTTGTGTTGTTCTTTTCAAACACCAGTTACTCGTTTTTTCTTTGCCTCGACTCTTGCCCCAGAAATTGGTTATCTTGATAGGTCCATGGTTTGAGACACATGCAAGTGAGATTTTGTTTCTATAACTCATACAATACTGTGGTTTATTTTACATTGGACCATGACCGTTTCAGGAGGTGAGATTGAGAATAAATGTCAAGAAAACCAAGTTGTGACTGGACTCCGTCTTGTGTTCATAGCTGTCTGTTTGGGTTCTCTGCACTCAGGGATTGGGTTTAGTGGAAGGCTGGGTTTTGGCAAAGTCGGAGTTTCTCCTATTTCACCTTTGGGAGGCGATAACCACAATCTTGACTGCTACAATACTGCTGCTAGATGGACAGGAGCAACGATGCATTATGGGGGCATTAGGAACCTTGCACCATTGTTTCAACTGCCGCAACGGGACACGGGATCGAACCTGCAACCTTTGGATTTTAATTCCAGCCATTTGGTAACATTTACACCGCTGTGAGAGCTCCCCTTCTCATCACACAAGGTCAAAGTGTTACAATTGTCGCTCTAGACATTTCTAGACGTGCAGCACACTGGTAACTGGCAATAGTTACTGGGTCCTTCATGCCGTTACCGGTGATGCAACAAGAGAAACGATTTCAACACTCCTGGTGTGGATGCACCTGGCAAATATCCAAGTTTGATTCCTGCTAGCAGCAAATATCGATTACGAATATCTGAACAGGTTCTGGGCTACCCTTGGTAGACTCAGCCTTAAACGAGTACCTGGTGCTGTATGTAAAAAAAACACAAGCAATGGGGAAGACGGGGGTGGCCGGGCGTGGTGCTGACCTGCACCCCCTCAAGGGCCGTGCCAAACTTCATGGTGCTTGCTAACGTCACTTGTCAAAAATCTCTGTCAAGGCTACGCGGGGTGTCTTTGTTCCTGTGTTCGTGTGTGTCGGCCTTGGTATCGGCGTGCTTAATACCTGGCATTGGGCGTCAAGCTGCGCAGTACGTGGGTGAGAGAGCTGAGCGCAAGCGAGTCCGACTGTTGGACGAGCAGCGAGTTCTCGTACGACGTCTCCTCTGCATAGGGCTCGTAGGTCGTGACCTCGCACCACAGCCAGTTAAACCAGCCAACTTTGCTCTGCTCCCAGACTTAGACGCACACCACACAAAGATGCACCCATATCGCATTTAACGGACTGTTGGGGCGAGTGCTGTTAGTCAGAAAGACCTATGAAGAAGGCCAGCACGACAGCACACGAGGGGGTGGGTGGGCAACACCATGCCCGGCCGCCTTTGTCTCCCTAGCGGCGATGTTTACACAATGCACCAGGTACTTATTTGAGGCCGAGTGGACCTCGGGGAGGCCCAGCACTTGTTAAGATAATCGTCACTGGTGTTGGCTATGGGCAAGAACCAAACAGCGCGGTAACCGCTGCAGCGAATGTACGCGTGTCCCCGTACTGAGAGGGCCGTTGATGTGGTCGACGCTGGCGATGAGGTGCACGTTCGGCAGACTGGCCAGTTGGCCCAGGACCCGCTGGCTCCGCTCGGCGCGCAACATCTCCCCGTCGATGTTGTGAATCACCAGGTAGAGCTCCAAGCTGCTATCTGCCGCAGACATGAACACAGACACTCGGGTTCATAAGGTCGCACCGTTGACACACAAAGTGCTTGCCACAAATTAACCACAATACCTTGCTGATCTCGTCAAGGAGCATAAAGCATCACACAAATTCTGGTCATCCTCGCAGTGGTTTTTGGCGAGCCAAAAGACGGTCACTGAGGTCGCGGCTTTAAGATGTGCTTTTGCAGCCGTCTGGAACGCACTTCCTTCCGTTATTAGGAAGCCACTGGAACATGCACTTTTAAATATATATTGAAAACTAATTTCCTTAGAATTGCTTTTTGTGTTTAGTTTGTTGTCATTCCCCTGCACCGCCGATTAGGGTGATTGGGTCATCAATCACCGTGACCGCTTTACAACGGAACTCTGTCAGATGCAGCGATGTAGGAACTGGGTGTTCTCCACCCCAGATATGACGACAGCAGGATTCCAGCGTCAGTTGACTCTGCGCTGTGAGTAGCAGCAGTAATGATTGTGCCGAGTTGAAGGGGTTTTGGCACGGAGAAGAAAACCATACTTCTTCGACGCCTCCTCAGCCAGATGAGCAACAACACACTCATGAGCATCCAGGTGGCATAGCGTCATTCTGCGTGACGGCAGACGTGCGGACAGCTGAACCCACCCTGCCGGAACCTGGAGCAGATGTGAGCCAGCTGCTCCATAGGGTTGCGAATGCCGATTCCATCTTCTAGAACTTCTGATATAATTGAATTCAACACCTGTAGAGCCGGTAACACAACACCAATCACCACACCACACCACGTGGGCCACTTTATGAGTCTGTGCGACTGTTTGAGTCTGTGCATCTTGTTGCAAGTCTGTGCGAGTCTGTGGTGTATCTAACCTGGCATAATCGCAATGAGGATATTACCGCCACTCAGTGGCAAACAGTAGTTTTTGCGAATCTGTGGGTCTCTGTGAGTCTGTGGCTCTCAGGGTGAATCTAAGGGTCTCTGTGTGTGTATGTGGGTCTCTGTGCGAGTCTGTGATGAAACTAGCTTGGCACAAGAGCTATGGGGACGTCACTGCAACTCGGTGCAAACACTGGTTGTTGTTTTAGCGAATCTGTGGGTCTCTGTTGGTCTCAGCAACAGCAACTTGAGGTGTTACATGCTAACTCTTCTACTGTGTAATAGCTCGTATTACACTGCACCACTGACCATCTTGATGGTGATGGAGGGGAAGTATCCGTTGATGACCACATGGCAGCGGTTGGGCAGGAGCGCACATCTGAACTCCTCCAGCAGATTGCGCTTGGACCCCAGTCCATACAGCAGCACATTGAACCCCAGTCTACCGAACAGACCGAGTGAAATCAGCCAGCGTCATCATGTACACGGTGGAAGTGGGTCTGCCACTTTCAGTTAGCCGGAACATCTCCTCCATCAGCCAGAATCTATGGGGAGGTCTGACCCACATACCCAATGCAGCCATTGCAGTTGCATGAACCACAATCCTGAATCTTGACTTAAAGCTTTCGTAACTGCAGAAATTCATATTCTTTGGGTCTTTCGGTAAAGTCACGTAAATAGGTTCAATACACAATCCTGAACCTCACCCATTTCCTCTCAGCATCAGGAGGAGGAGGGTATGATGCCGACCTCAGCTGCAAGCGCTTATGAATGTCTCGCTTGCAAACTTCACGAGCTAGTCGAGACCACAGAAGGTCGGGTGTCAAGGACATGGGCCCCCGTTCACTGCTCTATCACTATACAGTCCAGCAGATGTTGTGTGGATGCGGCAGTGTGTTGGTGATGATAAACCCATGAGTTTCACACAAGTCCAACAGCCCCTGACCATTGTTATTGAGCTGCTCTGGTCCATGCCTTTCAATGACTCTGGCCTCGGTGCCTGCGTCATAACTCACTTGGGCATTAAAGTCACCAAATGGGATGATTTTTTCCCGAGGGGCTGCTTTAGCTAGCACATAGGACAGGAGGTCATAGAATGTATATAAATCATCATCCTCCGATGTTAATTGTTATTGCCAAAACAAAGACAAAGATCCTCCAAAGCCTTATCATACCATTGGGGCAAGTGCTGTTAGTGAGCAACTATTAACGTTGGCAGCGCACACGAGGGGTGGGTGGCCAGCACCACACCTGGCCACCTTCGTCTCCCAAGTGGAGTTGTTTACACACCGCACCAGGTACACATTTGAGGCTGCGTCTACCTCGAGGAGGCCCAAGACCGGTTTAGATAATCGTTACTGGCGTAGTGTAATAGCGCCGGCTGCTGGGCAGCGGCGGCAACTGTGGTGGACAGACGACACACGCCGGTGAGCGTGTGCTCGCGTGTGTTGGCAGGGCGGAGGAACTGGGGCAAGGGTCATGGAGGACCCCGTCTGGAAGCCCCTGGAGCCCGCTAGTGGGTTCGAGAAGGGAGGCGTGGCCAGGCCGCGCTGGTAGGATAAAAGGAGCCGAGAGTGGGAGCTGCCGGTTCTGGGATTGGATTCGTCTCCTCGTCGCTGTCGTCTCGTCGCCGTTGCCGTCTTCGTTCGCTATTGCGCTGCTAGAAAGTAGTTGGCTGTATCAGTCAGCGCCGTCAGTGTTAGATAGCTAGTGTTGTGTATAGGCGAAGCTAAGCGACTGTAGAGCGTGTGTGGACGAGACCGTGAATGTTCTAAATAAAAGAAGTTGCCTCCTACAAACCTCACTGATACTACACTGGTATTGGCCGCGAGCGGGAATCAAAGTCGGGTTGCCGGATTCGTAGCGCAGTCCGCCAAACGCTGCACCAACCGCTCCCCACAATATATCGCGCACACCCACCCTCACTCCAAGAATCACGCACTTGCCAATACACTCACTCACTGCACTGCTCCACTTTGGAATGCCCTCCCATCCTCTCTTTTCTCCAAGCTCTCACAATAACCTCTCAATCTGTGAAACGTGTCAACTCGTATCAGTTACAGCTCTGATGGTTGTCGTTTGCTGCCAGTCGCTTGCCATTTTGAGACTTTGGGCCCTATGCTGAGCAGCTGCGTTCAAAGAGTGCAAGAGTGAGGGCCAGATGGTCCCCTATGCTTCTAAAATCTGGTGTGCAGGCCGGGAGGTCGGGTGGAGGGGACGGCTATTTGTGCGGGTTGCGCCCCTCTTCCGGGAATGGGCGGGAGCGGAGTGCTGCTCCGTGGGACATAAGTTCACAATTTCATCTGCCGCGTGTGAATTATTGTATTTGTGGTGCTTTATTACATGGCTTCCCCTCTTTTGCCCCACCCACCCCCCGTTCCCCCCCTAGCCCTCTCTTTTTCCCATTATGTTAGTTACCTTTTCTCTTACCCCCCCCCCCATCCCCCGTATAAGATATCGTGTCCACACTAGTGATCCCCACCCAGTTCTCCCCCTTCTTTGGGCCCTGACGCGTCAAACTCTGGGCTGTTGTTCACGTAACTTTTGTCCCCCCTCCGTTCTATGATCGGTGCTTTGAGTTGTAACAACACAGAGTGCAAGGGGCGAACGTCCCGACCTGAGCTGCGTCATCCACTTTGCAAAGAGGCCTCGGTACTCCCGCTCCAGCTGCTTGCGCTCCTCGCGGAACGGCAGCTGCACAGCTCTGAGCAGGCGGCCGAGGGTTTCCTGCACGGCGCACAGCACCAACGGAATCACGACGCCGACACTGTCACACACGTCGCCCAGTCCCGCAGCAGCAGCTGCTGCACAGTCAACGTACAGCAACTTCCAACATCACGCTTCGTATGTACAGTATGTTGAACTTCGTTCACACCATACGTAGCCAACCGCGCTAATCAGAGGTGCGGGGGGAAGGACAACAAACTAAACACAAAAAGCAGTTCTAAAGAAAATTAGTTTTCAAAAAGCTCGAATAGACTCCCGTCCACCATCCGCTCTTAGGTCTTCTCTTCCCTTTTGTCACCAGACTCATGGAGATCGCTGCCATGCCGGTCTTGGCAATCAGCCCTCCATCCGGCACACACGTCCCTCTCTTCCGGACATATGCATTATATGTATGTTGAACTTCTTTCGTACCGTACGTAGCCCACCATGTTAATTGGAGGTGCAGGAGGAGAACAAACTAAACACAAAAAGCAGTTCTACAGAAATACGTTTTCAATCTGGATGATTTAAAAGTGCACAGCTCCAGTGGCTTCCTTATACCAGAAGAGCGTTCCAGATGGCCGCAGAAGCACATCTGAAAACGCGCAATGCAGTGACTGTCTTTGTTCTGGCTACGAAATTTAAAGTGTGGCAACAAAAATTTCCAGCATTCGTTACAGACACCTGAGCTCAAATGCCAACAAGATATGACCGTGCGGCTTCGTCCATCAAGAGTCCGGGTCTCTGAACCAAACGGTAACCCAGATGGACACACAACCCAGACACGTAAACTCACCTGGTCAAGGCGTGGAGACTGCAGCTTGGACAACGTGCGGTCAGAAGTGATGACCTTCGAGGTTTTGTGGGCGTCAAAGTAATCTTCCACCACTTCTTGCTGCAAGTGACAACACAGTGAACCCCCAGATTGGTGAACCCCCAAATGTCCAGAATTCACACTTGGCCAGACGAGGTCAGCTAAAAATAAAAAAATGTAAAATGTACATAAAATGAAAACACAAAATTATTATTTTAATCCGTTATACTTGATGAACCTTATGGCGGGACCCCGGGGTCCCATAAGCCCCCGGCTCTCGTCCGTGACCAGGCAACCTGCTAAACTGCCCTGATCACGTTATGTAGTATCCCCTCCCCGAGTGTGAGATTAGGAACGGTGGTCACCACCTTATGTATAGTGTTCACGTTGGTTGTTATGTGTTAATAAATAGTGTTGCCTCCAAGTTGAGTGCGCACCTCAATTGAACCCACTACACTTCTACACACCCGAGTCATTGATATGGCAGAGGAGGGCGTTCCACAAGTGGGGGGGGGGGGGGGGAGGCACACAGCTGAAGGCCCAGTCGCCCTGGAGAGGAGTTTCGTCTTATGTTGCATTGAAAACTGAGTACGTGGAACAAAGATTCAGAGATGGAATATTGGGAATATTAGCAACAAGATCTTACGGTTGATTATAAGCTTCAGCGGGAACCGATGAACAGAAGCCAGAAGAGGTATGATAGAACAGGATGTAACACTGAAACCGGAAGAGCGCCTTTTCAGTTATGCCAATGTTATTTTTGCAGCGGTTCAAAAGGATCTCATATCAAAGGTGGCACTGTGATCCGTCTAAATAAGGATGCTAAGTGTGTCAGAGCCAGTGGTCATCGGAAGATTATTTACCACCTGGCCCACAGCTGTTTCAGTACTGTGCGCCAGTCTAAAACAGATTGTAAGGGTTCCATGTAATTGGTAGTTAAATCTTTTACAAGTACACTGCTACCGCATGTTTGAGGAACTTTGATAAAAAGTTCCAAATAAGTTCAACATACAACAGAAGATCCAATATCGGTTTTTGTGAGGCTTATGGGTCTCTGTGTCAGTCTGTGGGTCTCTGTATAAGTCTGTGGGTCTCTGTGTCAGTCTGTGGGTCTGTGTGTCAGTCTGTGGGTCTCTGTCAAAGTCTTTTGGTCTCTGTGTGAGTCTGTGGGTCTGTGTGTGAGTCTGTGGGTCTGTGTGTCAGTCTGTGGGTCTCTGTGTGAGTCTGTGGGTCTCTGTGTCAGTCTGTGGGTCTCTGTGCAAGTCTGTGGGTCTCTGTGTGAGTCTGTGGGTCTGTGTCAGTCTGTGCATGGAAGTCTGTGGGTCTCTGTGTGTACGGGTATCCAAGTCACTCACAGTGATGCGAGCTCCTCGTTTGCCTCTCTTCCTCGCTGGAGTCAACTTGTGGGTTCTGTTGGCCTCCGCTCCTCCTCTGCCTTTCACGGTCTCCTCCTCGCTGTGCGAATCTTCCTCCTCCGACACAGACTCGGACAGCTCGCTCTCACTGTCTGACTGAACCTCTGTTCCAAAGAAACAACCAATCAACAATTAATAATAATATTAAAAGTAATGATGCAACATTTTTTACGAGACCCACAAGATCACACAGAGTCAGACTCGCAGAATCACAGAGACCCGCAGAATCACAGACAAAATAGACACAGACATCCACAGGCTCACAAAAAGTAATGAAACACTATCTATGTCGATTGTGACCAATATAATGCATTGGTCTAGAAAGCCTATTCACTCATGGATCATACATAATTATATCTTTATTATCCACAAAGCCAACCTCTGTCAATTATTTAATCATTTAACATTGGTGGTTATGCTCCATGACAACAACGTTAACTTTGTTAACGCGCAGGAAACCACAGACAAGCGGGAAGGCAGCCGGCGCCACCAAGAATCGCCAAGACTCGCTAGTCCTACATTGGGATCTTCGGTCAACTCCACTCACGAGTATTTATATAGGGCAGCGGTGGTCAACTGGCGTCGCCTGAAGCTCTTGGTCTGCTACAGGTTGGCCACACCGGATATACGGGCTTCTGCGCTCACACTTGTGCACATGAAGTAATCCACGCAGTGATTTTAACGAATCTATTCATGTATTTATATGCACGTGCGCGCACACACATTTGTGCAGCACACATCCAAAGACCCAAAACGCTAAGTGGCGTTATAACCTGTTTGGGGCAGTGACATGACGCCATGGTTAGCGCGTTCGCCGCATGGAGCAGAGGTCGCGATTACTTTCCTGCAGACCACCCTGGTTAATACTGCAGTACGAACACTAAAATACCGTGTGCCGTGCACTTCAAATATCCCGTGGCGTCATTCTAAACGAGTCGACCCATGTGTGGCGAATTTCAAAAAATACACTGCAAATTACTCATTTGGGATCACGTACACCGCAGCAATCATCGCCCCCTACTGGCAGAATAATGCCCACTGGCAGGCCAGATGCCAAGTCACCTTGTGCCGCCAAGGGACGGCTGCCACGGGGGGTGCCCGTCGAATGTTTGAGATGAAATGCGATGAAAGTTGCTGAGGCATTTCAGCAAACGTCATATAAATGCAAAATAGAGGTATTTATGATTGTAAAGCTCACGACACATGCACCGAATGTCACGTGTACGAATTATTTCACGATGAATGTAATTGGTGCACATGATCACTGCGTCCATTGGCGTTGTTTCCATTCAATGCAGTCTTATAAGATTAGTCCAGTTTTAAATTAAACGACAGACACACATGCATCGTCAGCACAGCTGCTACCTGAAATTGTCGTTTTTAAATTCCGTTGCTGAGCACAAGCCCAAATGCCAAGCAGCCACCGATAAACAGCACAATTACAGTTGTAGTAGCAGGGAGTTAACACGTTTGTTGAATTGAGCAAGGTTATTGTCCAAATCTTTATTTATCGTGGAGAAATCCGATGAACTATGAAACTCGTTTTCACAGGGGCGAGTCAGAGAGTTACAATAACAATACAAAAAACGACAGGAATAAAGTATAGGAAGTGTAAGCAAATCACTAAAAATTAATACATAAAATAGATAAAATATATAAGTTGTAAGCATATTGTTGTAAGAGAAGAGCTTGGGGGGAAATAGACGAAGGTTCGGGGATTTCAAAGTGCAGCAGTGCAAAGAAAGAAGCAGAAAGATAAGTGTTGAGAGCTGCAGTATGGTGAGTGGGTTTGTGGGTGAATGAGTGGTTGGGTGGGTGTGTGGTGAGTGTGTTGGTGTTACCTGCAGTGTGGTGAGTCGGAGTAAGCAACTGGGTGAGTGTATTGTTTTGACCTGCAGTGTCTGTTCGACCGATTCCTCAACATGCGTGGACAAATCAACCAGTGAAGGTTCAGGGGAACAGTAACTACTGTAGTAGCGATAGAACAGTGATAAGGAGGTGATTGAACACAGGCGAGCAAGTGAAGCCGTGAGAACTGGATCATCAATCACTCCAGACTGCTTTGCATCAACGGCTTCTCTAACCTTTCAGTCTCTTGCGCAAACGATACGGCGTTGAGGCTACGCCATGTAGAGAGGCTTTCTGTCACACGGGCAGGACACACAACAAGACACACAGTGCTCACTCTGTTCTCCTCCGACACTCGAGCTACACAGACACAAGTTGACCTTCTGTTGCATAATAGTAGTAAATAAACAAACAGGATTCAAAGGGAGATGGAATCTAACAACGTGAATATACGCTCCAGGACTTTAACGCTATCACTTTCACAGCGAGTCAGAAAGCCATAATAAAACACCGTAGGTCACGCTCACCACGTATTGTACGAGGCTATGTGCGCCGAAATTGTGGTTAGTAAAAATAGATGTCGAAGTGATTTCCTGCTCAAATGCGCATTGAAGCATTCATTGGTGCGCATTGAAGCATTCATTGGTGCGCATCTCCTGTTTACAGCCCTAAGCCAGTGGTGGTTGAGTCTATTGAACCACCACCGTTGACTTCCCCACACACGGGTACTCATTTTATCGACCCCAAAGAGATGTTGGGCTGAGTCATGCCCTAACCTGGATTAGAACTGGCCTTGCTCTCGTACCAAGGGTTGGCAGCCTGCAGCTCCGGAGTGGGAATGTAGCTCTTCCAGGACTGCCTCGTGACATCAACTATTTCCCACCACCGTCTAGAATTGACATGCATTGTGTGCCTCCAGAAAGAGCTTTTTTTTCACAGAATTCGAAAAAATGGCTCTTTTTGTTGTTGTGGTTGGCGATCCTCCCCCGCACGAGTGCATCATTTCGCAAATGGCGGGTGGCAGAACACTCGCGTGCTGCGATAAAACTCCCGGCGTACCACGATGTTTTCTGAATTACAGTGCCGGAAAAAACCCCAAGCCCCCACACGCCCCACCCCTCTCCATTAGTGACGCAAGTGCAATACGGTAGCAGCACACGGCCGTGAAGTCACCCCCACCCACCCCGGCCCTCAACTTCCACGATTCTGTGCGAGCCGCTACAAACGGATGATGGGCTAAATCAGGCACACCCCACCACCGCCCCCCACAAACGACATTTTTAACTCGCAACTTTAGATTGCGAGCCACTCACTCATCTAATGGCAGGGCAGGGTAAGTAACTTGGAGGTTCAGACTAAGGCATTGCAGGAGAGTTTTGCAGTTTTAATCAGGAAGGAGGCTGCGATGGATGGGACACGACTACAGGGAAGAGGGAGCAGCAGGTTACAGAGAGACAGACATTGGAGTGACACTCAGAGGGATTTTTTATATATGTATAAACAGTTTTTTATAAACACAGTTAAAGGCAAAAACGTTAAATATCCAGAAACAAACAGCACTATTAAAATTGTAACAGATAAAAGCTAATGCGTTTTTAGAATTGGGAAAAGAGAGGATGGGAGGGTAATTCCCAAGTGAAGCAGTCAGAGGGAAGACGCAGAGACGGCAGTCGTGGCCAGCAGAGTGGTGAGAGGGTGAATGGGTGAGTCGGTGTGTGGGTGGTTGATGAGTTTCAACTTCAATAAAAAAAGTTGCGACTGCCGGCATATGTTAATGTGTCTAATGTCACTCATTCGGTGATAAACTGAAAATTCTCACCTTTGGCTTGCGGTGAAGAGCTGAAATATTGCACAAACAGCGATTAGACAATGCCAATGACATTAAACAACTACATTAATGACAAGCACAAATTTTGGAAGATTATTACGTGGCCCAACCCAAAAAATCTACAGCAAATCGTAACACTGGCTGCGAAAACGTATGTAGTAAGCGCCATATTATTCATGAAGACAGACGGTGCACACGTGAAGTGGTGGCGAGTTGTAAACCTCACAGCCGCTCTGCGATATTGCGTGTTAGAGAGTCGCCTTTGGAAGGAATCGATTTTCCGCTGAGCCACACTCGGGGGTGGCAGCAGTGAGAGAATCGAACCCAGCCAAAAATCAAAGTCAGAAAACAGAAACATCTGTAGATTTTCTTGAAACGAAAACTGAACCCAATTGAAATATTCTGCTCCACAATGAAAATTTCCCAAAAAGGATTTGGTTCCCAGTTTAAACCAGTGACACTTGCTCATCAACTCGCACTTTGTAGCTGTAAAATTGAAAGTGGAACTTACTTGATTTCACTGCTACCTTGCTAGAGGGAGCATTTGCTGTGGTCCCTCCGGTGGCTTTTATGCCGAAGGTCACGAGTTCAAATCCTGGTCATTTTGTTGCCCCATATTGACGCGAGTGATCATTCTGGGAGAGGACGTGGTCTCGGGGCCAACCCAGACACTTCCTCCATGGCTGCTGCCGTTGGCTGTGTTGTTCGTGGTTCCCCACCTGGTGACCGCTGGGTGGGAGTGGGCTTCTCAGCAGGAGCCCGGTGAAGGGAAGTGCCGCTCCGGGGTGTCCTGGCCAGTTCCGTGGCTGAGAGATGCAACAAGGACGGAGAACACCGCGGGTGCGCTTACAATTAAACGAAGAGTGCCTGTGATAATGACGATAACAAGGATATCTGCATTTACACGGAACTTGCTAGTGCCTCAGCAACTATGCCGCGTTGCAGCACATCTCACAATTCATAATAGATTGTTGGGTTAGGCTACGTAATGATCTGGAAAGATGTTTTGCCGTGTAACCTGTCACCACCCAAATAAACGAAACTGTCACACGTGGAAGATTTTAAATATTACATCATCTCGCAACAGCAAATTTGGGTAATTATTTGATCAAATGAATAAAATCTGTCCATCAATGATGAATTGTAATATTGGCTATGAAACCCGTGCTGAATCACCTCATCTCAAGTATTTAAAGGGCATCTCCAGTGGCAGCTGTCCCCATGCGGTACAAGGTAACTTAAGCACCGACTGGCCTGGAGCGGACATTTCCTAATCGAATGAAAATTGAGGCATTGGCGTTCATCTCCTGTTTTACAGCACTGAGCCTGTGGTGACAATTTCTCATTCATATGGTGGCGGCGAGTCTATCCACAGGACTGTTGATTTCATTACCAAGTGGTATTCATTTCATTGACCCCGGAAGGATGAAGGGCTGAATCAACCCACAAATGTGTAGCCAAACGTTAACTACCTTGCCTGGAATGCAGGGGCCGTGGGTTCTATACCCCGACCCTGAAGACTGTATATTTGGAGTTTGCATGTTCTCCCTGTGATCGCATGGATTTTTCTCCGGGTCCTCTGGCTTTTCCCTCCACATTGAGAAATGTGTTTCGAGCATTTGGCTGATATAAATGTGCACGTGATAGGCCACTTTGCTGAGCTATCATTTGTGACCAGGTCACTTCTGTAACAGAGTTATATAGTGGGCCTTACCTGGTAAAAATACAAAGTTCAGTTTAGTAGTAGTACTTAGGTGAGTTGCTGGTTTTATTGTTGTGTTGCAGCAGCTAAACCTGAAAGGGTTGGTAAAGCATGTCAGGCTGAACACACGCATTGGCGCGCGTGATCGGACAAACCACACTGCTGTTATTTTGGTTGGTGACCTCTGCACTAGAGAGAACTTGAGAGAGGGTTATTGGTCTACTCTTTCATACTTACCGGACGTCTTGGAAGATGTGGGTGTACCCATACTTTACCTGACCACACGGGACCTGCCTGTCCACAAACTATGGTGGTGACCAGAGGTGTGGGGTGTAGGAATTTAAGGACTATTTGCGTCATTGTTAAACCTGCCGCTCCGTGAGATGGAATCAAAATCGGCGACCGCTGGATTGTAAGCCCAGTGCACCACCACGGTGGCAGCTCCCTTCATCTCTCAGTTTAAAAAAATGTAAACGTTGTTGTGTTTATCGCTATGGACATTCCTGTACGTTTGCTGCACATATAAGAAATGTCTAGGATGCAAGCAGACTTCACGTACCATGAGGAGGTACTCACCGACTTCAGCAAGCTTGTTCTTTTTGCTGGATGTTTTAAATGCGAATGTTCCCAACAGCATCGGCACCTCCTTGGGCCCTGGGGGGGGGGGGGGGGGAAACACACTATGTTGAGAAGCTCACGAGAGGCTGCGTTACCCTGCAGAAGAACGTCACTTTAAGGGCCAACACCAAACACCAAACGTTCCTCTTGCTTTACATATTTGTAGTGAGTCCAACTGAGTTGCAGACGTTGTTCTTCAGAGGAAACACTTTTATTGTAACATCAACCCGTTAACACAAAGGGGCACAGCTAAAACCCATTCGGCAATAACTGTGAACAAACAACTGTACGTGGTCAAGTTCCAAATGGCAACATCATGCATCAACATGTGGTACAACCAGCACAAAACATACAAGGCTAGTAGAACACATCACATGCAAAAAGTAATTTATAACTTAAATTCCGCAAAGCACGTACACGTTAATGGAAAGCTGAGGTCCTAAAGTGATTTCAAGGAGGACAAGGGTGGTAAAGTTGCGATCCCAAACATTTTGTTGGGTTATTCCAGAGACTAGGAGGTGCCGCCACACCAACGGAATATAAACCAAGTTTGGTTCCCACATGAGGGGGGGGGGGGGACTTTTGAGTAGGGCGAGGGAGGAGCTTCTAAGAATATGGGAATTTACCCGAGGGATTAAATGATCCAGAATTTATTTGGTAGACTTATTTTGTAACACTTTTGAGGGTGAAGATAGCCCAACACCATTTCCTGTGTAGATCGGGGGGGGGGGGGGCTGATAAGATTTGAAATAAAGTTAACAGTGATGGGTTCTGTAGCGTGCAGAGGGAAACATGAAGTGTGGAGTGGCACAAAGGAACCCGTTATTTTTATGTTTGCGCTAAGCCTACGTTAAGTCTATAAATAAGACAATAGTCAAAGATGGAGAGTATAGCGGCTTTAACAATATCCAATTGTAGTCCGTGTATAGAGTATTTGGCTGCGATAAATGTCCACATGATAAGCCTCTTCATCAGGCTATCATTTGTGGTAGCCAGGTCGCTTCTGAAAAAGAGCGACATAGCTCTGTGGGCATTACCTGGTAAAATAACAACAAAGTAGCAAGTTTTAAATTTCGATTTAAAGCTTTCGTGACTGCAGGGATTCATCTTCTTGGTTCTTTCGGTAAAGTCACGAAGAAGGGAAGTAATAAAATAATAAAAATAAAACATAATAAAATAATTCTCACGACGTTTCGGCTACAACGCAAGCAGCCGTCTTCAGGTGAAGAATGAGACACTACCAAACTAGGAGCTTATATATAAGCTGCGTTGAAGGTGGAAGAGCGCCTTAACAAAAAGAATGTGCATATGAAGAGGAATTTAGCATATTCATGGAAAATGCGTAGGCGTTGGGCGGGGGGGTTTCAAAGTCATATTATTGAAACCCCCCCGCCCAACGCCTACGCATTTTCCATGAATAAGAATATAACAAGTTTTAGTTGAGGAATGCAAAGTGTATTTATTTGATCGGTCAAGAAAATCAAGTATCTAGCACCGCCAAGGTTGTGCTGAATTTTTTTCTAAAACCTGATATCCTGGGGTGGAGCAAGTTATTCTTTTGTCAGTAATTTGTATTTTGAGTAGCCTTTCTAAGATTTTGATCGGAGATATGAGATTTATAATTAATCATTCGGTAGTTATACGGGTCATGAAGAGGGCACACAAATGCAGTTTTCCATTCCTCAGGCACTGAGGATTCCTGGATGGAGAGGTTCAAATTATAGGGAGATGGGTTTAGCAAAAAGGTTTGCCACAATTTGAATGGCAAAGAGGAGGCAGAGATTGGTTTAATATCAAATATAAAGATGAGCGATTTGTCACTGGGATGGTTGCCATTTAGGATGAGGGCTTCCCCGGTTTATTGTACAAACCGCGAGCATGCTTTGTGGAGCGCAGGACATCAAATCGAGTGAATTAGGAGGATGCCACCACCACGGCCGCGGGGTCACCGGTCATCGTTGAACAACAAAGCCCCGCGGGGTCACGGGTCATCGTTGAACAACAAAGCCCCGCGGGGTCACCGGTCATCGTTGAACAACAAAGCCCCGCGGGGTCACCGGTCATCGTTGAACAACAAAGCCCCGCGGGGTCACCGGTCATCGTTGAACAACAAAGCCTCGCGGGGTCACGGGGTCACCGGTCATTGTTGAACAACAAAGCCCCGCGGGGTCACCGGTCATCGTTGAACAACAAAGCCCCGCGGGGTCACGGGGTCACGGGTCATCGTTGAACAACAAAGCCCCGCGGGGTCACCGTGGCTGGAGGTGGGGGTGGCAGCGCCGCTGCTCAGGATCTGCAGGTAGCGCTCGTCGGTGGCGGCCTCCTCCGCCTCCACGTCGCTCTCCTCCTCCAGCGACAAGAGGCCGCTGCCGATACTCGGGGCCACCACCACCGCTTTCCTGGCGCGTAACCCTGGAAAACAATACAACAATATACACCACAGCGCATTAACAGGTCGCCTCCTTCACACACACACACACACATTTGTCCTTTCACATGGATGTTAAAGTTGTTAGTTCACACATCCCACCGGCCACACGGCCTCCTGGGGGAGTGCATCAATTCAGCAGCGTCGGTGTCCCCGCCACCTCTTCATGGGCGCGATTGGCGACGAACCTGCGAGATAAGTTCAACATCCAACACCAACTCTGCGCCAGTTCGGGGAATCGGTGTCCCATCAGCAGTCAGGCTCGCACGGATGACTGCGTGGGTGAATGAGGGAGCAGAGGAGAATGAATGAGTGGATGAGTGAATGAATGTGAATGGCTGATGGGTGAATGAGGGAGCAGAGGAGAATGAATGAGTGGATGAGTGAATGAATGTGAATGGCTGATGGGTGAATGAGGGAGCAGAGGAGAATGAATGAGTGGATGAGTGAATGAATGTGAATGGCTGATGGGTGAATGAGGGAGCAGAGGAGAATGAATGAGTGGATGTGTAAATGACTGATGGGTGAAATAGGGCGTAGAGGAGAATGAATGAGTGAATGAATGTGAATGGCTGATGTGTGAATGAGGGAGTACGACACGAGGGGAGTGAGTGAGTGAGTGCGGGAAGGGGTGAAGCCTTGCCCAGGCCTCACCGTATTTTCGCGCCTCCACGGCGCCGGTCTCTCGTCGCGGCATCCCGGCCGGGCTCCCCTCCTCTCCCCGAGAAAACTTTCGACAGAAGCCTGAGATCCTGAGATCCTGAGATCCTGAGATCCTGAGATTCGGCGACGCCAACCCGAGTGAAGGAAAGCGAAAGCGAGTGAAGGAGAGTGAAGGTAGCGTGAGGAGAGGTCGCTGAGGAGAGGCAGTGGACCACGACACCGAGCGGCGCGGTAAACAGAGGCAACGCCGCTCAGTGGTGGGGTTCGCCACGGCCCCGATGCCTCCGTTTTCAGAACAAAATTAAATATATATCGTGAAAATAATAAAACTCAGCACACCACTCGTCAACAACGTGTATAGTCGGCGACGTTTCGGACAATGGTCCTTCTTCGTCGCGGATAGAGCCACTTGGGATAAAGTGGTTAAGAAGAAGAGTTAGTTGGACACTGCACTTGGAGCTTGTAGAGAATTACATTCTTAAAATGTTGTCTGATGTCCAGTTTTATCTCATGGGCATGCGAATCATTTAACGAATTGTAGCGATTGAATGCTTGAAAAATCATTAAATAATCAAAAGCATTCCTTATGAAACACATTTAAAACGAAACGTTATTAAATGTTACTGCCAAAATGCATTGTGGTAAGGTTCTTGTGGGCTATGAGATGTTAACTCCCTCGCCTGGTACACAGGAGATCGTGGGTTCGATCCTGATCCGAATGCCTGCTGTGTATTTGGAGTTTGTATCTCTCTCATGATCACGGTGGCTATGAGATGTTAACTACCTCGCCTGGTACACAGGAGGTCGTGGGTTCGATCCCGACCTGACGCCTGCTGCTGCTGCTGTATATTTGGAGTTTGTGGCGCCTCTCTCCCCGTGGTCGCGTGAATTTTTCTCCGGGTTCTCCGATTTTTCCCTCCACATTTAAAAAAACACGCGCTTAGATTATTTGTTTGCAACTATAATTCCCCACGTATGATGTGTGGCAAGGTCGGCTCTGAAAAAGAGCTAATAGCTCTGAGCTTTGCCTGGTAAACACAATAGTTAAGTTTAGCAGTGGCGTGAGGAATTGCAGGGCTGCGCATTTAGGCTTCAGCCGACAGTGAATGCACCACGCGGCGACTGCATTTTTAAAGCCAATGGATGTCAAAAGACGTCAACATTAAGCTTCATGAAATTACAAATGTAATTTGCAAATAATGCCCATATATTTTAAGTCACAAAAGTTGGACAATTTGTCGCCTTCCCATATCTGTCCATTCACGTAAAAAAACAATTCTAATTTTTTCACATCCATCAGCCACACGGCCTTCTGAGTGAAAACAATTAAGCATCGTGGATTGAACACACGCACACATTGCAGATTTTTAAAATCGAAAACTGCCATTTATTTATTTTCCATCAATACAACACTGTGACATATACAGTAAAATAAAAACCCTACTGTGTATATTAAAAACCCCACGTTATTATACCACCCTGAAAGTGTTCCACGTTCCAATGTCATTGGAGGTAAAGGTCCCTCAGGCGATTTACACGGACGAATGTGAATTCAGACGGTATCCCCGGGGTAAAGTAATCACGAGCGTCGTTGTGCAAAATATAAATAACAAAATAAATAGCAACAATTAAACAATATATAAATAACTAAATAAATACAAAATTTCGCCTCCTTCAGAAGTCCCTCCATATAAATAATACCCTCCCCAGAAGGCTGAGTAGATGTGTACAAAATACAAAGACTGCAATTTTGCCTATAAAATGACAACCCATTTTGTGAAGCCATTACCTGGAGATAATTATAACATTGCGTATTTGTATCGCGCTTGCTTATCATCTCAAACTTTTGAAGGTCACCCACAGAGGCAGCTCTTCCTGTGCGGCACAATGCGACTCAGCAGCAGCAGCAGAAAGCAGCAATTCGTCTGCCAGTAGGGGGCGATGGCTGCTTGCCGAGTCGGGCTGAACGATTAATCGATTTCAAATCGAAATGGCAAATTGAAACAATGCGATTAGCAAATCGCAAAGGCTGCCATTTGAAAAGTCATGTTAATTCATTATTGGAATTGTTTTAATTTTTATGATTAAAACGTTATTTATTTAACTTAACAATTGTTCTATGTTTGATTGTTCTATGTTAATTAAAACATGAAATAAATACATGTTGGAAGCAATTAATATATTTTAAGTTCTCATCCTTGCATTAGAATATATAGAGCAGTTTATATTTTGATGTATCATGTGGTGATGCTCCATCACATGTTTTAAAGCTATTACACAGTGAATACTGAACTGAAGCTTGACTTTAAAAAATTTAATCGCAAATCAAATGTCAGAAAAATCTCAATTAGATATTTCCCCAAATCATTCAGCTCTATTGCTGAGTGCGATCCCAATTAAATCATTTGCAATGTAATGTTTCGACTTGGGGCAATTTGATACCAGCACGCAATGGACGACTCATTTGGAATGAGCTCACTGGATCTTCGCCATACACTGTGAACAACCACACAGCGCAGAGACTGGAATGGGCAATCCACACCGCAGCGTTAACCAGGGCTGCCTGGCGTGTTCAAACCACGGAGCTCTGCAACGCGCAGCGAATGCGCCGAAATTGGGCCTTGTTAGCAAAAACTTCAACCCTTCCTTGTTGCACGTTTCAAATGACCACCAAGTCATCTTCACACAGCGGAAGTATACTGCAATGTGTAACATTTCCCAAGCAACATATATACAACACTGTAGCATTATTCTTCATGCTATACTGTTATTTCATTGGATGATAAAAATGTATATACATATTAAAAATTACCATCATTAACAATTCAGTTATAAAATTACCTAATTAATTCCATTCAATGTTAATCAACTTTACTAAATACAAGTGTGTTTATGGACCTGTGCAAAGAATAGCTCATCTCAAAATTGCTTTTCAGGTGAGGCCATGTAATGATCGGCCACATTTTTGCCGTTAAAACCCTCCACCACCCAACACAGCCAAACAAATCAAATTGCCACATGTACAAGCGTTTGAACAATGCGCCACCTATTATTGATTTCAACTCAATGGTAACTTAAAGAACAATCATTTAAGTCACCTGACATTGCGTCAAGCATCCTCGGGACAAGATCCACTAAGTCAGAATACAATTCAGGAAGTCAGGACGGAGGGTCTTATGACACTCACTAGGCCAGACCATTACTTGGCCTTACCCCAAAAGCAATGATCAACCACATTAGCTGCGAAATCCTATTTGTTAAAAGTCTGCCTCAGCAGCAGATCATGCTTTCACACCTGATGTCGGACGCTTGTGCTGCGCCCAAAACGTCGTGATTTATTGTATAACTACGTGACTTTACCGTAAGAACCAAAGAGTGTGGATTCCTGTAGTCACGAAAGCTTCAAATCAAGATTAAAACGGCAGTGTTTGTGTACCTGTGCAAATAACAGGCACAGGTACACAGACACACTGCGGTTTCCAAATGGCTGCACAGCGAGGGATACTCTTACCCCTTTGACTTATATCTCCAATGCTTTAAGTGAAACGTCATTCAAAAACACAAACTCTACTTTTAAAATGCCAAAGAGATCCCAAGTCCACCGAAGCGATTCACGTGGTGTGGTGGGAGGCAGTGGACGGGAACGCACGGCGACCCAAGGGGTCGCCACGCAGGCCCCATTCCATGGTGCCACTAATCCAACGACGCCGGCCACAAGCGGGTCCCCGCTGAATGCGGTGCACATCACGCCCGTTCACATGTGCTTCTACGGCCGCCTGGGACGCTCATCTTTCTGATACCAGGAAGCCACAGGAGCGATGCACTTTTAAATACAGATGCAAAAGTAATTTCTTTATAACTTATTGCGCAAAGTTTGTCACCCTTCCCCTGCACCTCCGATTAGCACGTGGGCTACGTACGGTGCAAAGGAAGTTCAACATACATACACAACTGGCCTGAAAAAGGTATCGACAAAAACCCCACGAGCTCTCCATCATCCCCAAGCACCTGAAGAATCAAGCGGCTGTGATGCCAGACGGAGCTTCACGAAGCGGTCAGCTGCTGCTGCTGGACATCCCGCGGTTGCTGCTGCCGTTGGAATCGTCAGCGTCATTGTGCAGAATGCGAATAAAACAAACATCCAGACAATACGCCTCCACCTCGTTAAGCTAATTGTTTTTACACATCCCATGAGGCACGCTTGGGAGTTGCCGAGGCATTTTAACAAGCGCCATATACATGCAAAAATTATGACCTAGCATTTGGCTTCACAAAGTGGGTGTCCATTATTTCAGAGGCCAAACTGAGCCTTGCTATATATTTGACACATCCCATTCGCTACACGGCCTTCTGGAAGTGCTATTAATAATCTTTTTAAGTGCAGGGCCAGATATGGGAAGGACGAAAAATGTCTACTTATTTGTTACTTATATTCTCCACGACCAAGCTGATCATCGTTCTGTGTTGTGTATTATATAGTTTGTGGTCGCTAAAGGAGACATTTAAACATCTGACAGTTCACCAGCATTGGTTCAAGAAAGCTTTACTCTGCTGACGAGACGCCGAATGTTCAAACCGGTCGAGAATTATGCTTGAACCAATGCTGCCGAAATTAAGCATTCCCAGAAGAACGTGTGGCTGAGAGGATTTGTAAAAAAATACTTCTTTTGTTACGTGGACCAACATCAAACTCCTTCAATGTCTATGAAGTGACTTTCATCTCAGTGTCTCGGGGTTGTGTTGCAAAACATAAATCTTATTAAATCTTCCTGTGCAAAATCTTAAGAGGACACTTATGCTGAAAAAGCCACATTAATTGCCCCTTAATATTGACATCACCAGCTCTTGGGCAGTGCATGCAGCCAAACTCGCGAGGTCATTCCGCTCACCTTTTCAGAGGTCAAAATTAATTCAGTGACCGAGCATGATCCTTGTCTTCATAATAAAATCAGTTATAAACCCCAGCCTTAAGTTACAGACAAGTGCTTGATAGAATCCAACACAGAGCCGTTCGCTCACGGTGGTCGGTCGTCTCCTTATCTTTCTTCTAGAACTATTAGCGTGGGTGCTATCCTCGTTAACTTCACTCATTTCTCCAAACTTTTGTTTAATCCACGCTGTGTTCAGCCACCATACTGCAGGTGTGTGTGGTGGATAGTTAGTGTGTGTGTGTAGTGTGTGTGGTGGCTAGTTACTGTGTGTGTGTACTGTGTGTGGTGGCTAGTTAGTGTGTGTGTAGTGTGTGTGGTGGATAGTTAGTGTGTGTGTAGTGTATGTGGTGGATAGTTATTGTGTGTGTAGTGTGTGTGGTGGATAGTTAGTGTGTGTGTAGAGTGTGTGGTGGATAGTTAGTGTGTGTGTAGTGTGTGGTGGATAGTTAGTGTGTGTGTGTGTGGTGGATAGTTAGTGTGTGTGTGTAGTGTGTGTGGTGGCTAGTTAGTGTGTGTGTAGTGTGTGTGGTGGCTAGTTAGTGTGTGTAGTGTGTGTGGTGGATAGTTAGGATGTGCGTGTGAGTACAACAAGGTGTGGTGGAGTACACACTACTGTCTGCTTCGCGGTTTCACATGAAGCCTTGTGCCTTACCCCCCCCCCGCCACCGCTTCTCTACCCATGATGCTCGGTGTGGTATGGGAAGGCCGGAGGGACAAAGTGCTGCCCGTTCACGGCCGCCGTTGCCGCCGCCACCCTCTCGAGTGCCAGCAGGCAGCGCTCGGCGTGTGCCTTCAGCATGTTGGAGAAGCGGAAGCGCAGGCCGCAGCCCTCGCACGCGTACGGCTTCTCGCCCGTGTGTGTGCGGCGGTGCCGCTTCATGTTGGGGCGGCTCGTGAAGCGCTTCCCGCACGCGTCACACGCAAACGGCTTCTCGCCTGCAACACGTGGCACACACGCACACACACAGATTTGTATTGGTACTCTACACACCGCACACACGACACACACAGACTCGTACAATTACTCTACACACCGCACACTCGACACACACACACAGACTCGTACAATTACTCTACACAATGCACACTCAACACACACACACACACAGACTCGTACAATTACTCTACACAACGCACACTCAACACACACACAGACTCGTACAATTACTCTACACACCGCACACTCAAGACACACACACAGATTCGTACAATTACTCTACACACTGCACACTCGACACAAAGATCCCCCCGTATGGCCTTCATCCAACTGTTGCTGTTAGCGAGCACCTATGAAGGCCGGCACGGCGGCCGCCTTTGTCTCCCCAGTGGCGATGTTTACACATTGCACCAGGTACTCATTTGAGGCTAAGTTGATCTAGGGGAGGCCCAGGCCCAGTTCACATAATCTTCACTGGTATTGGCCGTGAGCGGGAATCAGAACTGGGTCGCTGGGTTCGAACCCCAGCGCGCTAATTACGACACTACCGCACACTCTACACACCGCACACTCTACACAAGATGCGAACTAGTGCTCGACACAGACACACTGGACACACACCCTACACGGCGGCACACACTATCCACCATACACTGGCTTTGAGTAAATGGGTGGCCGTGTTAGTGAAATGGGTGGCTGTATTAGTGAATAAGTTGCCAGGTTAGTGGATGGATTCCTGTGTCTGTGGATGGGTGGCTGTGTTTATGAATGAGGGGCAGTGTTTGTGAATGAGTGCCCTTGTTAGTGGATGTGTGGCCTTGTAGGTGGATGGGTGGGTGCGTAAGTGAATGGGTGGTTATGTTAGTGACTGGGTGAATGGGATCTCACCTGTATGTACCTTGAGGTGCTCATCAAAGTACTGCTTCATGCTGAAGTCCTTCCCACACCACTGGCACATGAACTCCTTGTGTCCCACGTGCACACTCATGTGGTTTCTCAGCTGATAGCGATACATGAAGCACTCAGTGCAGCTCTCCAGCTGCAACGACAGACACCAATCACTCACACATCCAGCCAATCATGGACACTGCCACACATTCACTAACCTGGCCACACATTCACAAGCCACCCATTCACTAACCTGGCCACCCATTCACTAATACGGCCACACATTCACTATCCTGGCCACACATTCACTAACCTGGCCATACATTCACAAGTACAGCCACCCATTCACTAATACGGCCACCCATTCACTAACCTGGCCACCCATTCACAAGTACAGCCACCAATTCACTAACCTGGCCACACATTCACTAACCTGGCCACACATTCACAAGTAAAGCCACCCATTCACTAACCTGGCCACACATTCACAAGTACAGCCACCCATTCACTAATACGGCCACCCATTCACTAACCTGGCCACACATGTGAAGTACCGGTGAAGACACTTGACGCCGAGGTGGAGGCACACGGATATTTATTCAACACAGCTCGTATGTGACATACAGCACTGGAGGGGGTATCGGCCCCCTCACCCGACTAGCTAAGGATACTCTTCCTAGCTAAGTCCTAGCCTGCCTCACGGTCCTCCACTACTGGGCTAGGGGAGGCTACTTGGCCCGACACTGGTAAGTCGGGCCGGTACCCGGAGTCCCAGACCAGCTCTTAGAAGAGCACCGGCTCTGGCTTTCGGGACCACGCCGCTGGCTCGGTCCTGTTCGGCCCTGACAAGGACATCGAACGAGGGGAGTCCAGGGCTCTATCTAAGACGTCTTCAGTCTTCTTAGTTAACTATAACATAACTGCCCCCCGAGCCCCTATAACGTCCCCTTTTATACCCAACCCTCCTTGAGGGGTGGGGCCCCGGGGGATCATAACGCCAAACCAGCCCCCCCCAGGGTGTCTGGCTCGGACGTCGCAGAGGGCATCTCCCTGTGCACACACGTAGCCCCGCCCACTGTGTTTCTTTCCCATAGACTGCCATACATAACGGGCCCTCTCTCTAACACCCCTACATCACTCCCCCCTGCATAGCTCGCAGCCGTCCCGGCTGCCAACATACACAATGACAATAAAAATGAATTTATACCGTAACCGCGCGTGTGCCTCACTAATTTCAACAATAACAAGAACGGCAACAAGAACACAAAAAAAATGCAACAGCAAGAAGAGAAAACAACCCGACGCACCCCCCCTTTGATAAATACGAATTCCGTAAAAAAAACAAGCTATATACAATTTGCAGGGAACCCACCATACACACAACACACAATGAACACAACCTATATACATGAAAACTGGCTAACCCACTCGAACCTTACGAATCTTCAGCTCACTGTTTCAACGCGCCTCAGAGGGTCTCAACCTCCGAGCCGTCAGGTCAAGCCGTCAGCCACAGCATGACGGGACCACCCTCCCTGAGCCATGTGAGCGCACAGCCCACAAGGCTAGACATACCACGGAGTGTTTTAATCTCCGGGCTGTCAGGTCAAGCCGTCAGACACAGCCTGACGGGACCACACTCCCTGAGCCATGTGAGCACACAGCCCACTAGGCTAGACATACCACGGAGTGTTTTAATCTCCGGGCTGTCAGGTCAAGCCGTCAGACACAGCCTGACGGGACCACACTCTCTGAGCCATGTGAGCACACAGCCCACTAGGCTAGACATACCACGGAGTGTTTTAATCTCCGGGCTGTCAGGTCAAGCCGTCAGCCATTGCATGACGGGACCACAACGCTCATGTTAAACACGCAACACTCACAGGGCCATCCTGGTCAGGATCTGCGCCCCAAGATAAGTGACAGCCAGCACCACAATTCCAAATCCCTGGCAGCATGTCACCATCGCAATTTAACACCATCACAACACATACACCTCACATCCCGTATCCGTACCCCTCATCTCCGAGACTCGCATTGCAGCAATGCAGCTGTACCAACCGAGTGGAGAGAGCAACGCAATTAACGGAAACGCACCCCCGATCCATGTAGAACACGAGGAGCATTCCCGCACAAAAGACATCCTCTGTGCAACAACGGACAGGAACCAACCAGTGGGTTTGAAACAACCCGAACCTGTAATTTCAAAATCCCCTTCAACATTAACCAAATAACACTCGCACAAGGCAAAATGCAAAAAGAACAGAGGGAAAAACCGTCCGCGAGGAACACAAAACCGGAGAGTCAAACTGAAAAAGTTCCTCCCAGCAGTGTCTCCATAGTCGGAACCCTCTCTTCAATCACGGACCCCTCTCGCTCTCACCACCGATGCCCTCCCCCGCTCTTCTTACTTCAATGGGGGGAGGGAGGCCCGTAATCACAGGGCTGCAGTGGTACGCCGCCAGGCCGGCACACAAGGCCCACAAGGCCGGCACACAAGGCGCAAAGCACACAAGGCGCAAAAGGCGGGAACGTCGGCACGTTGAAGTGGCGTGAAACGCCGGCATGGTGCAAATGGCGGGAACGCCGACACCGCCGAAACGGTGCGAACGCCACAGCCAATTTCGCCATCACTCACCAACACCCGGCCACTCCCTTGCCACCAGCAGCTGGTCGAGTTGACGGGCGACGTCGTTCCAACTCGCCGTCGATGGCGAGCAGCCCGGGCCCGCAGCCTCTGATGGAGTGCAGCTGTCGTTGTTGATTCCCGCGGGCGGATGTCACCTCCACTCGGCTGTGCGTCGGTACGAGCGGCCGATGGGATCGCCTGTCGCGGTGGTGATGACGTCGCGGCTTCAGCGACGGCGATGCCGGAGTGGATGTGTAGGCTGGCCACGCCCCGAACAGCTGCAGCGTCGATGGCGGGAGATTCAAACTCGGGCTGCTCCGAAATGGCGGGAAGGCGCCCTGGTCGTTGGGCCGCCTCAGCCCGTGTTGAACCACCGGCCCCCAGCCGCGCGACGGTCTCCAGCGCGGCGGCAGCGGCACACAGCAGCCCCGCCAGCCTCCCGTGAGCCAGCCGCAACGCGTCCGGCCGTGGTCCTTCCTCACTCAGATGCCCCGGTAAGGAGACATCAGGCCCCGGCTGCACCATGGCTTGTGTAGCCGTCTCGGGCTAGACGATCTCGGCAGTATCTTCCTCTTTCGGTACTTTGGGCCGCGCTGTCTTCCGCGTGTCCATGTTCGAGTTTTACTTCTGACACCAGTTGAAGTACCGGTGAAGACACTTGACGCCGAGGTGGAGGCACACGGATATTTATTCAACACAGCTCGTATGTGACATACAGCACTGGAGGGGGTATCGGCCCCCTCACCCGACTAGCTAAGGATACTCTTCCTAGCTAAGTCCTAGCCTGCCTCACGGTCCTCCACTACTGGGCTAGGGGAGGCTACTTGGCCCGACACTGGTAAGTCAGGCCGGTACCCGGAGTCCCAGACCAGCTCTTAGAAGAGCACCGGCTCTGGCTTTCGGGACCACGCCGCTGGCTCGGTCCTGTTCGGCCCTGACAAGGACATCGAACGAGGGGAGTCCAGGGCTCTATCTAAGACGTCTTCAGTCTTCTTAGTTAACTATAACATAACTGCCCCCCGAGCCCCTATAACGTCCCCTTTTATACCCAACCCTCCTTGAGGGGTGGGCCCCCGGGGGATCATAACGCCAAACCAGCCCCCCCCAGGGTGTCTGGCTCGGACGTCGCAGAGGGCATCTCCCTGTGCACACACGTAGCCCCGCCCACTGTGTTTCTTTCCCATAGACTGCCATACATAACGGGCCCTCTCTCTAACACCCCTACACATGCACTAACACGGCCAGTGGGGGGCAGCACTGTCAAATCACCGACAGATGGGGTATATTTATGTTTTAACACCGCACAAAATTCCAAGCGGCCAGCAATAACCAGCACCATCAAGACACGTAATCAACAAGAGTTGACAGGTTTCTTGAATTGAGCAAAGTTGTTGTAAGAACTTGGGAAAAAGAGAGAATGGGAGGGAATTACCAAGTGCAGCAGTGCAAGGGATGAGGCAAAAAGAGAAGATTTGTGACCTGCAGTGTTTGTGAGTGAATGCGTGGGTGACTGAGAGAGTGAATGTCATCTGTAGTGTGGTGGGTGGGTGAGTGAGTATTTATGTGACGTGCAGTATGATGCTTGAGTGTGTGGGTGCGCTACAAACCCGGAAACCCGAGTTAGTTTCCCACTCACGGTCAACACCGATGACGATTATCTAAACAATTTCTGGGCCTCCCCTAGGTTGACTCAGCCTCAAATTAGCACCTGGTGCTGTGTAAACATTGCCTCAAGGGAGACAAAGGCAGCCGAGGATGCTGATGGCCACCCAACCCCTCGTGTGCCGTGCCAGCCTACATAGGTGCTCGCGAACAGCACTTGCCTCGACAGTCTGTTAAGGCTATACAGGGGATCCATAATGTAGGTTTTTTGTGTTAGATCGCGTAAATATAATGGGTCGTTAAACCCGCCATCAATGTTGTGGATTTGCTCTCCAACACACCGGTGTGCTGTACTAATAACGACTTGGCATGTTCTGTTTACGTGACAAACCTTAATAATTGGCTGTGTTGGGTGGTGGCGGGTTTAACGACACATTTATATTAACGGATCTAACCCAAAATACCTATATTATAGACGATATTGGTCGCGAAAGACTCCGTGTTAAACTATACAGGGGATGTTTGTTTTTACGTGACATGCAGTATGATGGTTGGCCGAGAGGCTGTTTGAGTGGGTGCCTGAGTTGTTGTAACCTGCAGCGGGGTGGTTGGACACAGTGGAGTGAGTCAAATCTGGTAGACGACAAATTCCTTCAACACGAGTGGAGGAATCACTCGAGTGAAGTACGTGGAGGGCTGGCTCCACGTGCGCTGTACGTGCGTAGATGAACCCGTAGCCGACCGCACTCACCGGAGGTGCTCTCACACTCGGCTCTCACCTTGCACTTGTACGGCCGGAGTCCCGAGTGCTTCATGCTGTGCACCTTGAGGGACATGCTGCGTTTGAACGACTTGCCGCAGGTCTCGCACGTGTACGGCATGTCCTCGCGGTGAGCTACGGGAGGGGAGGTGGATGACCGACAAATCGAGTTACAAAGTTTCCCTCGAAAATATTCACAGTATGTACGTTGAACTTCTTTAGCACCGTACGTAGCCAACCGTGGCGATCAAAGGTGTGGTAAAGCCTCTCATACCCCGTTTAATATAATTAACACATTTCTTTGGTGATGTTGGTTTTCTTTGGAACTGCTTCTTGTGTTTAGTTTGTTGTCCTTCCCCCATACCTCCAATCAGAACGGTTGGCTACGTACGGTGCCAAAGGAGTTCAATATACGTACATACACACGGCAGTAGTGCACGAGCACACAAAACGAACGCACAACACATTGTTCCATAACACTGCGGACTTCTTCATGTGCCGATTTAATATTGATGTAGAGGGACCCTAATTTTACATCGAGGTGGCTAACGAGCCATATGATTCGTCAGGAGTAGCTGAGTGGTGAATCTTCGCTATCGCGATGCCTCCTCCATGTTCGCGAATTGGTCACCGAGTCGTTCTACGCTCCGTGGTTCTGTTGTGGGTGGTGACTGCAGTTGTATTATTTATATATATACATATACAGGGGCACCACGGTGGCAAGATGTTAACTACCTTGCCTGCGATGCAGGAGATGGTGGGTTCGATCCCGACCCTGGCGCCTGTATATTTGGAGTTTGCATGTTCTCCTTGTGATCGGGTGGATTTTTCTCCGGGTCCTCTGGTTTTTTCCTCCACATTTAGAGTATTTGGCTGCTATATATTTCCATGTGATAAACCACTTCGTTGAGCTATCATTTATGGCCAAGTCGCTTCTGAAAAAGAGCTCTATGGCTCAGTGGGCCTTACGTGATAACATAAAAATGATTGAGTTTAATTTCCCATTTGTGCATCAATATTAAGTATCTGCATCTGCTGCCATGGTTTGTGTGCGGATGCGTTTCAGGGTTGTGGTCCCCTGAGCTTCACGGAAGACTGAATCCTGGAATCGTCTGCGTCGGGTCTTGCACGAGGAGGAGGTGTGACTTCTCATTAATTTGATTAATATTTCCAAGCGTAATTTTGCACCTCCGCTTAGCACAGTTCGCTACGTACGGTGCGAAAGAAGTTCAATATACGTACATTAGGGTTGTGGAGCCGCACTGTCGAAGGTTTAGGGCATGGGTCCAAAAGGAAAGACTTATAAAAGAGGTGACGTATCGGACAATGCGGCTCTCCGACACATCACATAGATGATGAAGGGCCATTACTGGCCAGGCTTGCTTGAACTAATGCTGGTGAACTGTCAGATCATCTATTTTAGGCAAAGGCCCTCTGTGGTAGACATGGTTCCTGATTCAGCACAATACCTAAACAATAATTACATTGTATATTATCCACAATGGGGCGAGTGGTTGTTTTGTGCCGTGTGTGTGTATATGCGTGTATATATGTGGGGAGTGCTGGTGTAGCGAACAGTGTATTGTGCTACGAACTTGGTGACCATCCGAGTTTGATTGCCACTCATCGCCAACATCAGTGACAATTATGTTGTCACGGATGTCAAATGAGTACCTGGTGTGGTGTGTAAACATTACCGCAAGGGAGACGATGGCAGCCAGGAGCGGTGGTGGCAAGCCACCCTCTCGTGTGCCGTGCTGGTCTTGATAGGTGCTCGTTAACAGCACTTGCCCCAAAGTCTGTTATGGCTGTATGGGGGATCTTTGTCTTTATATATATGTCAGGTCAAGCTGTGGACTCACCGACCAGATGTTTCTTGACCTGGGCCAGGGTGTAGAATTTCTTTCCGCAGATGTCACAGGCAACGTTCCTCTCTGCGGGGCTGTGCACAGTTTTCATGTGCTGCTGCAGGTACCACAGCTTCTTGAATGACTTCTCACATGTAAAGCACTGGGGGGAAAGACAAAGATCCCCCATATAGCCTTTAACAGACTGTTTGGGCAAAAGCTGTTAGCGAACACCTATGAAAACCGATACAGCACACGAAAGGGTGGGTTGCCAGCACCACGCCCAGCTGCCTTTGTCTCCTTAGTGGCGATGTTTACAACTCGCACCAGCTACTCATTTGAGGTAGAGTCAACCTAGGGGAGGCCCAGAACGGATTCAGATAATCGTCACTGGTGTTGCGCGGGAATCAAACTCGGGTCGCCGGGTTCCTAGTGCGGCGCGCTAACCGCTGCACCACCGCTCCGCACACACACAGAACCGTCCAGAGCAACACACACAACAGATTTACTTTTTTTAACAGCAATTCGGAAACCTGTGGCCGGTCGTCCTGCGACAGCCCGCACCTGGATGCTGCGCTCGCAGTCCGTCTGCCGGTGTAGGCCGAGCTCCTCCTCCCGCGAGAACCTCTTGGGGCAGCGCTCGCAGGCGAGGCTCCGCCGGTGCCCGGTCGCGAGGTGCCGGCGCAGCCGCGTCTCCCCACGCAGCACGCGGCCACACGTGCTGCACGGGAAGCGACGACTCCCCTCCTCCTCCCCCTCCTCCTCCCCCCCCTTCGTCTCCTTGTCCTCCTCCTCTTCCTCGTTGGTCTTCTTTCTTCTCTTCCGACAAATCTTTTTCTTCTTTTCTTTCTTTCCCTCTTCCTCAAGCCTGCTTTTTGGAGGAGGGGGCCCTACCGGCCCCCCATTGCTGCTCGCTCTGTGCCGAGGACGCAGCCTCCGCTCGTTGCCGAGCTGCTGCTGCTGCTGCTCCGCAGCCTCCTGCTTCACCCGCTCCTCCTGCTGCTCCTCCTCCTGCTTCACCTCCTGCTTCACCCGCTCCTCCTGCCGCTCCTCCTCTAGTTTCACTTCGTCTTGCCCGCAGAGCAACGCCATTGGCTCAGAGACCTGGGAGACGGCAATGTGCGGTGGGGGGGCAGGTTTCTGAGGTGCAGAGGATGGTTCATGGTGATGATGGATGGGGTGATAATGGTGATGGGTGGGGTGTTGATGGGTGGGGTGATGACGGTGATGGTGGGAGTGATAACAATGTTGATGGTTTAGGTGATGATGTGTGGGGTGATGATGGTGTTGATGGTAATGGTTTAGGTCAGGGGTCGGCAACCAAAATAACAAAAAGAGCCATTTCTTTCCAATTCGGTACAAAATTCAGTATTTCAAGAGCCGCAATGCATCTGAGTACATACTGTACATACGTACATATCGTCAAGAAGCAGCCCGTAAAGAGCCGCATGCGGCTCCGGAGCCGTAGGTTGCCGACCCCTGGTTTAGGTGATGAGGATGAGTAGGGTGATGGTGATGGGTTGGGTTATGGTGGCGATGGGTTGGTTAAAGGGTTTGGCGATGTCAAACATAGAAACCTGGATGCATACTGAGTCATTACGCACCCTGTGGATCTCCTTACACTCGCGATGATGACAATGACGCAGGATATAGTGATAGTGACAATGATCACATTTACAATTCAGATTTTACAATTTTAAAACCACAATAGGAATTTACACTGTGTCGAATCGACGATGGCAATAGTGTTGGTCTAACTGGTGACGCTGATGACGGCAATGCTAATTGATGCTGGTCACAATCTGGATATACGGAGGTCTAATATACACATGTATTTGAAAACTACCGATACCGATGAAACGGTGTTGCAATTGTGCTTTACAATTTGGTTTCACGGAACACTTAGACTTGCTCGACTTGCAATCAGAAGAATGTTGAATCAAATATCCTGGTGGCAGGTTAACTCAAGCAAATTAAATGAAAAACCACCTCGTTGTATGGAGCCTGGCCATGATTTTGGGAATGTAAATTTAACACCACTGGCTCAGTGCTTCAGATGAGATACACACCATCGCTGCCCTGTTAGGTGATGGTACTGACGATGGTTGTCGAGCAAGGGTGTTCAATGCCTGAAGGAAGACTTGCAGTGGTGGACACATAGTGGGGTGCAGGGCCCAGGACAAGACACCGCCCCACCCCCAATGCCTCAAGTATTGCAACTGACACCGTGACATCGAAACGTGGGGCTCCAAAAGCGCGGGGCACGGGACGGTCACCCCAATTTGCCGTACACTAGGGACGGCTCTGAGTGGACACGTGCGGGTATACCATAGTACGTCAGACCGGCGCTTCTCAGAACACCAGACACGCACACCAACACTTCTAAGAGCGGTTCCCTATCCCTATGCCATGAGGTTTCCACAGAGGGGAAACAGCAGTGAGCATGGGCTGCTGCAGAACATAAGGGTTTCCAACCGGCACCGGAAACACGCATGGTTCTAAGCATGCAAGGCCATTTAATATTTAAATTGCAGTGAATTTGTAACTTTTATTGTATTTGGGCTACAACACCAGCCGCACAAAAAAGTACTTGCTGCTTGCAAGTGATGCAATCCACTCTTTGTAATATTTAGCACTTTGGTAAATCCACGCAAACGTTAATTACCTGGTGGTAGCTGTAGTGGGAATCGAACCGCTGGCTCCGTGTGAACAGGCTCAGAGGCCAGTGCCATGACCGCTAAGTGACGCTGTCAGTCCAGCAGTGACACATGCGGCTGTTGTAGTCGAGAGGGAAATTCAAGTCCAAGTCCTTTCTCCAGTGTATGATGAAACCAGCCCCTCTGATGGTGAAGGTTGCTTTTCCGATAGTGGTCATGGCGATGATGTTGTGGTGAAACCAGCAAATTGGACACTGGAGGATTCTGTAGTGATAGTTATGATGGTGGTGGTGGCGTTGTTGGCCATTGTACTATTGGCCATGGGTCATTGCGTTGGTGGTAAATGAGGCAATGGTGGTGATGGTGGCGATGGTAGTGGTGGCGGAGGTGAAGAATGCAACTGCAATGGGTGTTCTCTTCCCGTCATATCTAAATGTGGAGTTGGCAACCCCAGTAAAACCTGAACAAAAACTCTCCCCAATGGGCCGATGGGCTGGAGACACAAAAACACAAACAAAAGAGAAAAATGACAATGACAAAAGCAACAAAATGGAATAAGAACTCATATTTAACGCAAACATGTAGCATCAACTGGAAACTAATATAAACATATCAGCTTTTAATGTCCACTTGTAAATACGAGTTCACGATTGATTTTTGGGTTAGGCCATGAAATATTGGTCAAATTGGGTGTCTTAGGACTCCTCCACCACCGACACAGCCAAACAAATGAAACGGTCCCCCGGTGTACAATCAGAATCATCGTTTAAACAGGAGGAATCCAATGAGCTATGAAGCACGTTTTCACAGATGTCCAGGAGCCAATCTTTTCTATGCTCACCAGTAAGTTGAAGAATATTTAACAATTATAGATGCGACATTTCGCTTGAAAGTATGTCACACATCTTTAGGACAAGATTCAGGGTGTCAGGACTATTTCACCTGTTGCTTGGGTCGGGGTCAGCGCTAGATTTGCGAATATCAAATTTCACAGGCACAAATAAACTTGCCAAAATGAGAAGCTGCATTCAGATGTTCACTCTAAACAACCGTACAACATAATACATTCATTTAACGATTTAGAATGTTGAAAATGCTCGCCGTTTCTGTTTAAGAGGCATGGGAAACCACTGAGAGATGCAGGAAGGCAGCAGCCAGGCGGTGAGCCGTCGCAAACGATTGGCCAAGCTCTGCAGTCCTCTGTATATTAAGCTGTTGTTCGTTAATTCATGAGTTTTTTAACATCAAAACTAAACAATTAAACAAAAATATATACTGGACCAGGTAAAGCCCACTCAGCTACACATCTCTTTCAGAAGCCACAAATGATAACTCAACGAAGCGGCTTATCGAGTGGAAAAACCGAAGGACCTGGAAAAAATCTACGCGACATTGGAGACACGCAAAATCCAAATATACAGCAGCAGCAGGCGTCAGGATCGGAATGAAACCCACGACCTCCTGTGTATCAGGCGAGGGAGTTAAACTCACAGGTGCGAGGTGGCACCGTCCCTTTCCCACCCAGATGAGCATTAGCTATGGGAGGAACCCTAAAGACACCCATGCAGAACAGGAGGGGAGAGAACACACAAACTCCACACCGAACGGTGCCCAATATATACGCGTCCAAGTGAATTCCGACTCAAATGAGCCCCGATGCGGCGCTCTCACCTCCTGTTCACAGTCCTGAACCAGTTGTAGGATATTCCACGTTCCTACGGCGGGAGCGAGTCCATCCAAATGACCACAAACAGTGGCGTGGCTTTAATTTATCGAACCAATCGGAATGTTACAAAGTTAAAATCCTGGTCAGGGTATTACTCAGCCCAACATCGATACAATCAGCGCCACTTTGTGTGAAGTCAAAAGTGGTTGTCAAATGGAAGTACTCGTCTCCGCCATAGGAACGTGGAATGTTTACCTCTGGCTCTGCAGGGCTGCGATTAGACGAGCACCAATGCCTCAATGGTCACTTGAGCAGAAGATCACTTTGATACCATTCCCAAGGGCGCATGCCCCCCCCGCTCCTGGCCGCCTTTGTATCACAGCAGAGAGCGTCCCAACACCGCGGGGTTTTTAAATCCGAGAGCGAAACTCCGATCCTCGCTCCCCGATCCAACCTCCCCGCTCCTCCCTCCACGGCGCTCACCCTGCAACCGGCGCCTCGCGACGCCAAATCCGAAGCCCTCGAGCAGGGCCCGCTAAGCACAGGCAGAGCGGAGTGGAGGGAGCGGGGAGAGCAGAGAGAATGGAGGGAGCGGGGAGAGTTGAGGGAGCAGAGCGGAGTGGAGAGAGCGGGGAGAATGGAGGGAGCGGGGAGAGTGGAGGGAGCGAGCGTTGACAGAGAGAGGCGAGAGCAGAGAAAGCGCGCGGGGGTTACCTGCTCTGTGGAGACGGAACCAACAATCGACTCCGCGTTGACGTGCCAACCACGTGCCGGATGCTCCCGAGCGCCATGTTGGTCAGGGGGAGTCTGCGCTCAGCAATCGAAGGGGGAGGACTCGCGCCGTGACGTCATCCACACGCGACGCGCAGCCCCAGCACGGAGCGCACGTTGGCGTTTGTAGCCCCTTGCCAACATGGCGCCCGCGTAGCCTCGTGGGCGAAGCGCGGCCGCACGCCCCACTCGGAATCTTCATCTCGCCTGCAGGAGGCTTCCGCTGGGCGCTGAAACTCTTTTGTCACCAGCGTCCGGGGGGGTTACAACAACAATAACAACAATATAAAAACACGACAGGGGTGCAGAGTAGAGGAAGGGTAAACAAAGCACCTAAAAAAATATACAAATAAAAATAAACAACGGTTTTTATCTCACCCGTGAGGTTGGGTGGTTAAAACCGGTTTCCAGCGTAACCGGTAATCTATGAAAAACGCTAAAACCCGGTTATGAGTTTAGCACACTTCAAGATTTTGTTTGTCTAATCGCATAAAAATAACGCACCACCTGCTTTAAATGGGACGTTAAAGAGTCCGTGGCGTCAGTCATAAACAATTCGGCCCATTGTGTGCCGGTGTCATGGTCCAAATGGGAAAAAACGACCGCAAACTCCTCAATTGGGATTAAATTAACAGGACCCTGCGGGGTGGGCTGGTAGGAATAATGCTTAGTACCGGTACAGGGATATCGACCGGGTATAGAGGAGTTAAAGACCAAATACTGTATTCTAGTGTAACGTAATTAAAAGTGTTTGTTTTGACAAGAAACGCTGTGAGATTTAAAAACCTCCCACCACCACCCCCACCACCACCTTCTGCACTAGGCCTCGCGAAGCCTGCCGCACTAGGCCACGCGCCGTGCTTTTCGTGAACAATTAAGGCGATTAAATGTATCTCGTCTCTGTGTTATAAATGTTTCTTGTCTCTGTGTTAAAAAAACGTGCTGCGTTTCAGTAAAGTAAATTTGAAGCGAAGTTTATTATTACACTTGTTAAGCCAGGAAAGCCCCACTGAGTGTAAAGGTTTTGTAGGGTCCTGCCAAGTGTTTGCAGTAGGGGGCGATGTTGCTACACCGAATCGGACGATACGGAGAGATTGAGGCCTAGTTCTAGGCTTTAGGCCTATCTGTAGGCTTTAGGGCGCTGTGAGTTAATTTTTAATTTAAATGTTTTAATGATTTATGTAAAAGCTTTTAATTTAAATGTTTCTATTTAAAATCTTGAGGGAATGTAACATTGTTAAACATAACTCCCTTTCACACACGCGGGGGTACGATACGAAGGGAGACTTTGAGGCCTAGTTCTAGGCTTTAGGCCTAGCTGTAGGCTTTAGGGCGCTGTGAGTTTTTTTTATTTAATTTCAAAGTTTTAATTAAAAGCTATCTCAGGGAATAAGGGAAAGTTACACGTGTCATGCCAAGTGTTTGCAGTAGGGGGCGATGTTGCTACTAGGATAGCGTCACTGAGTCTAAAGGTTTTTGTAGGGTCATGCCAAGTGTTTGCAGTAGGGGGCGATGTTGATACACGGACGGACAGTCGGACGGACGGACGGACACATTAATCTATTGGTGGTCTGGTCCACTTCGTTCCTACCAGTATAACCCCCCCCCTGCACCCCATAGTGCTAAGACTTGACAGGACCCTCCTGAAAATGAGTCTTGTGACTCTTTCTGAGTAAACACGCGAGAATACTGCAGCGACGATAGCGCTGGGTCGCCTTGGCACTCACAAGAGGCCGCCACAGAATTCCGGGAGAGTCGCGTTTGCAAACGTGACTTGGGTGACCAGAATGACCAACATTACACAAATAATACAAAAGCATCTCGTGTACCGATGTAGAACTTCCTTTGCACCGTGCTAATCGGAACTGCGGGGGGAGGCTAACAAACCAAACACAAAAAGCGATTTTAAAGACATGAGTTTTCACATCAATTCCTGCAAATAGTGCGTGAGCTGTCTGATGCTACGGAGCTGTTCAGAGCTTCATCCACATCTTTGCGGAATGGCAGCAGATGCCCAGCAGCTCATGGCACTCGTGACAATCGAGGTTATTCGAGTTTCCCGTTTCTAAATGTACTGCATAGCACTTGGCCATGATGTTGACCCCGTGATGTTGACCTTACGGGGTTTTCCGGCCACGGATTTATGCAACAAAAAAAGTTCTTAAGTTGCAACTTCCAAGAGCGACTTGGAGGGCACTGCGATGTATTTGGGGCATCACTGTCTGCGAGTAACAGTGATTCATATCCACTCATGGGGCTGCCTGCCAATCGAAAAAAAACCCGATTTGGAAACGTTTATTTTTAAGTTGCCCCACCACCACCCGACACAGCCAAATACGCGTCACGTGTGCAAGCGTTTAACAATGCGCCAATTATTGTTTTAGCTCACCGGTGATTTAAGAACAATTATCACCACCAAGTTTTGCAATTATATCGACAGCGTTTTAATTGAATCTGCATCTTCAGGTCAAAACCCAGGAAGTCAGAATAACTGCGTTGCCTGACCCAGCTTTTTAAATCGGTGTGTCATGACCTCACAGGAACAAGTAATCACATTCAAACTATAGATGACAAATTAAACTATTAAAAATGTATTCTAATTTATCTAATTTATTTCACCAATAACCTCTCAGAAGAGCCAGCATCATCTAGAGTTCATTTTGTATTTGAGCTGTGAAAAAACATCTGCAACAATGTGATCACACATACAATAATATGAAAACGGCTCCGTTCTACAAATAGAATAGGTTTTTATTTTACTGTTTAGTCAGACTATTCAAGCAAGGCCTCGGCCTTTCACTTCGTTCCATTTCATCTTCGCGCCTTGGGTGTCTCCGCAGAACCGCCTCTGTCCATGATCTTGGAGCGGAATGATCGAGCCAGGTCTCTGTATGGTGTCTCGGAGTCCATGGGGGAACGTGGGAGATGCAGGAGGGAACGGACTCGTGGAGCGCGCAGAGCCAGGTTCTGAGCCAGACCCACAGCGCTGGAACTCACCCAGTACAGGCTCACGGCCTGCGGGGGACACAGGAGGCACAGGTGAAAGATCACACACTCTCCACTCTTACACACACGGGATATGTTCTCAGTGGGTTACCGGTGTCTGGCTACAGTTTAGGGTTATATGAAGCCGGGCGCATATTTGGCATGCACTTAGCAGGAAACAAAGGTATTCCAGTAAAATTCGTTAATTCCAACTCGGAGGACTAACATTTTACTGGAATGTTTTTTTATGCTGTCATTTGTGACTTGGCTGAGATCATCAACTAAAACAAAACCTATATCCTGCTCAAATGAGTATTGAGGCATTGGTGCTCATCTCCTGTTTACAGCCCTGAGTCAGTGGTGGAAATTCAACATTCCTATGGCAGGGTTGAGTGTCTATCGAACAACCAGTTGACTCCCCCACATAGTGGTATTCTTTTTAGTGACCCCACAGAGATGACGGGTTGAGTGAAGCCCCAACGAGGATTTTAACTAGCGACCCTCTGCTTGTGAGCTGCTCGGTCTACGGCTGAACTACCTGGCTCGGCACGAGTGCAGCACTTCGCAACCGGTGGGCCGCACAGCACCAGCGTACTGCGATAGAACTCGCAGGTGTGCCGCAGTATTTTCAGAATTACTGTACAGGAAAGAACCTCAAGCTCCCACCTCCTGCCCTCCCCTCTCCAATGGTCACGCAAGCGCAGTACGGCAGCAGCAGCAGACAGCTGTCATCCTCCACCCCCGGTCCTCTCAACCCCCTCGGTCTCGCATGCGCAGGGGGGTAAACGGCCGCCACCAGCGGCGTGTATAGTGAACTACGATACAATGTTCCCAGCCGGGCCTACCGTCGGGACGTTTTGCTTCGGTGTGCCGCGTAGATCTAGCGGGCTTGAAAGTGAGTGCCGTGGAATGAAAAAGGTTGCGGAGCACTGCTCTGACTGGCTCGCGAGCTGTGAGCGTGAGCATACGCACCGACGGGACCGCTGCGGCGACTGGCACCATCACTATTGACAGCAGTCGGATGAAGTTTGTAGCAAGCCGCTGCATGCGCGACATGTCCTTCCTCTGCAGCGCAAACATCTGCAACACAGACATGGACAGCTAACTATAAAATTTTACCAGGTAAGGAGATACTTAATATTGATGCACAAATGGGAAATTAAACTCAACGATGTATATTTTACCACGCAAGGCCCACTGAGCCATAGAGCTCTTTTCCAGAAGCGACCTGGCCGCAAATGATAGCTCAACAAAGTGGCTTATCACCACTGGTGGAGCCAGTGGGGGGGGGGGGGGGGTGGCACGTGCCCCCCCAATGATCCGATCGAAATCCCTAATTTCGATCGGATCATTGGGGTTTATTAGTAATAAATCGGCATTTTGCGACCTCCACTGCCACCATATGAGATGATAGGGCAATAGTCTGAGTCCATAATTGGCAATAAGTAACTGCAAAGCAGTTATAAGTGATTCAGAATTGTGCGCAGTTGCGTATATAGTACACGACTTCCCTGAAGGCATTCACCTTCAGCGAGCGCGATGCCGATCACACACGGTTCAAATTCGAGCCTCGATCGATGGCTGTGCCATCGCCGCACACGCGTCGAATAAAAAGCAAGGGACAAGTCCTTACTTACTAACAACTATCATTTTTCATTGCTGGAAGGGTTGCCCCTCCTACCTGAAAATCCTGGCTCCGCCATTGCCTTATCACATGCAAATTATATCAGCCAAATACTCTAAATGCATGTTATAAATGTGGAGGGAAAAACCGGAGGACCTGGAGAAAAATCCACGAGACCACCATGGGGTGAAAGAGACATGCAAACTCCAAATATATAGGAGTCAGGGTGGGGATCAAACCCACGATCTCCCACATACCAAGAGGGAGTTAACATCTCGCCACCATGGTGCCCCTTGCTGCCATCCATCAGCATAACACGCAAACCCCGCCCCACAATACGATAGTGCGTAAACATAAACATGGCTTTTAATCGAGCTTACAGGGCCGCAAAGCACAGGCAGAGACAAACCAACAAGAGAACAGGCAGGAAGTGCAGGCAGACACCGCAGGGACCTCCTCCGTGGAGACGGAGTGGAACATAAGAAGCAGGTGGTATTTTGAATAATGAACCGCGTTTTTACTGCTGCACCGGGAGATGGAATCGAATCGGTGATCTCTGGATTGTAAGACCAGCGTGCTACCCGTTAGACTACAGCGGCGCCCTTAATATCTCTGTTCACAAGGTCACACGTTACGTTTATTGGTTACGAGCAGGAAGTGCCCGGGGGAAAAATATATTTCAAAACTTGTCTTCTATTAAAAACATAACATATACATACACAAACACTAAGCTATTGTGAAAGCCCGGCGTTCCATCTGTCTGTCCATTTGTCCGTCAACAAAATTCTAAGAGGCTTGTAGAAGTCCGGGGGCTTAGTGTGTGTGTATCTGTCTACTTTGTTGAAACGTAAACCCAACAGTTTGTTAGTTAAAAGCGTTGCAAGGATAGGCATGCACAGACAGACAGACAGAGAAACAGACAGACAGAGAAACAGACAGACAGACAAAAAATTACATTTATAGCTAAGAAGACATATGGATAGTCCTCCACTTACGAACGAGTTCCGTTCCCAAAACCCGTTCGTAAGTCAGGTGTTAGTAAGTATATGTATGTATGTACGACACATCATATATATTTTTCACTATTCGGTTACGGGCGACAAGAAATAGCCGATTTTAAAACCCTAGTTGGAACCCCCCCGTCTTTCCCTCCCTAGTTAAGTCTTCATCTTCCCCCAAGTGCGAGGTCCCCACTTGGCTGGGGCAGTGGGGGCCCCTATTCCCCTCCTTCTCATGCCCTTTCGTGTGGTTCCATCACACCGGAGTGGATTACCGTGGATTTTCTGTACCCCGTCACTGGAATATTTCGGGGTGTTGTATCGGGCTGGCATTTTGTTGTAATAAAAATGTGTTTCAAGAAACTCGAGTTGGAAATAACGTCACCTTGGTTCAACAACTTCATCACAAACCTCGACAATGAGCAGGTTTATGAGGCCGAGAGAAATGGGCAGAATCCACGTGGCGTCCGGTAGCGTGAGATTGGAAAACCACAACATTCCTCCTTCCAGGAGGCCTCCATACACGCTTGACTCTGCAATCAACACCACACTTTATCAGTTGCGCATTATCCCCCACTCTCAATACCATCCACTCCTTTGCAGATAACACACTTTACACATCACTCATTTAAATCACAGACTGAAAAGTATTTAGTTGCCCAATGTGCAGATACTTTCAAATCAATCACCACTGACTTCAAAATTAGTTTGATTGGGATGACAAAAACCAAGGCATGTTCAACTCAGAAACTCAATCAACGATTATATCACGTAAGGTTGACAATTCCACAGTTCCGTAACAATGATGTTCTTATACATACTAAAACCATTTGTCTGCTTGGCACAGCGACCTCAGCTGAGCTGTCATGGAACGGTTGTGTTGGTAATCTGGCTAAGGAGGCATCTAAGAAACTTAGTCGTCTTCTCCGTGCCAAAGCGTTTTCAACTGTAAATAATCATTACTGCTGCTACACACAACACAGAGTCAGTTGGAGCTAGAATCCTGCTGCTGTGATATCTGTGGTGGAGTGCCCAATTCCTACATCACTGCACCTGAGTTCAGAGTAGAGTCGTCAGGGTGATTCATGATCCAGCACTCAAGGACTCACTCCAGTCACTCGCTCAGTGATGGCCAGATACCTCCTTATCACTCTTCACTACTACCATGGATACTTTCACCGTGAAATTCACCCATTGATTCCTACCAATGTTGAGCACTCTGTCGACCAAACGGTTTTGTCTCAACCACTGTTCAACCACCACACTGCAGCTCACAATAACATACTCACTAATCCACTCCAACACCTACCTCACTGCACCTGACAGATTTACGAGTAAATAAGTTAGGGTGAGTAATCATCTAGAATTCACTTATTCAATCCAGTCAGTTGTTCACCAGTGGTAATTCACCCCCGTTAGTGGGTAGGTTGGTGGGTGGGTTGGTGGTGTGGGTGTGTGTATAGATGGGTGAGTGGGTTGGTTTGTGGGTGGGTTGGTGGGTGGGTAGGTTGGTGGGTAGGTTGGTGGGTGGGTGGGTTGGTGGGTGGGTGGGTTGTGGTGTGGGTGGGTTTTTGGTGTGGGTGGGTTTTTGGTGTGGGTGGGTTTTTGGTGTGGGTGAGTGGACTGGTCGGTGGGTCTTGAACCCTCTGGCCTCTGTCTCACCATCCTGTGCGAGCCGGGAGATGTTCTGCAGGGAGACGGTTAGGATGATCCACAGGGGGATCTGGACCCACATGATCAGCGAGGTCTTCACAGGGTGGCAGTTGTCGCGCACATACAGCTCACTCACCAGGCGTTTCAGCTCCTTGCGGAACTCAAACCTGCGCAGGGGATAAGCTGAAAGGTAAGCTCACCTGAGCGGACTTTATCTGGCTAGGTGAGAGCCCAAACAAACAGGAAGTTTTTTCTACCAGACTGATTGCTGCATCTCATCTGTACAGTGTTCCACCACTATACTACAGGTCACAATTAAACACTCACAATAATACAATAATAATAATAAACACTATTTGTAATGCATGCGTATTTCACGTATCGAATGAATTGTTCTACAGAGAATTCAGAGGTGCGGAGCCAGAGCTCAAAGTCCTCCGGAAGCGAACCTGAACGTTTGAGAGCCTGAACAGGTGAGTGCCTGAACAGGTGAATGCCTGGACGGGTGAGAGCCTGCATATACATGAACTGATGGGGAGTCAGTGCAATGGTTTTCACAAAGTCATGGAAGTCATATGGCCATGCCTAATGCCCAGAATGTGAGACAAGTTGTTTTGAAGTCGCTGTAGTTTATTGAGGTGTTTTCCTGATGTTTGGGTAAGAATGGTGAATAAATGAGTGCGTGTGTTGTGATCTGGAGTGTAATGGTTGAACACAGTGTGGTGGATAAGACAAAACAGTGTCTGGTAGGTAGACTGAGTACTCTATATGGGTGGAGGAATCAAGGAGTGAAGTTCACAGGAATAGTAACGATGGTAGTAGTGATAGAAGACGACTGCTGCCTGACGATGCTACTGCTGATGATGCTGAGGCGATTATGATGATGCTGCTGATGGTGGAGATGCTGCTGTTGCTGCTGCCACTCATTACGATGTGGGTGAGTGAGCGGTGAGTGTCAGTCTCACCGCGCTGTGCTCTCTGGCCAGCCGCGCTGCCGCGCCGTCACGGACACGTCGCGCCGCAGCAGCCGTGCCAGCTCCGAGATTTCCTGTTGCAGTGCGGAGAGCTGCAGCCAAGGCAGGCGGCACGGTGAGACTCAGAATCACACAACAACAACCCGTGTTTTTCATTAAGTAGTGGTGACATCACCATCGTGCTTGTGCCAGACTATGTGCACTTTGAGGCCACGTAAAGTGTCGGAGGCTCGCTACTGGCAGGATAGACCCAGGTGTTATGGGTTGATCGACAGAGATAACTGGCAGATGCACCACCTGTATATCCTACTTCGACAGGGCCTACATCTCTGATTTCATGACTTGGTCAAATCCTTTGATACCATCTATAGGCCAGGGCTTTGGGTTGGTCTTTGCTTTTGGGGTTCCTAACCCTCTGCTCACAATGATTAGGCAGGCCCAGGCAAAGCTAATTGACTGGGAGTCAGGGCCATTTCCTGCTCACCTTGGAGTGTGACAGGGATGTCCTCTGACCCATAAACTAGTCACACACTCACATATTTAGACAAAGATCTGCCGTATTGCCTTAACAGACTGTAGGAGCAAGTGCTATTAGCGAGTGCCTATGAAGACCGGCACAGCACACAGGGGGGTGGATTGCCAACACCACGCCCGGCCGCCTTTGTATCCCCAGTGGTGATGTTTAAACACACCAGGTACTTATTTGAGGCTGAATCGACCTAGGGGAGGCTCAAAACCGGTTCTGATAATCGTCACTAGTCTTGGCCGTGAGAGGGAATGGAAATCTAATCGCCAGGTTCGTAGTGCAGCGAGCTAATCACTACATTACCGCTCCCCACTCACAATACACAGTCAGTCACTCACAGAGTCACACACTCACACCTTGGCCATCACGTGCATCTGGTAGACTGTGAGGGGGAGGGTGACGCACGAGCGGAGGGCGACCGTGCTGCAAGCGATCGTAGCCCACCAGGGCAGGCCTAAGGAGGCCTGCGTCGCCGCCAGTAGGTGCTCAGCAAGTAGCACAGGCGCCGTGTCTGCCAGGGAGCTATACAACCCAACACCAGGATCAAGACTGGGACTGGCATGGCTGGGCGCAGACACGGAGAACGCACGGCCAGAGCAGTGCCGATGATCAGGGAAGAGGGTGAGGAGACGTGGCGCAGGGCTGGGAGAGATGGGAACAGCAGAGGAGCAACACTTCTGATTAGCACCGGTGGCTATGTACGGTGCAAAAGAAGTTCAACAACATACATACATACATAAGTGTGATGAAGTTGCTCACAGAGCCAGACTGAGGTACCACATAGGGCTGGCAATTCTAATTCCTACCATTATATGTGTCAATGATATTCTTATACATCATAAAACCATGAATCTGCTTGGCACCACAGTCTCATCTGAGCTGTTATGGAACAGCCGTGTTGCTGATCTGGCTAAAGAGTCATCTAAGAAGCTTGGTATTCTTCTCTGTGCCAAAGCCTCATCAACTCGAGACGATCATTCCTAAGCTGGAATCCTGCTGCTATCATATCTGGGGTGGAGTGCCCAGTTCCTAACTGACTGCACCTGAGTGCAGAGTCGAGTCGTCAGGGTAATGATCCCGCACTTGCCTCCTTATCACTCTTCTCTCACTACTACCATGGTTACATTCCCTGTGAAGCTCTCCCATTGATTCCTACCAATGCTGAGCACTCGGTCAACCAAACTGACTGCTTTGTCTCATCCACACTGTGTTCAACCACCACACCGCAAACAAAGACCCCCGTGTAGCCTTAGCAGACTGTTGGGGCAAATGATGTTAGCGAGCACTGATGAAGGCTGGCATGGCACGCGAGGGGGTGAGTGGCCAGCACCATGCCCAGCCGCCTCCGTCTCCCTTGTGGCGATGTTTACACACCGCACCAGGTATCCATTTGAGGCTGAGTCGACCTAGGTTCAGATAATCGTCACTTGCGTTGGCCGTGAGCGGGAATCGAACCCAGGACGCCGGGTTCGTCGCGCGCGGCCCGCTAAACGCTTCACCAACACTCCCCATACCGCGGCTCACAATAACACACTCACTAATCCACTCCCACACTCTCTCACCCAACCACTCAATAACCCACTCAACAATAACTACCATTCGCCACTAAGTGGCGGTTATGCCACCATGGTTTTTTTGCCAGGCTAGGTGCACCTTGAGGCCACTAACTTGTTGCGTTTTAGCTGCCTGGTGCTCCGCTCATTGTCATAAGCATTGCTTCTCTGCCCTCCGTTGTTGTTGGAGGGCGAATGCCTCCAGCTGCCCAGTAGCAGCATCCTTCACGAGCCTCCTCCACAGAGAACGATCTTGACACCGCTGGTACCAGTCATCGGCAAGACCAATCATCTCAATATCCTTCTGTACCGCATCAATCAATCTTTTCTCCAGCCCGTGTCGTGCCCATTTAGCCCCCCCTATCCAGTCAAACAGAAGCTGCTTGGGCATTCGATGGCTGGGCATGCGGGCTACATGACTCATTCAGCGCAGACTCGCTGGCCAGAGGAGCGTACTGGTGGGACTGTGTCCAGATCTTTCAAGGTTATATGAGCTCCTCACACAATCCATTCTGGTTAAACCCAGGAAAGATTGTAGGCAGGCCAGCCTGAATGTGTGAGCGTTCAAATAACCGACTCACTCACCCACCCACTCGCTTACCTGCCCACTCACTCGCCCACTCACCACACTACATGTCAAAACACTTATCTTTCTTTCCTCCCACTGCCTCACTTTGGAATTCCCTCTCATCGTCTCTTTTTCCAAGCTCTTTAAATAGCCTCGCTCAATTCAAGAAATGCGTTATCTATGAAACTATGTTTGCGCTGTTTGTTGCTCGCCACTTGACATTGGGGCATTTGGATCTGTGCTCAGAAACTGTTCTTTAGTCACTCAGAGTCACACAGTCATGAACATACTCAGGCCCTGGCAGTCTCAGTCACTGCTACACCCAGTCACACAATCACTACCTCGCACACTCGGGTTACTTTCAAAGTCCCAAACACACACAGCCAAAAGCAACCAGTCACTCACACTCATTCACACAGTCACTCACGCAGTCTCTCACACAGTCTCTCACACATGCAGTCTCTCACCCTATCACGAACACACACGGCCACTAACTTACTCACACAGTCACACTGAAAGTCACCCACACAGACAGTCCCTCACATCGTGGCACACAGTCACAATCACTACACACGCGACAGCCTCCCACACGGCGCACTTGTTGAACTGGCTCGCTCTGCGTGCCACCAGCCGGACTGTCCCCCAGACACAGCGGTGATGTCCTCCCATGGCGCCACTGGTTCGCGGTTAGACTCCTGTCACTGGCGCCTGCATGCCTGAGCAATGGCCAGATCACACACACAGCGCACTTTCACACAGAGCACCGCAGGCGAGTGACTAAACACATGCGCGAACAAGCAGACAGGTCGCCTCCTTTCCCTATGTCCACAGACAAACATATACTATTATTTACAAGTCCCATCAGCCACACGGCAGCATTGGGATGGCATCATTTCGGCAGCATTGGTTCAACACAAACAACACTGTTGACCGGTTTTGACATTCAGTGCCTCATCAGCAGGCAGGCTTCCTTGTGAACCATCACCACCACCATTATCACCACCACCACCACCATCTCTCAGTCATCACCACCAGTCAGCATCTCTATAGTCACCTGTCACGTGCAGATTTGCGTGTGTGTGCTGTGTGTAGTCTGTGTGTGTGTGTGCTGTGTGTGTGCTGTGTATGTGCTGTGTGTATGTGCTGTGTGTGTGTGTGTGCTGTGTAGTCTGTGTGTATGTGCTGTGTGTGCGCTGTGTATGTGCTGTGTGTATGTGCTGTGTGTGTCCTGTGTAGTCTGTGTGTATGTGCTGTGTATGTGCTGTGTGTATGTGCTGTGTGTGTGCTGTGTATAGTCTGTGTGTGTTCTGTGTGTGTGCTGTGTGTATGTGCTGTGTATGTGCTGTGTGTGTATGTGCTGTGTGTGCTGTGTGTGTGCTGTGTGTGCTTGTGTGTGTGCTGTGTGTATGTGCTGTGTATAGTCTGTGTGTGCTGTGTGTGTGTGCTGTGTGTATGTGCTGTGTATGTGCTGTGTATAGTCTATGTGTGCTGTGTGTGTGTGCTGTGTGTGTGCTGTGTTGTGTATAGTCTGTATGTGTGCTGTGTACGTGCTGTGTATAGCCTGTGTGTGCTGTGTATACTCTGTGTGTTGTGTATAGTACAGTACCTGTAACTGTAGTACCAGGACAGTACTGTGCAGTCTGTTTGGAGTCGCTGTATATGCAGTTTGCGCTGTGTAACCTGCGTGTGTAATCCCTCTCTCTATTCCCTATCTGTCATCTCTCTATTCTCTGTCATCTCTCTATTATCAATCTGTCATCTCTCTGTCTGTCCTCTCTACAGTATGTGCTCAATCTGTCCCGCCTCTCTTCTCGCGCCCGCTCCGCCTGCCCCGCCAAGGTCGCACGTGGAAGTGACGCCGGCACCCCGCGCGGCGTGTCCAGGCTGAGCAGTCGACTTCCGATCGGCGTCGCTCCGGAGCAAGTCGCGACCAATCGAGTCGCGATCTCGTCAACAAACCCGACGATTGTCGCGATATCGAGGGGGTCACGTGCTTCGATGCGACACCGATCGAGTATCGAGTTATCGAAATGCCGCTCAACTCGACACAAGCCCGACACGAGTCGCGATAATTATTTATACTGCAGGAGGAGGAATCCGAAGAGCTCTCAAGCTCTTTTTCACAGATGTCCAGTAGGGGCACGGGCCCAGAACAACACAACAGCAACAACAACCAACACAACAACACAATAACAACAAACAACACAACAACCAACACAACAACAACAACCAACACAACAACAAACAACACAACAACAACAATCAACACAATCAACAACAACACAACAACACGATACGAGTGCAAAGTAGAGGAAATGTAAAAAAATCACTTTCAAAATATATACAAGTACAACTGAAATAGTGTTTTATTCTACCGGATAAAGCCCACCGAGTTATTAGCTTATTTTTCAGAAGCGACCTGGCCACAAATGATATCTCGACAAAGTGTCTCGTCGTGTACAATTATCAACACAATGCTCTAAGTGCGTGCGACAGCGTGACACTCCGTGCAAGTTCATGTATTAGGTGTGGCCCTGGGAGCCAGTCGGCTCCTGAATCGGGTGCAACCGCAACAAACAAAAAACAAACAACATGAACAAAAAATATCTTAAAGTGAATATGGCTGCATTGCCACTCACAAGCCACGTGCACTTGTCATCCAACACGGGTGTCAACAACACGGTATGAGCGACGTTTCGGTCAATGGCCCTTCTTCATCGCACTTTTACTTGTGTTAATTACCTCCAAGACGACCCATTATTAATATTTAATTCGGTCATTACCCACAGGCAAATCGCTGTCCCGGTAACGAATGTTGAACTTTTTTCGCGCCATACGTAGCCAAGCGTGCTAATAGGAGGTGCTGTCACTCGGCTTTATTCACAGATCTTGGGCGGTCAGGCGGATCAGCCACCAATGATCGATTGTCAGTCAGTTTGACCGGCGCGCATTGGCCTGGCTAAGGGATTCTAAGAGGATGCAGGTGAGGGAGGGGGTGTATCAGAATCTTTATCCATTCTGGAGGAATCCGATGAACTATTCAGCGCTTTCTCACAGATGTCCAGCAGTAGGGAGGGGCAGGAGAGCTGGAAATCCACTGAAGATCTCCCTGCTGGCGATCGACAGAAACTCTCATCACGTCTGCTGGACTCTCGTGAACAGTTCATCTCAACTAAAGGTGCAGCTCTGCAATTGCTCTCTCACGCCACTGCTTGGAGAAGAACCTCTACTAAGAGGGCGCTGTCGAGGTGGTATTTTGGTCAGCTTGTCCACACTGACCAGACGTTTTAGAAGAGGTGGAGCTGACTTCATCATTAGACTGTGGTGAGCCCGTTTACACTGCTGGCGGGTGTACAGGAGGCGGTGGTGGTGTGTGGCCGCGCTAGGACACCGAATGGCGAGGGTAGCGGCCCCTGGAGTCGATTTCGGGGAGGCCCAGGACCAGATCAGATGAGTGTCACCGGTGTCGAGCGGGAATCGAACTCGGGTCACCAAGTTCGTTACGCAGCGTAGCGCTAAGCGTTGCGCCACCGCTCCCGACGCACGCAAAGAAGCTGCCGTGTAACCTTCACAGACTGCAGGGGGGGGGGGCCACGTGGCGTGGGCGAGTCGCACCGATGAAGGGCGGCAGCACGCCGGGGGGCGGGGCCTGTGCAGAAGGGGGCGGGGCAGTGAAAGGGGGAGTGGGGGGCGGGGTTCGTGTTGGGTGTGAGTGAAGGGCGGGGCCATGGAGGGTGTGAGCGAGGGGCGGGGCTGTGGAGGGGTCGAGCGAGGGGCGGGGCCGTGGAGGGGGCGAGCGAGGGGCGGGGCCGTGGAGGGGGCGAGCGAGGTCGGGGCCGTGGAGGGGGCGAGCGAGGGGCGGGGCCATGGAGGGTGTGGGCGAGGGGCGGGGCCATGGAGGGTGTGAGCGAGGGGCGGGGCCATGGAGGGTGTGAGCGAGGGGCGGGGCTGTGGAGGGGGCGAGCGGGTGGCGGGGGCCGCTGCTGCTGCTGCTGATCAACTTCCCAGTGACGCGAGGTCGCGGCGAGCGGAGTTCTCGCGCTCCCCATGAACCCAGCAGCAGCCGCAGTAGCAGCAGCTGTAGCAGCAGCAGCCGGCCCAACTGCAGTTGCAGGAGTCGTACACGAAGCAGCCGCAGCTGCGTGAATAGCAGCAGAGCAGCAGCGGCCTGGAGGCGCCGAGGCCTGAGAAGTAGGCCGCGACTGTCACCTCCTCCTCCTCACACGGGCAGCTTCGCAGCTCTCAGCAGCCTCGCACGGCGCTCCGAGAGAGCTGTGGCCGACAGAACTCACAAATCCCCTCAACTAGCACAGCCTCGCACGGCGCCCGCATCCTCCTCGCCACCGCCGCCCCTCAAGCCTCGCGGCGCCGCCGCCGCCGCCGGGGCCTGGTCCTGGTCCTGACCCCCCCGCGCCTGGCGGCACCGCCGCTCGCTCGAGATCGCGGCCGCCGCCGCCGCCGCGATGAGTTTCTGTCCGGACAACCCGGGGCTGGGAGCAGGTACCACGCCTCCTCTCCCCGCTCTCTCTCTCTCCCTGATGTCTCTCTCACTCTCTCCTCCCTCCCACCTATCGCCTTCCACTCTCCGCGTCTCTCCTCCCCCCCCGTCTCCCTCTCCCCCAGGCCCATCTCTCTCTCTCTCCCGTCCCTCCCCATCTCCTCCGTCTCTCACTTCCTCTTCTCTCCCCGGCTATTGCCTCTCCCCCCCCTCCCTCTGTTACCGCTCTCTCTCTCTCACATCGCCTCTCTTGCTACAATTGGTCTCCCCTTTCACTCGCTCCCATCTCCCGCCGCCGTCTTCCTCCATCTCCCGGCTCTTGCTTTGAACGCCTCAACTTGACATTATATCTCTCGTGTTTATATTCACGGTGATGAAACGACAACCGGTCACCGTTTTCAAAATCGATACACGGTTTTCAGAGTTTAGTAACCGTTCGCCGATTCCTGTGAAAGGTCATTATGGAACGCGCTGGGTAGCTTGGAAGAGTAGGCCAAATAACTCCCGAGAGCTCTCGAGTGGGAGGCCCTGACGCCAGCAGTGGAGTGAGAAACTAAACGCTTGCAGGGCTGCAACTTTACCCTTCAGCTTAGAAACGAGGGCGATTTTACCACTCAGGGCTTTAGCCCTTTGTCGGTGCGTTCATTTCTGACATTCCACAGAAATCGGTAACCAATCCCTGACTTTTGTAACCGGTCATCAATTCTGAAAACAGTTCCCGCTTTACCGATTGCATGGCCCTCTCTTATAGAACAGACGGCTGCAGCTCCGAGCAGAGCGAATGATTCACCAGCTACATTTAGGACCTTCACTGAGCTGTTTTAGTTTCTTATTTAAACACATTTTCTGAGCGCAGACCCATAGACCCAAAGTGTCAAGTGGCCAACAACAAACAGCACTGCCAAATAATTGTTTTTTTTACCCTTTTATCTGGCAACAAAACTGACACCTTGTTGCAAGGAGTCATGTTTGCATAGACCGCAATACCTGCAGTCATAATACAAACAAAAGAACATAACTCTGATAATGTGCACTGTCCTTGAAGTTGATTGGTCCACACCCGAGACAGCTTTCCTTCGAGCCTAGTCTCATATGGGTTGGACCAGATGACGCCAAAAGGCGCACTAGTGCGCCTTTTGGCGAAAAGGCGCACGAGTGCGCCTTTTGGCGTCATCTGGTCCAACCCATATGAGACTAGGCTCGAAGGAAAGCTGTCTCGGGTGTGGACCAATCAACTTCAAGGACAGTGCACATTATCAGAGTTATGTTCTTTTGTTTGTATTATGACTGCAGGTATTGCGGTCTATGCAAACATGACTCCTTGCAACAAGGTGTCAGTTTTGTTGCCAGATAAAAGGGTAAAAAAACAATTATCATATTTTTACTGGCAAATGAGGTCCCCATAGAGCACTGCCAAAGTTTCAATAGATAATAATTAACGTATTTCTTTAATTGATTACGGTTAAGAGCCATCGAAAATTTAAATGGGAGGGAATTCCAAAGCGGAGCAGCACGAGGGACGAAGCAGAAAGAGAAGTATGGCCTGAAGTGAGTGGGTTGTTGTGGCCTGAAGTGAGTGGGTTGTTGTGGCCTGCAGTGAGTGGGTTGTTGTGACCTGCAGTGAGTGGGTTGTTGTGGCCTGAAGTGAGTGGGTTGTTGTGGCCTGAAGTGAGTGGGTTGTTGTAGCCAGCAGTGAGTGGGTTGTTGTGGCCTGCAGTGAGTGGGTTGTTGTGGCCTGCAGTGAGTGGGTTGTTGTGACCTGCAGTGAGTGGGTTGTTGTGGCCTGAAGTGAGTGGGTTGTTGTGGCCTGAAGTGAGTGGGTTGTTGTAGCCAGCAGTGAGTGGGTTGTTGTGGCCTGCAGTGAGTGGGTTGTTGTGGCCTGCAGTGAGTGGGTTGTTGTGGCCTGCAGTGAGTGGGTTGTTGTGGCCTGAAGTGAGTGGGTTGTTGTGGCCTGCAGTGAGTGGGTTGTTGTGGCCTGCAGTGAGTGGGTTGTTGTGGCCTGCAGTGAGTGGGTTGTTGTGGCCTGCAGTGAGTGGGTTGTTGTGACCTGCAGTGAGTGGGTTGTTGTGACCTGCAGTGAGTGGGTTGTTGTGGCCTGAAGTGAGTGGGTTGTTGTGGCCTGAAGTGAGTGGGTTGTTGTGGCCTGCAGTGAGTGGGTTGTTGTGGCCTGCAGTGAGTGGGTTGTTGTGGCCTGAAGTGAGTGGGTTGTTGTGATCTGCAGTGAGTGGGTTGTTGTGGCCTGCAGTACAATATAATGGTTAGACAACACCAATGAGACGAGAGTCATTCTTGGTCGACTAATTCCTCAACATGGGAGAAATCGACGAGTTAAGTTAACAGGAACACGAAACATGGTGGGAAACACATTTAAGCGACGTCAAACCTTAAGATTGTGCTCGCTATTCCAAGAAGCTCCTTGTGAAGTCAATGAGATGAACTAGAATATATTTAGAATACAAAAGAAGAGGGATATAGAAGCGACTGACTGCAAGTGAGTGCCTGGAGTGAATCAGTGAGTCCTGGATTCACAATCACCATGACTATAACGTAATATCGTTGACAATCACATTTGCAAGTGAAATGTAACTGTGATATGTTTAACTATCGCTGTGGATTTTCCCACGATATTGTTATTTTTTTGAGTTTATGTAAGCTCATGATTTCTCCAGATTTATAAAATGTCATGTCTATTGACTAAAGCTTTTCATTCGTCTGTGTGTTTCCCCAGGCGTGTGGGGGTTGGAGATCCCAGAGCGGTCCCTCCCCCAGCTCTTCCCAGGACATTTCCACCTCCCACTGCCCCAGCAGCAGCAGCAGGTGAACATGCAGCAGCAGCAACAGCAGCCGCAGCAGCAGCAGCAACAGCAGCAACCACAGCAGCCACAGCAGCTGCAGCTATCGGCAGAGCAGCCGGTGGCTGTGATCTCTCCACACACGGTGTCCGGTCAGCGTGCCGTCGCTGGGAAGGTCACCACGCTGCAGCTGCAGTGGACTACACTGCCGCACATACAGCAGCAGCAACAGCAGCAACAGCAGCCGCCACCTGTGCAGTTGCAGCAGCAGCAGGCACCACAGCCAACACAGCAGGTAAAGATGGCCACACTTGGTGGAGCTGAGTGGAGCGCATGGCAGCGAGAGATTGTGGTGTACGTTTTGAATGTGTTCAAGAGATCAAGATAAAGACGTTATCGTGGCCAAAGCCGTTGATGCCACTGCATGGTACTACCAACTCTCCCTACTCTCTGCCTGATCCTACAGCTGCTGTGTAGCTGATGCCGGGCCACCCAAGATCTGCCCTCACGGTATCCCACTACCTTAGACTCATATAGTGACCTGCAGAATCGTATAGGAACCTATAGACTCACAGATACGCATTTAGCTGCTCTTAACAGTATCCCATCCTCGCAGAGATCTTCCCCTTGACCGTCAGACTCGTGGAGACCTCTCCCAATGCCTGGTTCAGCAATTGGCCCTACCCAGCACAGCCGTTTTTGCTCGGCATATCTATAATACTTAGTGACCAGTTTTCTTCTGGACACCTACATTTCTCATCAAGTCTTGCTGAAATGCCATTGAACTGATTATTTGGGGTCCAGCTCTCTGATCCATACAGATAGCACTCGCATCATATACCCTTTTCTTTACACTCAAGACTGATCTCTTTTCCGAAATAGCTTCCATAGCACATCAAAAACTCTGATTGCTAAGCAAAATGCTTTTTGCCCGTCTCTCTTGACCTGAATGTGCGAGTTAAATGAATGTGGTGATATGAGCGTGTTGTGGGCTTGTACTGGGCAACATTGAATCAGATTTAATGGGAACAAGGATGAGAAGCATCAGATGCCTTTCATGACCTCCTTCCTAGGTTCTGGCTAAAGTGGCCCCTCGAAATAGTCATCTTGTTGGTTGACTTTTAACACCGAGTGGGTCATGATGCAGGCATTTGGGCCTCAGTGATTCGAAGTCATGGGCCAGATCTGGTCGGTAACGGTAGAAGGCTGCTCATCCTCTGTCCGGCCAGAAATCCTGGCTGATGGAAGTTTCACAGCATTCGGAGAAGCGGCAGGCTCACTCCGTCTTCAACCAATGCCCGTGAATGAGATGGCTTACCGCAGTATGCGCTCGGAGATTCAGAGTGCAGTACAGCACTGTAAGCATGAGTAGTGGTCGTGGGTTGCTGAGGAGAAGAACACTTCCTCAGCCACACCTTTTGCCAGGGAAAGAGTGGCGATATGATCTCTGACCCTCAGGAGCAGGTTTGCATATTTGTTGAACATTTCTGAGGTCTTGGGGGGGAAAGGCAACCCCTCAGCTCAGATAACATCATAGGGCAAGGTGTCAGTCAACCCTGCGCAGGCTGCAGAGCCATTTACTGAGGATTTGCAAAGAGTGATCCCAAGATTGAGAGGAGGTATAACACTGGGCAGAGATAACCTCCCAAGTAAATCGCTGGGGGGTGGTGATTGTGTACAGGCTGCCCTATACATCATTACAACTGCTTGGACCACAGAATGGTTTCCGCAGGATTGGAAGAATGCTTTATTTGTAAGGGGACCGCAATGATTGTAAAAAAAACTTCTGGAGCATCTCCCCCAATATGCCAGAAATAGTTATAGAAAAGATGATTTAACATCGCCTTACCGGCACTCTGAGGAGTCTTGCAGAGCCCACTGTGGTTTCAGGCCGGGATGGCCCTGCACAGATGCCATATTCCCTGTGCGTCTGCTATATAGAGGTGTAGGAAAATGTTACAGGGCCTACAGCTCTGCTTATTAAGGAGTTGGAGCCTTTTCCTGCAGCAGGGAATTCCTCTTTATTCCCTCTTGCACCTCTGATTAGCGCGGATGGCTACATACGGCATGAAAGAAGTTTAACATACATACGTCTTTTTTACCACGTTCAAGAATCTTTCCATGGCTGAACCAAGAAATTTCCATCTGGTACAGATATAATGGGTGCTTATTAATACATTGGTCATCCATATGCTGCTGATCTGGTAATTGCTGCTCACTTTGAGAAGGAATTGAAGACTACTGCTGCACCTGTAGCGTGTCACTCACAAGTGATGCCATATCATCAGATCCGGCAAAACAAAGCACCTGCTCGGGTATTTTAAATCATTGAATCCTGCAACCGCTCAACTCACCATAAGTGATGGGGCAGTTGTGGAGAGTGTGGAGGCGTTCCCATACCTGCGCAGTGTGCCCATGACCAGTTCCTATTCATCAGCAGAGGTTTCACTTTGAATCAGTCAAGCAGTATTCTTTGCATCGTCTGCGTAGTGTTGTGAGGAAGCTGCCTGGCCTATCGCTCAATATGAAGCTCTGGATGTTTTTGTATAGTTATGCCTTTCCTTGAAAAAAATGTGCAGATCTTTAAATGAACATCTGCGCCGACATTCAAGCTGACCTGCCTACGATCCACGCTGGGTTCGAGGGGTCTAAATAGGTGCTGTATGGGCTACACAATATCGAGCTGAGTGGACTCGCTGATGACTGGTATCAGCGGTGTCAAGATTGGCCTCTGGTGAAGGCTCATGAAAGACGCTGTTGGGCAGTTTGAATCCGTCGCCCTCCATCAAAAACACAGGGTGGAGGAGCAATGCTCACAATGTGGGGGGTTCCTAAAATGCAGTAAGTTGGTACAGTTGAGAGTACAAGTGATGCATCTGTCAGTCAATCCATAAACACCTGGGCCTATACAATGACCTGCCTGCAAGCATTGCACACTCCGTTGCCTCAAAAGTGCATCTAGCCTGGCACAAGCGATTTGACGTCAACACCACTGGTTTGCGAATAGTCACTGTTGCATGTATGTGTCTTTGTCTCGTATTTTACTTGTGCGTTTGTAGTCATTCATTTGCTGTGTATCATTGAGTATGTGTGCGAGTGAATGTGTGTTTGTGTTGAGTGCATATGTATGTTTGTATATGAGTTATGTGTTTGCTATGTGTGAGTTGACATCCTGGACACCTTTGCAAATGAAACGTTCCATCTCGAGAGTTTTGCAAGTGAAATATTTAAATAAATATAGTAGACAGGTTACTTGAGTTTTGCAGCAGCAATAGAGGCAGTGCTCATCTTCTGTTTACAGCCCTGAGCCAGTGGTGTGAATTCCACATTCCTAGGCCAACCACTGTTGACTTCCCTATGAAGTGGTATTTATTTTATTGACCAGGGAAGTATGATTGATTGAGTCAACTCCCAACCAGGATTTGAACTCGCAACAATACCGCTTGCTCTACTGCTGAGCCACCTGGCTGACTATGTTGAGAACTGCCTCAGTGGCCAGTGCATGGACAAAAAGGCCACAATTAAATAAATGGTTAATTTGTGTTTTTGTCAGATGCAAGTTGTGCCACAGCTTGAGTGCGGGAGTGTTATGGCAACGCAGCAACCACAACCGCAACTACAGCAACAACCGCAGCAGCAGCTACAGAGAATTGACCAGGCGTTCAAGTGTGAGGGTTGCTGGAAGGAGTTGGTCTTCTCGTCCTACTTAATACAGCAACACCACCACCACCACAACCACCACCAGCAGCCGCAGCAACAGCCACAGAAGCAGCCACAGCTACAGCAACAGGACGAGCAACAGCAGCAGAGCACAGTTTCTGAGAGTAAAACCGCGCGCCGCCCCCACGGAAGCAAACGCAAGAGGGTGGCCACCACCAAGGAGGAGGAGGGTGCCAACGACGCCATCGTCGGCACGACGGGCAGCTCCGCGATGGGAGAAGACGTCCTGGAGAGCGTCGTGCGCGAGACCATCGACTGCGCCGGGCTGGCGGCGTCGCAGGCCATGGAGGGCATCTCGGACGGCGGCGTCGGCGAGGACGCGACGGTGGCCGTCGGCGCCGGCGACGACCCCCTGCAGCTGCCGCTGGCGTGCGAGCGCTGCGGGAAGCGCTTCGCTCAGGCCCCGCGGCTCGCGCGGCACCGGCGCACGCACGACGCGCCGAGGCCCCACGGCTGCCCGCAGTGCGGCGCGCGCTTCAAGCAGCGGCAGCACCTGGCGGCCCACGCGCGGCTGCACACGGGCGAGCGGCCGTACGCGTGCGGGGACTGCGGGAGGCGGTTTGCGCGCGGCGCCAACGCGGCGCGGCACCGGCGCGTGCACACGGGCGAGCGGCCGTACGCGTGCACGGCCTGCGGCCGCCGCTTCCGGCAGAAGCCCCACCTGGCGGCGCACACGCGGCTGCACACGGGGGAGCGGCCGTACGCGTGCGCCGCCTGCGGCCGCCGCTTTGCCAAACCCTACAGCCTCACGCGGCACCTGCGCTCGGCTGCGCATGCGCGTAGGACGCAGCAGCAGCAGGATGCACAACAGCAGCAGCAACAGCAGCAGCAACAGCAGCAGCAACAGCAGCAGCAACAGCAGCAACAACAGCAGCAACAGCAGCAGCAGCAACAGCAGCAGCAGCAACAACAGCAGCAGCAACAACAGCCAGCGCAGTAACCTGACAGTTTGCATGCGTTAATGTCTGTGTTAACGTTTTTGTGCATCGGTGGCAGTGATTAAGGCGCTGTGCTATGAGGTGACGACCCAAGTTAGATTCCAGATCACGACCAACACCAGTGACGATTATCTGAACCGGTCCTGGACCTCCTCTAGGTCGACTCGGCCTCAAATAAGTATTTGGTGTAGTGTGTAAAACATCGTCACGAGGGAGACAAAGGCGGCTGGGCGTGGTGTTGGCCACCCACCCCGTCGTGTGCTGTGCCAGCTTTCAGAGGTGCTTGCAAACAGCACTTGTCCCAAAAGTATATTGTGGATTTCTGGGGGAGCTTGGTTTGCCCATTCTCTCAGACGACCTATAGCACCTGGATCTGTTGGCGTATGTGCAAACACCTATAAAGGACTACACATCACACAAAGGGGCAGTGTGGCCCACACCTACATATCCAGTGGAATACATTCAAAGTCTTGTGGGTGTTTTCCCAGGAGTGACTCAAAAAATGATATGAATGTGAAATAAGTTGGCAAGTTCACACTTACCACGGGCCTGTAATTGACGTTAGTGGCGCTGACACAAAGCTAAATATAAGATGCCCATCTGCAGCAATGGGAGCACACAGTGAGTTGCTAAACATTCTGGAAAGTCTCTGTTATGTTACACTAAAAATACTCGCCAGGTATGATGAACTCGGGTTGTTAAAACCGTGTTTTGGCATTACCAGTCGTCACATGAAAAAGGATGGTAAAATATCGGTTACTGCTTTTCTGCACTTATACAAATTTCTCTGGCAATGAACATAAAACACGTTTACCTTTGTTCAACTAAGAAATGAATGGAGCTGCCAATGGTGAAATGGAATTTCCATTTAGACTTGGCCAGTTCAATCCCATCTCCTGGTGCCGTAGTTGAAACAATGGGGCAGCGTAAAAGGGTACGCCGCGGTTAGTCGATCTGCAGGTCACGCGAAGTGTGGGTATGCCCACTTCTTCCAAGACGTCTGAAGCATGTACCAGTACTTGCTGTTTTGTATCGCGACCTATGTAACAATGCTTGTGTCACTAAGACCTGTACAGTATACCATCTGGGCGATCATATGACACCCATGAAGTCGAGCCTAACAGTTCATTGGGCCCTTCCTGCTGAAATAAATTAAATCTTGGAGTTGACCAAATACCCCCGAGAGCTCCCCTCCATTGGAGATCCTTGCGCCAGGGCTGCACTTTTATCTTTTAACTGAGAAACGAGGGAAAGTGGACAACGTACGCTGACTGAGGCCACGGTGCAGTTTGTACATTCGCCCGTGCCAATCGGTGCTTTCACGACTGACATTCCAGTGGAAACTTTGCGGTTTGTGGCTTTCGGAACCGATTTTTGAAAACGGTTACCAGTCCGCTTTTAACACCCCGAGTACGAATTGGTGAAACATCTGAAGCAGAGCAGACATCAAAAACCTCGACACACCTTTGCTTTGGAAGGCATTGTTACATTATACAATACGTTACCCAAATGTGGTCAATGAACTGATGTAAATGGTAATATTTTTAGTTGCAAAGTATTTTATTAAAACTTAACCTTTACATTGATATTTTTTAACATCTGTTAAGATAACTGCAAATGATGCTAAGTTACTTTTAAGCCGTGTAAATATATGCTGTATAAATGCGTCAACCTGTACGGCCACTTGCTAATGCCATGCATGTCTATGGTGGTGATATGGCCCAGTGATAGCGCGCTCGCCAATTGTTGCAGAGGTTTGCGGTTCGCATGCGGCAGGCTGCCCTGGTTATTACTCCAGGTGCATTCAGCATAAAACATTCTCCGCTCTGCTTCACGGTGGACATTAAAGATCCCCTGATGTCATTCGAAATTAGTAGGCCATTGTGTGCCTACTTTACAACCCAAATTTCACATGTTTTAAATGACAACGCAAATTACTCAATTGGGATGACAAATGGGCAATCGATCATCACCCCCTACTGGAAGATGAATCCCCGCTTGGAGGCTGGTGCCGAGTTACTTTATGCAGCATAGGTACAGCTTCCTGGAGTGGAGCACCCATTTCCTGGAGCACCCAGCACATAGCCAACCGATTGGCAGTTGGCTACGTATCGTGCAAAAGAAGTTCCAAGTTGATGCTTAATAGAATTCAATATATAACAATTGGGGTGATCGATGATCGAGCACTTATTCACTTCATTCGCTCACGGTGATGATCAGCCTCCTTATAGCTTTGTCGTTGCTGATTACCATGTTTACTGTTTCCGTGAATTTCACTTATTGATTCCTTCACCCGTGTTGAGGAGTCGGTCTACCTGGCTGACTGTTTTGTCTCATCCATGCTGTGTCCGACCACCACACTGCAGGAGACCTCACTTTCTACATCTACAATTGCACTGCTCTAGCTTGGCACCCCCAACACATCTTCCCAGGTTCGTATATAATGATCTTGCTCAATGCAAGAAACAAGCTCACTCTTACCCAATACAACTTTGAAAGTGCTGTTTTTTTCTGGCTGCTTGACGTTTTGGGCCTCTCGGCCTATGCTCATCACCTGTGCTTAATAATAAAATACCAGTCTGAAAAAATAGAATTCTAAATGTACTGAATCCGACTGGCTTTCAGAAGAATGAATTCTGATTGGCGTTGTCAATATATCCTTTTTGTATGATGTCGCTTGGAATAGGGTTTAACTAAAACGCTGATGTACAAACTTGTTAATACTAGATTTCCATCTCCAAGTCTATTGTCATTCTTTATATGGTGATGTTGATGATGACGATGGTATTTATGGTGCTGTTTATTGATGGTGGTCGTGGTGAATGATGGTGTTGAAGATGGTGGAAGTGGTGTTGATGATGACTAAAAGGAATGACAGACAATGTAATGCCCAAAGACGAAGTACTGTCATGGTAAGTGCAAAGCCCTTAAGACTAATGGACAATGGTTTGGTCATAGATAACAGAAAACGGAATGACAGTTCATATCTGCAAACCCCTTGTACTAATATGAAAAGCCAATTATCAGGTGATTTGTTAATGTGTAATAAAAGACTCGGACGCTTCTCTCTGACTCCGTGTCCTTTATTTGGGTTCTTTTCTTTTCCCTCACGGCACTCTCTTAGAGATACTCTGCTTGCAGCCCCAGGCTGCTATCACTATTGTAGCCTCCTTCCTCTCCTTGCAGACTCGCTGCTAACTCCGTGTGCAGTCCCCCCGCTGCCAACTCCGTGTGCAGACCCCCGCTGCCAACTCCGTATGCAGACCCCCGCTGCCAACTCCGTATGCAGACCCCCGCTGCCAACTCCGTATGCAGACCCCCGCTGCCACCTGCAGCCTCCTCGCTGCTACCTGCAGCCTCCTCGCTGCTCCGGGTCGGTCACCGTTGGCCGACGGTGCCGAACCTCGTTCCCCGTGTACGTGGCGATCTCGCCACTCTCCCGCTCTCGCCCTACGTGGCCTCGCTCGTTCCTAGTCTCCCGTCACTCCCCCTCCTCTTCCGGTTTCTCTCCCTATAGACCTGACCCCTCTCCCCCACGTGACTTAACTCCTCCCCTCATGACGTCACCTCCGGGAGGTCGTTTACGCCCGCATTACACCACCCTCCCCCGTAGAGAAAATCCAGCCGACCTCGGCTGAACAACAACTTAATAAGCAATGCGGGTGTAAAAGACCAATACGTTAAAGGACACGAAGCATACAACAACAATATAACAAGAACACAACACAAAGTTAACGAAATGTGAGGGATTTCGAGCGAGTACGGGTAGCCGGGCCGTCCCGTACGGTCGGCGGCCCACCCGCCGAGCGGGAACGTGGCAGGGTTTTAAGGGCGACAGGAGCAAGTTCGTCCGTCGCCATTGGAGGCCTGCCACCGTCCCGGTCCCGTTCAGAGGCGTCCCGTAATCGCGTCCGTGGCGGGGTAGGAAGGGCTGCAGGTCCCGGAGATTCCGCGGCCCTGGTCGGCACCCCGCGAGCGGAGCGTCCTCCCTCCTGCGGCGTCACGGCCGGCTTGTCTGTAAGGGGTACGACAGGCGCTCTTGCAAGGTCAGCAGGCACAGGCAAGGGCGAGTCGGCAGCAACAGACCCCGGCAAGGCAACCTCAGGAGATGACGCATCAGGTCGCGGGGCAACGTATGGCTTCAACCGAGATGTATGTACGAACCAGCGCCGCGAACCAACCCGAACACGCGCCGACTGTGGGTTGGGAACCTCGATGAGGCGGACCGGTCCTTGCCATGGTTTATATAATTTAGGAGAGGTACCCGGCCGCACCTGTGGGCAATGAAGCCAGGCCAGGTCCCCCGTTTTCCAGGGGCACTCCCCCTTTGAGCGTCGAGCACACCGCTCGTTCCGGGCCTGGGCTTTGGCCGTAGCCATGCGGGCTCCTTCCCTCGCCTCAGTGACACGGCGAACGTTGTCCTGAATATAATCAGGAAGAGGTTTAGCAGGTCCCCTCGCTCCGGTTCCCAACTGCTCATTGATTGGCGGCACGTTTTCACGGCCGTACATAAGAAAGAACGGCGAATATCCAGTAGCCGCGTGCGGCGTCATGCGATACGCCGAAAGCACCCCAGGGATATGCAAATCCCAATCTGATTGTTTTTCACTGACCGTGTGACACAGCATGGCGGACAGGGTCCGATTTAACCGTTCCACCCTACCATCCGTTTGTGGGTGGTAGGGGGATGTCCGTATCTTTTTAGTTCCAAGAGCCGCACACACCTCCCCCAACAATTTAGACGAAAAATTCCGGCCTTGGTCTGTAAGGAGCCTCTCCGGCGCCCCCTTGTCCATAACATACCCAAATAGAAAGGCGTCCGTGATAGACGCCGCTGACTGGTCAGGCAAAGGCCAGGCCATCGGCCAGCGGGAGAGGTACTCCACCCCCACCAGCAAATACTTATTTCCCCTAGCGGATGGCGGAAAGGGTCCTAAAATATCTAACGCCACCAATTCATTAACTCGAGATACCTGAATAGATTGTATCGGCGGCACATATGGATGTTTAGGTGGCTTCCGACGGGCACAATCGGGACACGCGCGAACGTGACCGACGACATCTGTCGTCATGCCGTGCCAATAGTAATCTCGCTGCAGCGTCAATAGGGTCTTCTGCACCCCCAGATGTAAAAGTGTGTCACAATGCAGAGTCCTAATCAATTCGTACCGCATTGATGTCGGTACAACAAGACGCCAGCGTTCCTGTATCCCTTCCCTCCACATCAGCAACCCATCTCGGAGAGCGGTTTCCGGCACACCACCCGCACCGAGTCCCCTACTTGCCTTCTCCGGTCGCTTTCGTAACGTTACCAAGGAATCGTCCAACATTTGCTCCCGAATCCACACAGACCTCGGGAGACGCAAAATCCCATCAGCCGGTCCCCCATCAACCGGTCCCGGCTGAAGCGGAGCTTCAGGCACATCAACCGCCAGCGCGACAGGCTGAGGGGGGTGCTGAATCGGTCCACACCTATGCGTCCCCGACGCACACGCGCAAGGGGATCGCTGCGGCAACCTGGAAAGCGCGTCCGCATTAGCGTGACGCACACCCTTCCGATGGTGAATTTGGAAGGAAAATTCTTGCAGCGTGTCCAGCCACCTTGCCAATTGGCCGGATGGCTGGTCCATCTTAAGAGCATACTGCAAGGCCGCATGGTCCGTGCGGACAATAAACGACCGAACGTACAGATACGGTCGAAATTGGCGGAGAAAAAAAACAATAGCCAAAAGTTCCCTGCGAGTGACGCAGTAGCGGGTTTCCGCGGGAGACAAAACCCGACTACCATACGCCACCACGCGTTCAACTCCACCTTTTGACTGAGACAACACCGCCCCAATGCCAGTGTCACTCGCATCCGTATCCAGAATGAAGGGATGTTCAAAATCCGGATAATCCAACGTCGGTGCCGTAGCCAATAGATCGCGTAGGCTTCGAAACGCCGCCTCCTCCGGCGGTCCCCAAGCAAATTTGTGTCCTTTTCCCGTAAGGAGATGCAAAGGCCTCGCGATCGTAGCAAAATTTGGAACAAACCTCCGATAATAAGAGGCGAACCCCAAAAACCGACGCACATCACCCACCGTGGCCGGGGTTGGCCAATCACGGACACACGCTGTTTTCTCCGGATCTGTGGCCACCCCGTCCGCACTAACAATATGCCCCAAGTATCGAACGGAGTGTTGCAGTAGGTGACATTTTTTTGGCTTGAATTTCAAATTAGCAGAACGCATCCTGGTGAATACAGCCTCCAACTGCAGTAAATGCTCATCAAATGTGCGGCTGAAGACGATAATATCGTCTAAATATATCAGACATGTCTCCCACTGCAACCCCGTTAATACCAACTCCATCAACCTCTGAAAAGTGGCAGGGGCCGCATTCAACCCCATCGGAAGACAGTTAAATTGGAATAACCCCTGCGGCGTACGGAAAGCAGTCTTTTCTCGCGAGGGCTCGTCAAGGGGGAGCTGCCAGAAGCCCGAAGAGAGATCTAGCGTTGAAAAGAACTTGGCCCCCGACAAGGCGTCGAGAGAATCGTCCATACGCGGCAGGGGGTACGCATCTGCTACCGACACTTTATTCAACTTACGAAAATCGACACAAAATCGCAATTTGCCATCCTTTTTAACCAACACAACAGGCGCGCCCCATGGGCTGTTAGACGGAGATATTATGTCCGCTTTCAACATGTCGTCCACTGCCCCTCGAACATGCTCTCGCTCAGCCGGACTCATCCGACGCGAGTTTAAGCGAATAGGGGCAGCGTCCCCTGTGTCGATATGATGAGAAAGTAGCGAGGTGCGTCCCAAGTCCAAATCGTCGGAGCTAAACACATCCGAATAACTCGATAATAATTTATGAATCGCACAACGTTGGTCGCCGGAAAGGGCTGAATTCTCCCCACACAATTCAGCGATCCAACGATCATCCACCGCTCCATCGTGTGAAACACCCCCAACCAGCCCCCCGCTGGACAGATCACTCTGAGCCGTAAACGCCGTAGTGGCATGTGCCACAACGGTACCAGCCGGCACACACACGCTTTCGGTACTCGCGTTAAGCACCTGCAAAAACGGCCGCTGATCTGGCCGGACAATAGTTTGCGCCCCCACCAGCGCCGATCCGCCCGTAATAGCGGCGGACGGCGACAGCAAAACCCCAAAAGCTCCCTGCCGACCAGGCAACGGCTTCCGATATCGTAAGGGAATGAGCATCTGTGAGCCAGGTGGAATATCAACAGAAACTTCCGACAACGCCTGCACCTGGGCGACAGGAGCAGGTCGCCCCCAGGCGGACGGTAAAAAAAACATTTTACGGCCCCCCGGTAATTCAATGCAGTTTTCATTGATTCGAATTAGAATGGGCATTTTGGCCAGAAAATCAGTACCCAACAGGCAAGGAACCGCAAGGGACCTCGAAATTAACACAATTCCCGAGGCCGACACTCCCCCGATAGATATGTTAGCGTCCACCTGGCCCACGATGCCCATGCTACCCCCGTTCGCAGCGACGCAGGAAGCGTAAGCCGGCCTCACGGCCCCTGGTGGGATGTTCAAAAGGTGGAATATCACGTCCGAAATGATGGTCGCGGACGCACCGGAATCCACCAAAATACGTACGTCCACCCCTTGGATCGACCCGGGTACAGTGGACGAACCGGTAGCGGCTGCGACAACCCGCCGAGCCAACTTGCGCCACTGCGTTACCGAGCGACAAGGCGCAGATAATGGCCTCCCGTATTTAACAACATCCGCCTCGCACGACAACGGCGATGAGTGAGGTGTCAAGCCTTGCCGGGTGTCTGGTGCGCACCGACTTGCCTGTGCTGTAGAATCTTTCTTGGGAGCGTCCGCTGTCGAGGCCTCCTGCTGGGGCGGACCCGGAACGCGGGCCCAGCAGTCCCTGGCATAATGGCCCCGACGCCCGCAGCGGAAGCACTCGATGTCGTTGCGGCGCGCAGCGGGCACCCCGTCCCGACGCGGCCGTATCGGCGGCGCAGCCCGCGGCCCCGGCCCACCCCGGGCCGGCCACGGAGCGGAGGCAGCTGACAGCTCCTGCTGGCTG